ACCAATAGCAACATTTTGCTTCGGTGGAAAAAGTAAGTTTTGACAATCTTTGGCGCACATATCGTGATAAATTAAATTTCACATCCGATTCGCCGTCTAACAGAGATTTATGGTGTTTCTTATTACCTAGGTCGGTGTGTGTGTGTGTGTGTGTCTAATCATAATATTACACATCGCAGCCCATTTGCAATTTACCAAGAAACGCGCGCGTGCGGTAATCAGCTGTTTGTACAGCCCGTCAAGGAAGATTTAGCTATCATCATTCAAAATAATATATAAAAAATGTTTTAAAAAAAAATAAACTACCCTTATTGTGTATATACACCACAGCCACAACCCTTGGGTCGAATCGAGCACCACCACCACATCGGCGGCCGTCCGGAAAAGCTCTATTTCCCAGAAGACACGTTGTTTGCCGGATACAACGACTTCCGTTTTCTTATTGTGTTTTTTATTTTAATTATAATTTTTTTTAAATATTTAGTCCGCGTAATTAAAATCGTGTATACGTTTCAGTTACGTGACTTAGGACCGAATTTCGCGGTTTTTTTTTTATTATTTAAATACACACAATAGTTCAACAACAATATAACTGCCACTTTAGTAACCTAAATAACAAGCTATATATATATATATCCAACTGGAAGCAAGTATTTTTTTTTTTTCATATATTTAACATTACTGCAATACGATACACATTATCGCTCGGTCAGGTGGGTGGTAGTGTTATTATTTTTTTGTTTTTGTTTTTCACTTTGAGAGGGTGCATAAATGATCAGCAACCACCCCGAGAGTGTAAGAAAAAAAAAAACATTTGTAAGTCTTGCTCGTTTAGAACCTTTCCAGATTGAAAACAAAGCACCACACAGTGTTCCAAAATCAAAAACCTGACCAAAACTTAAAATTCTCAAATTTTACCCCCGAAAAATTTAACGGTTTTAATGGTCACAGCACCCGAATTTTTTCAAATTCACCCCTTATCTAAAAGGTTAAGGGTAGGGGTGTTTTGTATTTATGCAAATCGCGGTTAGGACATAAAACCATTCGTTAGCTTGTAAATAAATAGGTTGGGTATTATTTAAAACGTCAAATCATGGCCAAAATAATATTTCTGACTGATCGATAGTCAGTTTTGGATAATTCATTTTAAAGTTTCCAAAGTTTAGCAAATTTATCCAGCAAAGTTTAATACCTAACCTAACCAATTATAACACTAATAATACTAAACTCCACCACCAGTTTTCCCAAATCTAAATTTTTAAATATTAATAACTTCAAAAGTAATTATCCAAAACTGTTTATCGGCCGATCAAAATGCCAAACAAATTAGTTTTAAAACCAAACAGTCGATAAAACATTATATTCCTTATTATTTAAGTTTCAAAAGTTGACAGAGATATCTAGAAAACAGGTAAACATTTATTAAATTCAAAAAATATTGTAAGGTAATACCAACACAAATAAAAGATTTTCAAAAAGAAACACAACAAAATCGCACTTATTATGTTGAAAAATTGAGCGTCTTAACTTTAGAGGTGTTATAATATTATCAACCGGTTTCACCAACTATCATTAAATACACTCTTGACATAATGTTAGTTAACAAATCATTAAAATTTAACATCCGGTTGAATTAAGTAAGTTTCGTCGTAACAATATTATCATTTAATTTAAATTCTATTTGTTAAGTTGGCAAAATGTTGGTTGGCTTACCAAAGCGGTTACCTTGATTCCAACGTTCTCATTGGTTATCACGAAATGTGATAACTGATAATAAGTGATATAATGTTAAAATTTTATAATCAAATCTCTCAATTAGTAATCCAATTTTCACTAGCTAATTGTTAAATACAACTAACAATAAATTAAATCCTTAACAAATGTCGGTGAAGTCGGCTGACTGTGTTACATTTTTACACTTGCCAACCAACTGAACACACGGTTTTGGGATATAATTTTTTTTTTTTTTTTATAACTTTCAGACAAGCTCAGTGGGGAGGGGGGAAGATTTCTAGTACTTATATTTGCAGGACACTGTTTTTTTATGTCTTTTTGACATTCTTTTGGGAATCCTTATAATGATATAGTATTACTCCCCCCTTTGGCCAACGATTCCGGTCAGGTTAGCCAATTAGTCGGATGTGTCTCGTTTGAGGTTTTTATTTAGCTTCCACACCAAACCGAGGAGATGTGATATTGATTCTCATATTTTGATGTGTGTTTTTTTACTTTGTCTGTAAACCCTTACACAGATAACTTTTTTTAAAAAGTATACCGTTTTAATATTGTATCAAGCAGCAGCTACGTGCGTTTCCTTTTTAAATGCCAATAAATGCGGTAAGTTTTTTATTATATCATTATTTTGTTTCAGATATTGTCGTAATAATAATAATATTGTTTAGTATTCGTGTTGTGTATATATTTAACCGTACATCTATGTGTACACATAAACGTCTGAGGGTGGTAGGTAATACCTGTAATAAAGTTTATATTATAACCCCCCCCCCAGTAACGTCTCTGTTGTCGGTTTGACGATTATAATATAAAATATAATGTATAATAATAATACTACTACTACTACTGAATCGGCAAAAATAATAAAAAAAACACTAGTACCGGCGTTGTATATTTTATGTGTACAATATTATCCTTTGCACAATATCATATTGTATAATATACACACACACACACACCGTCACCAGATGAACACAACTGCAATAAACCAAGCTCAATTGTATTAATAAATTATAAAAGCTCACAAGTAAAGTATAGAAGTATTGGACTCGCTTCTGTTTTTATCTAATAAATACCCCCTCAAATAAAAGGTGAATATAAACATTTTCAATTTAGATTCAGCTACCTACTCGAAAATCATACAAAATCGGTATGTGCACAATACGAGAAATCGTACAAAACTTAAAAAACAACGCTCTGACTATCCATAAAAATGGGGTGAATTTTCAAATGAATAACAATTTTTGAAAATCAACCACCCCAACAGCGTTGAGTACGACCTTTTTTATATATATATATATATGTATATTTTTTTTTTTTTGGCAAAATACTGACCAGTAGAAATGTTTACAGCTAAATTTCAGTTTTTCACCACTGTGTGTGTCTCTTTAAATTAGTTGACTTTTAAATTGCAATTCTCTATGAAATGTTATTATCGAACCCGCCCCCTTCGACTAACATACCTCAAGTTTTATGATGTTTCTAATGAAATTGTAAGTTTCATATAAGTATTCTAACTCAAACGCCAAGTAAGTATTCTGTATTAACAAGTCAGTGTTGGGCGTAATCGATTACAAGTAACAATGTAATGTATTAATCATCGAATATATCATTACATTAATCGTTCGATAATTGCAATCTTGAAATGATTGAAAAAAAAAATTGTTCAACCGCCCTAGACTTTTTCTAAAATATATAAAAACATATTATTTAGTGTTCCGTCGAGATGATTTGACCTTAGTAATATCTCTTGGAGGAATTCGTTTTTTTTTTTTAACTCTGCTTTGTCTAAATACTTGGTTAGCCGACAAGTAGTTTTTTTATTTTTTTTTGGAAAAATCTAAAATCATTACTGTTCATTTTCGAATTTGTACACTTGTTATCACTTGAAAGACATTTCGAGTCAACAAGGAATATTTTTTTTTAGCGGGGGGGGGGGGATAGCTAAATTTTAATGAAGGGCCTAACTCCCCCCCCCCCTCTAGTTGCACCACCGAGCCCGAGGCGGTCAAAGAAATATGATCATTAATCATTTCGCGACGAAATAATTTAAATTCAAAATAAATACCACGTGAAGCTTTGTGTATACAAATTAACCGGTAATTAATATTGAAACATGATCGAAACCCAGGTTTTTTTTTTTTTACAAATATTGCCTATACAAAACTCCTTAAAAACCAACCGCGCGCAATCGCCTCGATGTGATTTTTTTTTTCTTTTTTCTATTCTCGTGTAAAACAGGGAGAGGAATATTCGTGAACTCTGTTTTTTTTTTTGCCATACTCTAAACCATTAACCGGATTAACCGGATTTAGATTTGCCCAACACCGTTACCAGTTAACTGGTAACACTACACAATGGGGTGTGTGTGCACACAGATAGGTAGGGTGGGGAATTTGTGGGCAACTATCGCATTGTGTAGGCGGTAGGCCTTTAAGACACGGTAAACCGCCTTGCAAAACGGATGTTTGAATTAATTTAAACGGTAGATGCACAACGCCGATGTCAATATTGGCACCGTCGCTGTGAAATCATTAAAATCAGACCGCACCGGTTAATATGTATACATATATATATATATTAATAATGACTCTAGCACGGCTTAGTGCTTACAAAGGTGTACAATACAATATGTATATTAAGTACAGACACAAAGGTGTGTTTGCCGGACGTCGCCCGAGGCCAAACGTATTCTCATCAAACGCTCTTGTTTTTTTTATTTTTTACTCTTTCAACGAGAATTAATTATAGTTTTAAAAAATTCGTCGTCGTCGTCGTCGTCGTTTTTTTCGAACACCGGTTAATATTATAATTAATATTGTTATTATTATGTAGCAGATAAGGGGGCGCGAAAAATGGTGTCAAATAAAAGCAGCAACAAGACGGCAGAAGTAAGTGTAAGCCCCTTCCCCTTCTTGTTCCGACATTGTGTTTTTAAAAAGACATTTTTTTTTTCTAAAACGTCTCGCCTAATTGCGTTTGCCCGTCGTTTAATTTTGCCTAAAAAAAAAAATGTAATTTATTTCTCGCACAACCCTGTCGTTTGATGATTTTGATTTTATTACATTACTTCACGAGAGGCCTCCGCCGTGTGATAAAAGTGTATCAGAGCTATCTCAACCGAGGCGCGTTGTATGGGCAATTTTTTTTTTTTTTTTACTAAAACTTACCAGCTGAACACTGGCGTGTAAGTGAATATCATACGCAAATAATGTTGACAATTAGTCAATAATCAAAGTAAGTAAGTAACGTCGCAACGCGATAGCGTGTTTTTTGTTTTTAATTAACAGTAATCACAAAATATATAATATATAGGTATCATCATTATTATTTATACACAAAATGATCTAATAGAAATATACACAACTCGTAATTTACAAACTAAAAACATATTATTATATGAAATAAAAAAAAAAAAAACAAAACAGCCCTCTAGAAAAGTTTTTTTATAATCTTGGCCGCGCGCACAAGAGGCGAACAACATAATATATTATTGTATATATATTTTTTTTTTTTTTTTTTTTGTAGCGTTTAACCATAAGTGTGTTGTAATCTTAGCTCTCCGATTAATTAAAAAAAAAAAACCGTTAACATGGGGGGGGGAGGGGAAAGGTTAAAAAAATGGGTTTTTCCACAATTTCAGTGGGGGTCGATTACCATAAATATTACTAGGCCGCCCCCGCCTCCGCCGCCGCCGCCGCCGTCGGATCCCCACCACCGCCGCCGCCGCCGTTGCCGGTCTGCTCGTTTGGTCCGTTCTCAGCGGCAACTTCTGCCGCGGCCGCGGCCGCCACCGCCGTTTGGTTGGCATTCGGCGAATCCGCGTTGCGGGACACCCGCCGTCTCCGCAGCAGTACCGTGCGCAGACGTCCCAGGTTGTTCAGTCCGGTCATGATGCTGCCGTTCATCATTGGCCTGAGCGTCAACTCCACCGGTGGGCCTCCGCCGCCGCCGCCGCCGCCGGTCTCGGGTCGCCTGGCGTCCGCGTGTCCGCCGGGCGGCGCTTGCGGATGGTGTGGATGCTGCCTGTGGATGAGCACGTGCTGCAGCTGGTGCTGCTGTAGCACGTACGGCAGCTCGTAGTGATGATAAAAGTAGATCATGGAATGCTGCGAACAGATACAAACAAGCGGAAAAGGTACAGCGCGCGAGTTACGTGTGGTGTGGGGTGTGGGGGGGGGAGCGCGGTACCCAGCCCTGACGGCAGTCTGTCGAGATTGCACCCCCCCCCTCTCCGTCCATAAGAACTACCTGTGCGTTTAAACGTCCGACTAGTCTGTCGTAATCCTAGCTTGGACCGACCTAATTATCCCGACTACCTGTCAGGCAGACCGGTGAACGTTATCGCAATAATCATCTACAGCCGTTAGGAGGGCGTCGCACCGGCCATTTACAGCGGTAAAAACATGTTTAAGCAGAGACTGAAAACGACTCGCTTGATTTTGGTTTTAGAGTAAAAGCACCCATTATAGAATTAAAAGAGAACAACATTTCAGAGGGCAAGACGGTTTGTTTTTAAAAAAAAAAAATCATTTTTCGAAAAGTTACAGTCGTTTGAAAACGTTAAAATAGTCGTTATTTCTAAACTACGTTGTACTTAGAATAATGAAAAAAACGCACCGTCTTGCCCCGCGGAATATTGTTTTCTTTTAATTCTATAATGGGTGCTGCTTTTACTCTAAAACCAAAATCAAGCGAGTCGTTTTCAGTCTGCTTAAACGTGTAGAGATGAAAAAAACATTTTTAAATAGCTTTCAAGGATGCCGTGATAGTCCAAAAAATAAATTAACTACCGAAATAGAGTCCTAGTTATTGAACTAATAACTTTACACATTACAGTCGAACCTTTAAATTGAGATTTTGTAAAAAATTGCCTATACTTTACTCCTTAAAAATGGACGGTGCGACGCCCTCTTAACGCATTATTCGAGTAAAAGTTATTCGAATGTAACTAAATTATTTAAATAGTTTGTTTTTTTTTTTGTTCGTACAAACATAACATACACTACATTTACAAAATATCTGGAATTTAAACAGAAACTCTTCCTGCAGTCAAGTCTCAACCGACTGCCCCCCCCCCCCCCCACCAGCTCCCAAGAACCCTCGAGCAATCCATTTGGCTTAGATTGAATATTGTGTAGGCTTTTAAAAACCAAAAGACAAAGACTTTATATGAATAAAGGAGGGGGTTAGCCGGTAAATAATTAACTGTTTTTCTAGACTAATTATTATTCTCAGAAAAGTTATGAACGTCACTTGGTTTTTTTTTTATCTCGACTCAAGCTTGGCTGCTTTTGCCTTTTTTTTTTTTTAACAAAATATAATTTTAATTAATCACATCTCGAGCAGCTCAAAATGATTTACACCGAACGAGGGATTTTTAATTTACTGTAAAAAAAAATAATAATAATAACAAATAGAATTAGCACAACGAATGAAATGAAAATTTTCAAAAGCCAGAAGGCGTTTGAATAAAGAGTTCACAGATTTGAGAATTTAAAAATAATAAATCCCCTTTTTAACAAGGCTTTGACGTGTACTTGTGTTAAATGTTTTCAACATAATTCCAACGCTAACATTAATATTTCCAACTTGTTGAATCGTTTTAGTGACTAACCCCCGTTTTATACTTTAAACGGGTACACCGACAAAATTCTGATCAACAACTACTCAGACTTTTAACTTGTTAGGTACATTTGGGTTTTTTTACATGTCTGTTGGCATTAGTGGTAAAATGCAAGCATAAAAACGTGTAGGCCTAAAAAGAAGGGCTGTGAAAAAGCTAAACATAAGAAAATCCTACTGCGGGTTACAATTTGTAAGTTATGGTGATTCGAAAACAAACTTTTGCGAAGAGAAAAAAAAACAAAGTATTAGATCAAACCCTTCTGGACTTGTACCACGACAACAACAAAATATACTGAAACATTAAATTGATGTAAGCGCTACTATTGAATACATTTAGACCCGGTATTAGGATTTACAGAAGAAAAAAAGAAAGATAAAAATGCTACTATTATTAAGTTTTGGAAAAGCAAATATTGATTAATTAAACAACCAGTCATAGTTTTGTGCGTTTTTTAATTTTTTGCAAACAAATTATTTGAATTTATTATTTAACATAATACTTTGAAGCTCTTTTTTTCTTAAATTTTGCCTATACAAAACCGGACCGCGTGCAATCCCACAAAGTAATTACATTTAAAAACATGATTTTGTAAAAATATAATATTTATATATATATTTTTAAAACTTCCTTTAGTCTAATATAAGATCTTTATTTTTTTTTTGAAATTAGTATCACCAATATTTGCCCCGAAAATAAAGGTTTTTTAAGTTATTTTTTAAAAAAAAAAATCTATTTTGACCCGTTTAAAATTTCTGAAATTTTTATCATAAATAGGTACAGAGAATTATTTTGATCTAATAACGGGAATAGGCCGAGATTTATTTCTATTTTTTTTTTTTAGTAATGAAAACTGTTTCTTCAAAATCTGAAAAAAAAAATGTGTATAATTTTATTCATAAGGCACATATTTTTTACTTTTTACTCCCAAAATATGCAAAAATCAAATTTTTATTCTTTTTTAATTAAAAAAAAAATGAAATAATACATTTTTTTCAGATTTTGAAAAAATATAAATAAATCTTGGCCCACTTGCGTTATTAGACCAAAATAATTGAATTAATTCTCTGTACATATTTATGATAAAAATTTCAGTCACAGATTATATGGTAAAAATTTCAAAACGGTTTTTTTAAATAATTTTAAAAACCTCTATTTTTTTTTAGCAAAAATTAATGGTAAAAATTTAAAAAAATTAACGTATTATATTAGACTAAAAGAAGTTTAAAAAAAAAAAAACATTTCAAAAGAATTTCAGGTCGGTCTCGGTCGGTTTGACTTTACACAGTTGGTTTGCCCCATATCATATAATATATACATTTAGATATATATATATTTTAAAAAAAAACAGTATATATTTGGAGAGAAAAGAATTGCGATTCGAATAAATCGTGAAACAGTCATCGGAATGCATTTCTAATCGAATAACAATATTAATAACAAGAATTTGCACAACTCTGACAGTGAATTAATTTCGATTTTACATACGACCAGAAAAGTCTGAACGATATTATAATATTGTTAAAAAACTTAATCCGCTTTTTTTTTTTTTTAAACGGTTTGTGCTCGCTTTTCTCGTTTATGGTAATGATTATGATAATGATGTTTTTTTTTTTTTTTTTTTTTTTTTTTATGGCGCTGTCGTCGCGATTATTGTTTACGTCCAATTGAACTCTGCTCAAACGTCACCCAAACGCTATGGGACAGAAAGGAGATGATAATATTATGTCCACACCGACGACGGGCATTATTATTATTATTATTATTATTATACGATGGAATAATAATATAAAAAAATCGTGCCGAAAAAAAGGGAAAAAAGACGGTTGTTGGCTGTGTGTATAGCCCAAATATAATAATATGCTTTTGGTGAAAATTTATACGGAAAATTCGTATCGACCACCCCTTTTGGAATTTCGCGCACAAGAAATTCGTTTTTTTTTTTGGTTATTATTATTTTATGAAAAAAATCTCCATGGACCGTTGGGTTTTATTATTTTACATTTTTTTTTTAGCAAACCGTTGTGTTTGTACTGACTTTATTTTTTTGGGGCATTCGAATTACACGGGGGGCCACGTCGTCGTAAAACAACAACGGTATTCGTATAATTTTCTAATTGCAAACTTTACTGACCGTGAAAGGTTCACCCCCCCCCCCCAGCGTGGGCTCAAAATCGTAACCTGGAAAACACGACTGACGCTTGTGTTAACCGTTTAAGTCGTTATTCGACGAAAAAAAAAAAATGGAAACGTCATGGCCCATTGCACAAAAGCGTATTATTAACAAATCGGAAAATATAGATCATTCGTCGGGTAAAGTAAACATAAATACTGGCTTGTGTGCGACAGCGAAGTGAATAGCAGGACTATTGAACCACCAGTGTGGCCACGCGAGAGAAAGAAAAAAAAGTCCAAATTGTTAAGCGGTTGGTACTACTGCTGTATATGATAAAAAAAAGTGTTTACCTAACCTAACCTTAAAATTGCTGATCACCGCGAATTATATTGAACGGTATTTTTTGCTCTTGCCAACTAGCCACAGACCTACTTTAGAGTGTAGTCCTACAGTTTGAGTCGCATTAAAAACGACTCCATTAAACCATTCCGTGCTTACAACAATATTGTGTACATCATTGCTGTGTCTTTTGGCACCTCTACGCCTCTTTGTGTGTGTATACATTGGCCCGGGCGCGCGCTTATTACATTTTCCAACTGCCCGGACATCATAGAAAACATGCTAAAAATAGCCTCAAGCAGGATAAATGCCAGAGGCTCTCATCACCCATTTAACACACCGCGCCAACGGGTCGAAATTGTTGGGATTTCAAATTTCGAGTACTTAGGGAGGTTTTTTTCGGATTTTACTAGCGGCACACGTTTGTGTGGTCTAATAAACGGCCGTTTTCCCACTATACAGGGTGATCCATCATCGGTTGTAAGACACTCGTTTTCACGGAAAATATAAACACTTTAAAAATGTTTTTTTTTTTTCCCCCATACTCGTAGCGGTATATATTTTTCAATACTTTGACAATACCTAGTTTTTTTGTCAAATGGCAACGTATGGTTTTTTAATTCCATAAATATCCACAACCGACGGGCGATGACCCGACACAAAGGAATGTTTTGAGATATTGTCAGGTTTTTTTAGTTTTCGTCTATCTATCTATCTATTCAGTATTGTTATTTAATGGTAAATTGTTGTGCTACTGTTGTAAAAACCGACCGAACATTATTGATCTTGAACTGAAACCTTTACAAAGTCATAGCAAACGAACACACAGACAGACGTTCAAATTCAAAAATTCAAACGTTCGTCTACCACGTATTTATGGAACAAAAATAAAAAAAACCCCTTATACTTATTTTTACATACTTGATTTTCTAAGTCGAGAAAACGAGTGTCTCGCATCACCCTGGATCACCCTGTAGATTAACATGGCGGCGATGGTAGGTAATGATAATGATAATAATGATAAGCGTGCGGAACACGCGGTCGTTACCTGAATGAAGAGCCACGAGCAGACCAGCGCCAAAACGCTGTACTGGCCGTTGAACCGGTAGTGATAGGCGTAGAACGAGAAGTGGTACAGATAGAAAAACCTGGAACGGTACAAAAAACAAAGCGGCGTTAGGTAGACAACGTTCGAGTGACAATATTACGCAAAAGTATATTGTTATAATATATATTATGTATATAAACGGGGGACGAGTATGGGTTGTTTTATTTTTGGCCGTCGCCGAGTTACACTTTTGCAAAACGACTGGCGCACGCCGTCGACAGTCGCGCCGTCAACTCCGAGCAGGAGGAAGTGGGAGGAGGCGGCGGGAAAGTGCCCAATTCCACACGCCGTACGTGTGCCGTTGTGCGTTCGCTCCCAACTCATTATTACGGTTCTTGGCGGGCGGCCAACGGAATCCCGTGGCGCGTCCGGCCGACCGTTTTTCCCACTGCCACTCTTGCAAAAACAGGGTGTCCGTACTGCTCCTTTTTTTTTCCATTGTTCTCTGTTCCCGCGTCAAACTGTGATGCACTTATGTTGTCGACTTACCCCGACTATTCTCGCTTGTCCCTGTCGCGACGCCCCCGCGGTACACAAACGCTGAAAAGTGCGGGGCCCCCCGCCGCCGGTGTTATTACCAGGGAGAGACCCAGACTTGCCTTTGGACATAATATAACAATAACACTATTACGAGACGACGACGGTGTACTACTCACTTTAGCCAATGCCTTTTCGTGATCGGACAGTGGCTGCATATGGTGTCGTATTGATCAGCCACCCACACGATTAGTATAATGTAAAACGCGGTGGTGGTGTCGTTGAAAAATTCCGACATTATCGCCTCCATGCCTGTAGACGAGAGAATTGCACAAAAATGATTATTCGCACGCACAAATTGGACGACGTGCCTCGGCCGACGACGGTGGCTAATCAATTTGCATAGAACATTTTGCTCATCTAGTATTTTCTATGAAAACCACCATGATCGGTGCGAGGCAGAGCTGGCCGTATTCATAACCGCGATTATGATTTAGAGTATAATCGTCGCGTGATTATGATTTCCCCCGTATTCATATTGATGGCTATGATTTTCGCCATATTCACGTTGATTTTGATTAAATATACACTTATGAACGTGCGTACGTTGATTGTGAATAAGGCGAAAATCATAACCATGATTATGAATACAGCGAATACTTGCCGTATTCGCTCATATTCATAATCATAATCAAAGTCCGAGGGCTTGTGATTACACTCATAATCATAATCACGACTGCGAAGAATACGCCCGGCTCTGGTGCGAGGGAGGTCTACGCGAATAGTTATTCCAATTGAAAGTGATAAAATCACTTTCAAATAAAAGCTTCGATGCGAATCTGTAGTTACTAATGGTAGGAATATAAATAACGATAGAAGCGTTGAAATGATAAAATGTACTAACAAATATATTTTTCAGTATTAGGGTGAATACGATTTGGACTGTATCGAAGCGTAGTCAATAATATAATGAAAATATTTTCAAATATCAGTTTCTAATGGTTCACTCGTACTAAGTAATCCGGAAATCGACTACAGTCATAGTGTAACTTTACCATTTATTTTATTTTTCCTTAACAAAAAATCAAAGTTTAACTACAGATTTCTTAGAGTACTATACGTCATGTTATAGACATGCCATATAAAAAGTCATGGCCAACGTCGTCCATTTTTTTTTTTTTTTTAATTTTTTTTTATTTAAATTCTTTCCTTGCTTCTTTCTGGTTCGAGCAAAGGGCCCTCGCGTATACTCGTCGAAACCATCGGACCGTCGTTACACGTCCGGCGTACATTGTGTTGACAAAGTTCTTAATTGTCAATGCATAACATTATTATTATTATTATTATTATTATTATTATACTTTTACGCCACACCAGAGCCACGCCGTCGGTCGGTCGCACCCCGTTGAACTCGGACGATGACGGGCACGACCACTGACAGGTTTTAATATTATCCGCCCTCGGCAACACAAAATGTGCCAAAAGATCAAATCAAACCCTCTCCTACCCCCAAACGTACTCTGTGTGATGTGATTGTGGTGGTGGTGTTGTATAATATATATATATATATATCTATACTCACCGACCAGAGCCAGGATGACGGTCAACAGAGGGGCGGCGGGGAAAGACAGCGAACCGTGAAAATCCAACAACTGCAGCAAATCCACTGGGAAAAAAAAAACAAAAAACAAAACGAATAAATTAATGTTTTTTTTTTTAAAAAGCCAAGAGGCCGGCCGCGATTCGGAGACAATATTGGACATTTACCGATAAACACAAATATTTGATGGTGCGAATACCTCAACAGCATCGATATCGAAACGGTCTGGAACAAAACATAAAAAAATCACCGTCAAAATTAGAGGCACGGGGAGAGGTGGTGGTGGTGGTGGTGGTGCCTCCACGGGGGGCTCGGGTACTACTAAAATCCTTAAAACCCGAAATGGGCGCTTTTCAAAATACCTACGTTTACGGAATCCCCCCCCCCACCCAACCCACCAACCCGGGTTTCTCGTCGTCGATTATTCATTCGCTCGCCCGGCCGTACCGATTAGTTAGAGGATAATTTAAGTTCTGGTTTGCAGCCCAACAATCGCAAACCGCAATGGCTAATTCTGCCGCTGGCATTAAGCGAGTATTAATCACACGGTGTTACCACGTCCGTCCACGTCCGTCCACCCGGCGAGTAGGTAACCGACCGGATTAACGTAAATATCGACATTCCAGTTGTACGTGGGAAGGACCAAAATATCGATTTCAGAGCGCCCCCCCCCCCCCAGAGGACACACGAATATTGTTATTTTTTTTTTTTAAGCCGGCCCGATTGAAATGTGAAACAACAACGGTGCGTGGGCCATCATGGGGGGGGGGGGTTGTTTATTGTTTCGCGTTTGTCGAGTCCGGCGCAAAATTATGGGTTTTTTTTTTGGGGGTTTTCCGTAACTGGTTTTTAAAAACCAAAAACACCCCCCCCCCGCCCCGCCCCTTTGGACTTCAAACACGGTTAACAACAAAACGTCCTACCGATTAATTGACCGGCGGCAAAAGATAAATTGGGCGTTTCGCGGCGGCGACAGTTGCTTTTTTTTTTTTTGGAAGAAAATGAACCGGGGCGACCGGCAAACTCTGGTAATTGGCAACAGGAGGAGAAAGAGAATATATTATATATTAAGGGCGGCCAGTTGTTCCCCAGGGGAAAAAAATATCGTATCTTATTTCGCGCACTCCTTTATTATATTGGTTTTCTTTAATCATTATGTCGCCGCTGCTGCCGGGGCAGGCAATATCGCATACACGACTTGGCGGTAATACGATCGTCACACGAACGACCGCCCCAACACCGTTGAAACATAATAATAATAATAATATAATATAATAAAACATAAAATAATATAATATACACGGGCGCCAAATACACACGGCAACAAAACTTAATTTACCGTCGCGAAAATCGTTTTACGCTACCAGCGGTGCATCGACAACACGCTACCGGAAAACAAATTATTATTATTTATTTTTATATTATTATTATTTGTTAATATTCATATTCGTCCCGGTGAAATTTCGGTCTCGACTTACAAACACGACCATTATGAAGAATGAAGCGATGTACGACGTCCGGGCCATCCAGATGCTGACGAACCTGTAGTGTTCACCGGAGATGACGTTCCTGTGAAAAAGAATTCGAAATAATAACAACAACATTTTTAAACACGCCAGTTGGCCCATTAGAGAGACCGCAGCAAACCTGAGATATCCTTTGTTTTGTTCGTTTTCGGCCAACGATTTCACGGAAGACATGAGGAGATCATCGTAGCCGAGCAAGTTTTCCAAAAAGAACTGTCCCAAAGGATCGCCGAAACACTTGTTCCGGCCCGGCTCCAGAGCGACCATCATCACCGGAATGCCCAACCGTCTTCTGGCGGCGGGTGACAAACGCAAAAAGCCATACTCCAAAGCATACTCGACGATATAGTTGTCCAAGTACATGTTATCAATATCGATTTCGAGGTCCGAACTACTGGTGGGCTGAATAAACTCGCTTTCGTTGAGTCCTGTTATCCCTCTAAGACTGCTGTTTGCGTACTATACACAACACAAAAGTATTACATTTTTAGTTTGCTCTTTCGAGTTTTCAATTAAACCTAAATGGTTAACACGGTTTAGACAAAATAGTCCAAATAAGCGTCAGACATACTCGATAGGTGTTAGACAGCGGGTACTCACTTTAGTTGAACGGAATTGTGCAGATTCGTTGACATCAGAAAAATTTGATTCGCTCATACCATTATCGGATCGACTCAATATACTACTGGTTATGTCTTCTTTGGCGACTATATTACATACAAAATTAATAAACAGATATTATTCGTTTTTGTTTAGTCACACGCTAATTTAACAGTAAATGAGACATCTTAAAAATGTAAACACCTATTACTAAAAATATATTTTTATTGCAATTTCTAAAATTTTAATTTCGGTATTAGCTAAAAACAATTATAATATATTCCATTGTGTTTTAAACGAGCACCGCTCAATCTTTTAATGATCAGTGAATTAACAAAACTTTATCTAAATATTTAAACTGTTATAACGAATATAATCACAATTTAGAAAAGAGACAAAAGTTTACAAAAGAAACAAATAGAACGACAAAAAATTATGAACGTCCTAATTGTTAAGTAAAAAATAATAAATACACATTTTTATTTGAATTTATTAAGTTAAATTATTGTTGTTTAAAATTGTCTTCTGAGTAGTACAAATCTAAACAAATCAAGTTATGACAAGATTAATATAAAGGTTAAAAGAATTTTTTTTATATTTTTACAGAAATCTTTACAGTACTGATTATTTTAATTTTATTAAGCCTCGTCTATAAGAAATTAAAGTCCCAGAACGGCATTGAATACAGAATGTATAAGTATAACAAGATTTTAGATAAAATCCCATTTTTACCATCCCATTTCGATATTTTACTTGGACCAATTAATATTATTAAATGATCTTAATGATTCACAATATAAACAGTACCTTTATCATCGTTTACGTGTTCTGTGTAAGAAATGTCACTTTTAAAATTGAAAAAATTATTTTTAGGTGTACTAGCTTCTCGATGTTTGTTCCCAGTATATTCTTCAGTCGATGGTTCAATTCCAACTTGTTCTTCGTTACTGAAAATGAAATGTATTATTAAAATTACAATCACTACATAAACGTAAGTAATACATTTGTATAGAAAAGATGCATATTATATAAGTAATAAGAAATAGTGTGCAAAAAAAATCATGCCAAATTCTACATTTGTTTATTATTTGATAAACATGTTTCACGAAATAAAAAACCTAATTGCTTATTGGGTATAAATTTTGTCTTTATTAAAATATCTTTAAGACGATACGCAAGTTTTATACTACAAATGTGTAAAATACCAAAACAGGAATAAATATTCGACAAGTCAATGAAATATATAACTAATCTTATCCATTCACATTTTTTTTAATTATGTCTACATTTACCAAAACTCATATTTAGCAACTATAAGCACAATCACTTTTTAAATAATATTACATTAATATATCTTTGGGAGGGGGGCCCTTAAATTTACATATAAATCAACTGAAAACACTGTTTCAATGCTAAATTGTAACAATTATTACTTTTAGTTATGTTTGTAAAAAATATATGAAAAAACTATAGAAAACTTTTTTTTGAAATATTTAAAATTTTTCTTTTGCCTATAGTATAGTTGTTTTAAAGTTTGTTTTTAAGTACAGCGAAAAGCGGGGTTCAACATCATAATCAACAAACATGTATAAATGTATATTTAAAAAAAAAACAAAATCTACTCACAATCGGTTTAAAGGTTAAGTGCATTATATAGTTCACTCCAATAGCTGATAAGTGATAACACACAAAGCCACAACGCTATATTTATTTTTATATACATATAAATAAATATAAAAATAAATTTATACCATACATGTATATGTATTTCTTTTATTATAGTAGTTTAACGGTATAGTTTATCAAGTCAAAATATCTTTGGAGCAGCTAAATTGGTTTACTTGAATTGCACATCATTAGCCCAAATTTAAAGGGGTCTTATTTTGAAACAGTCAACTCAATCGTCCTTTCTCAAAATCAGGAAAATAAAATTGGCAATAATAGTCAACGTTTTTACAAAATATTTCTGTCGAGTAACAAAACCTTGTACAAGGAAAAGGACATTTATTTTTTATTTGTTATATTCATAATACAATATAACTCCTACTAAATAAAATATAATCTCGTCAAATTGGAGGTTTAATAAAAACAAATTTAAGTTTAAACTAACAGAAATTTTCAATGTATAAATATTTTAGTATTTTCATCTGTAAAGCTAACGATTTCATAAAATTTTGTTCCATTAAGCAGAAGTTCAAACTACTTTTTTGTCACAGTTTGGAGTTGTTTCGAAAGAAAAGTTATTTTTTATAAAAGTAACTACATAAAAGTTTCACACATTTCTACGATTTGTATAATAACAGAATTTACGGAGAACTGACCTAAAGTGGCACTATATAGTCGAGTTATTATTTTTATCAGTATGTATGTTTAGTAAATTAAATGTTTAAGCTACCACCATTCTCCTATAAATGAATACATGCACAAAATAGTGTTTAATTACTTTTCATGGTTATTTATTTTGGTAAAGGGGTTCAAAAAAATTGAAGCATTTTCATCGTTTGTTTCTACTTGTCTGAGTCGATACTCTCGTTCATAAGATTTTTCTACCGAGAACAAATCTTCTAGAGTGCCGTCCTTTTCGGCTTGTGCACGCTGAAAGGGTCTGATGATCTCTACCCTCAATATTCCGTCTCTGGGCCAGACGTCTTTGACATTATCTAAACAATTAGACGGCATGCGCGAAAAATTCATGTGGACATAAACGAGAATGAAAAAAGACAGCACTGCCTGAAAACATATAAGTAATTAGTACGACAATTGGTGTTTTATCAAACACTAGGAAATAAATACTTTTAATAAAAACACAAATTCAATTAGTCTTCTAAAAGGTCTGGGAAATATCCTCGCGTAACCGAGGGTGGCTTTATAGAATAAAGCATAAAACAGGCGGTCTCGTACAGTAAACGCTTGGTTGTTATTGTTGTTGTTGTTGTTGTTGTTATTATTGTTGTTGGTTCCTCCGGTCGTCCGCAGAATCTCTGGGGGCAACGGAGGCAAAACAACCAATTCTTCATGATCAAGACCGTTTACAGGCATGGTAGTTTCTTCACTTCGTTAACAAAAGAAACGATATTAGGTACCGGCAGACGCTATACGTCATTTTACCACTGAAACAAACAAACAAAAATAATACAATAATAAAAACACGGGAAAATTGAACTCGATCGCAACGATTCGACAACGGTTTTCAAACGGTCTTTTTTTTTTTTTTTTAAACGTATCTACCTAATCGGGTGAGGTTTAACATGTCCGTCTAGGTGTCTACCGTCGTGTCAACATTTTAGCCCGTCGACAATATTACACTTATCAGTGGTTTTTTTTTTTTTTTTTTTTAGTTGATAATCTACAATTTTCGACACACCGCTTACCTGTAAGTCACCACAAGAGTCACGGCTCACGAGCGACGGATAAACATGCGAAAACGTCACCGTCTCTCTATCAAAAGAAAATGCACGTAAACTTTACACAAACGAACGGACCAACACCACTATACGGCGTTAAAAAAAACAATAAAATTGATAATCTACAACGGTAGCAGCGTCAAGGAAATGACCAAACAGGTTTTGCATGGGAAATCATTCCAATGCATACAATGGTCAGCTGTGTACACAGTATTATCATTTTCCAAACGGAATCACATTTTTCACTTGATTACAACACGTTTATTATATAGGTATATAGGTTCCTTTCGAGTTTCGCACCTTAACACTGCAATACAGCTGCCGATTGCTGTTAAGGAATACGCCAGTGTTGCCACTTGGCCGACACTAAAACCTCGTCGCCGACGCTACGCAATGTTATGGCAATGTCATATGGGTGATAATTTGAATATTATTACCATTTTAAGTATATTATTATTGTGCGTAATTAAATAATGGCGATCCGTTGAAAACAAACTAATTATTTTAACGACTTCTTTAATTTACACGATTTTTAGAACAAAAATCTTCAACGTTTTTATGATATTATAATACGATCATCATTCACGATGTCATCCGCTGACTTGACATTTTAAATAATAATTAACGGTAATACAAAAGAGTATTAAAACGATGTCTTTAAATTTACATAGATAGATATTCGACTGTTTTACATTTATCTCGGACACTATGCGGAACATGATATTAATTTGTGACGTTTTTTTAGACTACCCGTCTAATGCGCAGCAACTATACTTAAAATTTAAGGGTAGGTCAACAACACATAAAAACTAGGTTAAAGTCTACTTGAGATTTAAGTATAGATGGTGCAAATGGCCACGAATTGAGGTTGTTTGATTTTTTTTTAATTGTATTTTATTAAAAAAAAAAAAAAATGCGATTACTCGATTAGCATAAAAGTAAAATAGTAATCTGTTAACTATATGTCGCATAAGAATACATATATACGTATGTGTGTAAGAGAACATTATTTCAAAATATGTAAAACACTTACCTAGTGAATTATGAACAGAACTAGTCGGAAATGTACACAATATGTAAATTTATACACCTAGTATAGAATACATTAATCCTGTAGACGGTACTCGGTAGTAGTTAACACTAGTGTTAAGTTTTTTTATACATTTCTCAACAAAAAAAAAAAAAATCAGTATGAAATCGAAACCTTGTTATTGAACAATTCATTGGACTTTATATAGAGTAAACATTGAAAAAAACATTAGGTCGGTATAAGAACTAGGAACCTTGGCCTAGTCGATCACTGCAAAATTGTAGAAAATAAAATGTCCAACTGTGGATCTTCATAATATTGTTTTGATGCGCATTTCTAGGCGATGGAAAACGCATCAAATATGTCAATAACGACTTTGAACACTCAAATATCGGTTGATTTATTATGTTAGTGGTCAGCAGATTTCATGGTTTCTCGGTATAAAAATTGCAACTATAGACTCTTAACGTTGGTTCAAAAAAAATCAGACACTACTCTTCTTACATAATATTATTTTTTAATGAAGTTTTATTTTAAATCTAAACACACACAGAACGACATCTTGTTGAAATGTCGTTTAGTACGTCGAGGAAGACACTATTGTATGTGAAATATTAGAAAGTATTTTGTATGAATTGACTTAACCTAGATTTATGGTGTAAATACCTTTGTATGTGGACAAGGGGACACACTCGTTGCACAGCTACTATATTGTTAATGTGCTTGTTACTATTGACTTATACATATATCTATATTGTATTGTTATTATTGGTTTAACTAGTGTCTATAACACTAACTCTATTATTACTCGAAGTGTTAAACAAATAATTGATCAACACTTCCGTTGCATCTAGTTTAAGGTAAAGTGAAACCTAAGCGAGCAATACCTACATTACCGACTCAAAAGTCTTTACTCGTTCAGTTAAAATGAATACCTGTCAATCCTAGATAAAGTCCTTACTTTAAAAACAATTTTTAAGGGTTTGTTCAAAAGTTATCAAACTCAAAATCAGATTTTTTTTAGACCAATTTCTTTAAGATTTTCGACTCTTAATAGACCTATTATGGTTCTATTCCTGTTACTATATTGTACTTGTTTTATTTAACCAAATTAGTTATTAAAAAAAAAACAATACACAGATGATACTAATAATAAGAGAAGATAATACTGAGTTTTATAATAATTGATTCAACTGAAATCTGTATTTTCATCATATTGAGCTTAATAATTGCAAGTAAGGTTTTTTTTTTTTTTTTACTTTCAATTCATTAAAATCATTTTTATTTGGTGAATCAACTGCCTAAAACTTATTGAACACTATATAAATGAATCAAGCTCATCAGCGTAACATATATTTTAAAAAATATATGTCATGTCTACATTGAAAAGGCCCATGAAATTTGAAAATACAGCGATATAATATTCTAAATTACAAATGACATATTGCGCTACATAATTACAACATTTTTATTTGTATAGAGACAAAATACTTAAGACAAACAGTAACAGCGTTTTCTCATTAGCTCATTTATTTTCTGTACCAACTTTGAGCTAATGTCATTCTTTTAATTTTCTTTTGCAATTGTAATATTCCATACATCAAGGCCTCGGCAGTCGGAGGACAACCTAAAGAAACCAACGTCAAAGTTAAAATACAAACAAACAACATTATTGTTTGAATCAAAATGAAAAAATAATGACTATACAGCCGCGATATTCTTGGAAATACATTTTTATAAAGTATTGTGTAATAATGTGTGTGTAAATAACATAAATAGCAATTACCGGGTACATAAATATCAACTGGAATAATTCTATCACATCCTCTAACAACGGCATATGAATAATGATAGTAACCACCTCCATTAGCACAGCTGCCCATCGAAATTACCCATTTAGGATCGGGCATCTAAAACGAAATCAAATATAATTATTTTTAAGAATGTATTATGTAATTTTTTTTTTAATACTGACCTGATCGTACACTCTTCTTAAGGCCGGAGCCATTTTATTTGTTACTGTGCCGGCCACAATAATAAGATCAGTTTGCCGAGGAGAGGCACGAAACACTACACCATAACGATCCATATCGTATCGGGGAGCGGCGATGTGCATCATTTCAACAGCACAACACGCTAATCCAAATGTCAAGGGCCATAATGAATGCTGAAAATTGAACGACGCCGCCACAATAAATTACAAACGTCGTACAAAGATTATTAAAAAAAAAAAGATGGTTATATTACCTTACGACCCCAGTTCAATACGTCGTCCAAACGAGCAACGGCATACTCGGCCTTGTTACTTGTTTTTTGAAAAGGCGAGTATGGCCGATAAGGTACTTCTGTTAAACAATGACAACCATGGAAATTAGTATTATGTTTAACTAGAGTATTTGGCTAATCATACATTACCTTCTACGTTCGAGCTTTGAGATGCTGGTTGAACTTTTGAAGATTCGTTTCTCAAGCAAATCTGAGTAATTGCAGGATTTTTTAAAAGACTGCTTATGTTTTTGGACGCAGACATAATCTGACTGGGTCGGCCTACAACATTTCAAAGGACGTGTAATAGCTGTATTTAAATATATATATAAAGATAATGACAATTAAAATAAAGTCGTGATATTTTTGAAAATACTTTTTTACAAAGTAATACGTAAGATTATGTACGTCATACACATTTTTATAAATAACATAAATACCAACTATGGATAATTCTATCACATCCTCTAACAATGGATGTACTTTTTACACCGAAACTTTACTAAATCGGACTTATACTTTTCATCCGAATCGATTAGAGAAACTCAATAAAATACGTGACAGTTAAAGCCGATTTGGCACATTACACTACAACTTAACCATACAACACAACAGTCATACTTAATTAATGGCATTGTATTAAGTAAAACCGAAAGCGTATAATGTACCTGTCTAAGATTAACAAATGAATAGCAACGTCACTTTTTGAGTACAAATCACAAATTCAACAATATTTGTATTTTTACTTACCGATTATGCTCATGTTTGGTTTTTTTTAATACGGCACAATTTTACTTTAAGTATAAATATTTTAACAGAACGAACGAGTTTATTAAATTTAAATTGACTAGCATTAATATGCTACACACAATTTTCGACCTTAATCATAATCATAGGATACTCGTTATCTTTTATCAAATTCACAGATTTTTGTTGATAATAATCACCATAAACAGCTGCTGTCGTTGGCTGTTGCAACTTGCAAGTTATTCAAAGCCCAAAGGTGTGTCTCAACGGCGAAAAATTGAGTGTTGATTTGTCAACTCCACTCATACTGTTAATTATATCGTTTTGAATACTGTAAAATATAATTTAATCTACTTGCCAAATTTGCAACCCGTCCATTTGTCAAAAACCCTCGAGAAACGTAGGCATAAATGCGACTTGGTTTAATTAAGCCACTACTGATATTGATATAATATAATGTATATTGTATAGTACGTGAATTAAACCGAATTCTATCAATTATTATATTTTGATTAGACTTCATCGGTAAAAAAGTAGGTAAGGAATAACCCATTTGCCGTATAAGAATTTAAGTGTATCCGTAACACAACCTACTGTCTTCACACGACCCCAATTTACTCAATTAGGGTAAGGGTTCCATGTAGATAAATTTTGTCAAAAATTGAATTTGTATTAAACATTATACTATTTTTAATAGTGACGAATAAACAATAGCAGATTAAAACATATTGTTTAGATATTCATGGTATCTTGAAACAAAAAGTCTCCACAAAATAATGGTTACTGCTCAATATAGTAAAAACGTATAAATATTTATATCTAGACAATTAAAATGTCTAAAATAAAAAAAACAAAAAACATAAAAAAATGTGTACAGTCAACAAAAAAGTAAATCATTTTGGAAGTTAGTTAAAAAATTACGTTTCCTCACGATGTTATTGCAATAAAAATGACTCTTTTTTTTACTATTATCGCTCAATAAAGTATATTTCATGGCATAACTAGTGTTATTTAGTTTTATTTCTTACAACAAAATGTACATATACCTTACACAGTAACTTTTTTAATTTATACAATCCATATAATATACAATTATTTAAAATTTATTGTTTTGAAGTTAAAAAAAAAAAAAAATAGTTACTGATTAACAAGTTTAATTTAACACAAAAATGTAAAATATATTAGTTTAATGTTGTCGATGAAAAAAATATTATCTAAAAACGTTTATTATACAACTAAGTATATTGTTAATAATGTAATACTTACAATAGTTGTTCAATTATTATAGGGTAAAAATAGTTAAAAATAAATTCCTTTAAATTATACTTTAAGTAATATACACATGTTTACATACATATTTATTGTATTACACATTATTAGTCCACACACAACTGATATTTGTATAGTAAAAGAGACTAACTAATGAGATATAACATACAAGGCAGTGGAAACTGGAAAATAGCACACTGTGAATATCACTTGGCAGCGGCTGCTGTTTGATGAGCTTTGGGGTTTGATAATGTAAGATTGTTAAGTGGTCGAGATCCTGATACCATTGCAGATGGTGTGTTTGGTCTAGAAGAAGAAGCTGTAGGATCGTCTTGGGTATCAACCTGCAATTGAAAATAAAGGCCATATTAATTAAATACATAAGTATATAAGTTAGGAGTAGTGTACGATTAAAAATAGCCTTAGATATGTTTTGATTGAAGTGTTATATTTATTTTAAAAAAACTGAAGTAAATAATAATTATAATAATAACAAGTAGCGAAACATTATAAAACTAATAAACTCCAAAAGAATAGATTACTGTTATATCTATTAAAGATTGGTTTTAAAATATTTATTCGTACAAAACATACCCCAGTACAATATACTTAATTTTTATTAAATATATACAAAATTAGAACCTACTTACCACTTCTTCTTCGTCGCTTAGTTCAATAACAGAGTTGTGTTCATCATCATATTCTTGAAGAACTGTGTCTAAATTGTAACGTTTACGGTAGAGACTATAAAATGTCTTTAAATGATTTTGAGTTTTGGTTCCAATAGTTTCTGCAATGGCTTGGAAGTTTTTTCCATATTTTCGCATCCCTAAAAAAAAAAAAATACAAATACATTAAATATATCTATATATTAGTGGTAATTAAGAATACAATTTTACTATTAGTAGCAAGAAGAGTATATTATAGTAAAATTATTTTATAAGAATTAATGAGAACCTGAATTATACATTTACCATATATGTTTTGTTATTTTTAACCTTTCATGGGCTGTTAAGATCATTTTTTTTTTTATTATGGAAAAATAATAAAAGCATTGAAAAAAAATACATAATAACCATGATTGAAAATAAAAAACCGAACGTTTCAAAGAGTTCAAAGAAACACCATTTTCATGGGGAAATTTATCAATTTTTCCTATTGATAAAAGCGTTCAACCTACCAAAGGCTAATTTTGTTTTTAATCGAAAAAAAATTGGTTGGTATTTTTATACATAATAGATTAATTTACAGTGAAATTATTGATGGTTATTTTTATTTATAATTCTAAATCTGGCTTTCGATTTTCTCTAGCGTTTGTAGTCATTTTCAAAATTGCACACCAAGTCGTAAAAACTATCATTTTAAGATATTTTCAGTATCTACTGTACATTTCAATTATTTTTCTTTATTTGAAATAGTTTTAATCGATTTTTTTTTTTTTTTTACTAAATTCAGAAGAGACTAATGTAAAACTTTTTTTTGCAGAAAGTTTTTCTGCAAGTGTTTTGTAGAAAATAATTCACAATATTAAGAACCTAGAGTGTAATATTTATTTTGTAATTACTATGTATTGGCTATGCAATCGTTTTGGGGTACTTAAAAATGATATCTAAATTTATTTTATCAAAACAAAAATTATTAGGTTCTGACTTGATGATAACTTTTAACTTAAAGGGTCTTTTTAATAGTCCTAAGTTAACGTGCTAGAGAAAATGTGATGCCAGATTTGGTATCGGCAAAAAAAAAGTCCTACATTTTACTTATCCATTGGATTTTGTTTCAAAATATAACAGGCAAAATTTTGCTGTACAATTTAACTATGTACAAACTATTTATCTACATAATAATATATTAGCAATATCATACTTTTGATTTTGGAATAAATAAACCAAACATATACATTTTATAGGATTTTACACCGAATCCGAATTTAGCTTCAATTTTCTCAGTTCTTAAAAATTATAAGAGTTTTGTTTAGTTTAAAAAATGTGCACAACCCTAAAAAGGCTTTGCACAATATGGAAACATTAGTGTAGCAGACGTCACCCCCGTCAAAGTGGATCCTAGTGGGGGGAGCTTGGGTGGACAGCACGAGTAGTCTTGGAAGTTGCATGACACAAAATAAATTTTACAGTGTCGAAAACGATGTGTGAAGCACTGCAACACAACCTAACACACAGTGTGATAAAATTGTTTATAAAATAGAAATTTTACCTTGAACGGCCAGCATAATTTCGTCGTTTGTCCAGCGGGATGTAACACGACTAGGAGTTGGTTCGTTGCTCCTGTATTCATTAATATCTAGTTTTATTTTCTTTTCTATTTGTCCAATTACTTGTTTGTTAGATTGGATCTATTATGAAAAATATAAATTCGAAAAAAAAAAAAAAAAATTCATAAAACTATTTGCTTTAACACATACTTTGCATTTTAATGATACAACCTCATCATCCATAGCTGCTAAAATGGCATCTCCTTGACCGTTCGGTCCGGATGCAATAGCTTGAAGATCATCGTGATTGACGTACATGCCACGTGGTGGTAAACGTTTATTACGAGCAACGTTCAAGTGACGGTTATTCGGGCGTGGTGGACCTAAAGTTGGTCGTATACCTCCTCCAGTTCTCCTAAATTAAGTACAACATAAATGTTCAGACAAGTCATTTTTTCTTAGTAGTAATCAACAAACAAAGAGATAATTTAATTTTTATAATAATTTATCATCGTTATTTGATTTTTGAACTACATTGAAAAAAATGTTTTCAAGAAAAGGGGTTCATTGAATTAATTATAAAGGTATCATGGAATCATTGACATTGTCCACAAATTAACTAATACCAATGATGAGTTCTGTACTTTTAACAAAGTATTAAGAGAAGTTCGAAAAAGTAACATAATATTATTATAATACACAATTTATACAGTTTTCTTTAGAATTGGCAAAATGATGTAAGATCATAACACTGTTTAAAAAAAAGTTAGCAACTTTGTTTACATAAGAACCGCTCCTAAAATCTATTCTACAATAGTAATCAGACAAAAATTGCATTTTTCTGTAGTATTTAATATCAAAGTTGACTTTAAGACATTGGCGTAGACAATTAACACACACAAGAATCTACTTTTAGTTTTTATTATATACCTGAAATGAGTGTAACAAGTACCACACATGGAACCCTTTGGAGTTTGCTGTAACAATGTAACAAACACTCCGCAGACAGAACAGGATTGTTTTGAACAACCTTCTCCAGAATCCTTCTAAATAACAAAAAAACACATAGTTTTTAAATGTTAAAAACCATTTTTTTTTTTCTTTATAGCATTTAAACAAGCATGAATAGATAAATGAAAAGAATAGAAAAAAAATAAATAACACCATTTTACGAAATAATTAAATATCACAAGACCACCGACGTACAATGTCATACATAGTCAAGGACTAATAATAGGAAATTTTGTTTTCATTAATCTGATCAGGGAAGTTATTGCAAACCATTTATCTTAAAAAATGTACAGTTAAGTATGGCATACATAAATAATACATATACCTTTATTATGTAAATAAATAATTACATTTAGCAATCAAATGCAATTAATATTAATTTATTTTATTACTATAAACTATTTTATTAACAACAACGAGAAAACAAACGGATAAAAAAAAATCCTTTTTAATAATCATTTAGTATAACTAATTAATTTGTTTATACATATATTTTTTAAAAAAACCTTTAAATGTATCACATTTGACGTATTTTTATTTTTAAATATATACCTATTGTTGAAACGAAACTTACTAAACAATTTCATTTTAATATATAACAGGGCAGCACTACAAATGTCACGCCACCAGAAATTTGGTTAATTTTTGAATTTTTAACTCAATCATTTAATCTAAATTAGCACAGTCAACACACAATATGGACTAAGATAAAATTTTATCATAATGTGTTTTTAACTGTCTATACAAGTACAAGGTTTCTTTAAAAGTACATTAAAATTTGTTATAAATAGAGGTAAGTAAGCCAAGAATACTCTTGTCCCAGGAAAAACAATTTGTCCCGAGATGCCCTCTTAGTTTGAAAATACCGAAATAATTTAAATTATCTCTTTAAAGTTTTTCTTTTTCAATGAAATCCTATTGGATAAAAGTCTATATTTTACAATATCACTTACTTCTATTTACATAATGGTGTACTCAGTTCAATAGTAACATGATAAAATCTTAAAAGTTTTATGCCTCACCCTACAAATATATTGATAAAAATTCATGGTTTGATTGTTATGGCTTAATATACGAGGATAACAATAATACCTTATCATCTGGTTCAGAATCTGCTGAGCTCGATCCTTCTCTACTACCATTTTGATTTTCGTTAGAACGGACATTAGCTAATTTTCTCGCTTGCCGATCAATTACACTACTCTTCTTTCTTTTGTTTTTCCATAAGTAGTAATATTTGACTAATGATGCAATAGGTTTATCTGGTAACTGAAAACAAAAAAACAATGTCAAGTAAAAATCGCCTACAATATTAATTGAAGACTAAGAAAATTACCATTTGCTTGATTCGCAAAAAGTTTTTTCCAATACTATTGAATGCGGACTCGAATGTAACTTTATCTTCAGTTGACCATTCGTCCGGTAAAGGCGCAAAATTTGCAAGGTCACATAGAGCTTTTTCCATATCATGGTGATGCCAGAATAGCATACCTAATGCTTGTTCGCTGTTATAACCATACTTTTCTTTCGATAGTAAAATATATTCATTCACTATAATCAAACCCATAAGATGAGTAAAATAGCAATTTGAATAGAATTATTTTATAATTATTAGTGATAATTTATTACATTTGACATCGGAAATTTTCTCCGTTGGTGACCAAACCAATAATGCTTTTTTATTCAGGCGTTCGCGTCTTTGTGCTATGGTAAAAAGACAATGAATAAATAGTTAACAAGTGAACACGGCACAATGATGTATGTTGGAAAATACTATATTTACATGTCATAATTGACAATAACACTCACCTTGAGTAACTAGCAGCTTCGGAATAACGGCTTGAAAATCGCGTCCAACTCTGATTTTTTCAGCTGCAAACGTTTAAAATATTATGAAAAAAAAAAAACAAGTACACATATTCAACAAGGTGTTAACGAAAGTTGGCCTTTTTAGAAATTCGTTCGGTCGGTGTTAATTTGTTCGATCGTAAAATACGTGCTACTATCAATCCGGTTATGCGGCAAAAATATTGAAAATGGGCAAAGCGTAAATTTTCGTTTATCGTGATCTCGATTTTGAAATGTATGCGACTTATCGACGGAAACTTTAAGTCAACAATTACAGTCGAGCCTACCCAACTACTGATGTTGTAAAATACTATTATTTGAATAATTTTTTTTTTTTCCCAACGCCAAGATTGCTGAAAACGTATAGATTTTTTTGCGGTGAGAACGTTAGTTACCATTTTCTTGTATAAGTTCGTCGATGTCTGAAGGATCAGAGCTGTTGGACGGGGCAGGCCGTTTACAGTTTTTCAAATCTTCTAAATTATCGTTGGCCATATTTTCAGCTAGCGCATATTATACGAGCACCGAATAATATCGATTGGTAGATTTTCAACGAGGACAAAACGATCAGCGAATAATGTACGTAACGGTTAGTTACGCACAGCCAAATACAACGTTACAGTATAACTGCAGAGAAATTAAAAATTAAGAAGAAATAATACAAAATTTTGACTGGCGAACGAACGCATCATAAAAAAAAAATATGGGTTTCGGAAAAATGGCATCGTTTTTTATTCCATGAGAATATTTGAATTTTCCACTCGCATCACCGCGAGATATTGTTTATTCAACAGAAATAACAATTGAATTTCGCACTGATCGCGTTACGGAAGACGGATTTTACTGGGAACCGAAATAATGCACACATTCGTATTTTTTTTTCTATACTGTAGCTGTTAGAAAAACATATAGTTGAAATTTACAAATTGTTTTTAACAACTCATTGCTCTATTGGTATATTAATCAATGCAGGCACGGTAGGAGAACTACGTCATGGCCACACTGATTGTGTTCACGAAAAATATGGCGTCATCCGAGGGGTTATTAAACTTAGGTAAATTGGACGACTTGGACAAATTTGCATTTACCGGAATTTATTTAATTCAAACAAATCCGTACATTAATGGATGTCGAATTTACACAGAATTTTACATTGTTCGGCCGTGCTGTCGCATTAACACTGTACTCGAGATGGAAAAAAAAATTATCGAATTGGCGGGTATAATTTTTTTTGAAAATGGATAATACAGCTTAGCGTTGAACATCATTTTCGACGTTAGTTTTCCAAAAAAAATCATTACCAAATCATATTTTGAATTTTGGTCAGAACGCCGTTTGGTTTTTTACAATCGACTAATCGTCCGTTCTTATTTTCAATTGAAACTTACTTGGTATTTCATGACTAAAAGCGCCACCGACTAGAAATTATTGTGTTAAAATATATGTTCGACAGATTGCAGTTTAGTTTTAACCTACAGACAGTTTGGGCACTATACTATTGTTTAGAATTAGCCATGTGTTTGGTGTTTGAAAAAAAACCTACTACCTAGTTATTGTATGTGTTTATAAACAATGTTGTTGACAGTAAATATTTATGTTGCTGTTGATGAACATCAAGGTACAACGTGCGAAAATTATCTGGTCACTATAAACATTTTTATCTACTTAATTAAAAATTACGACCCAAGTCTAGAAAGTAAGTATGCTGCTGGTAAGCGATTTTAATTTACTAACACAAAAAATCCAGCACACAATATTAACTATTAACACGTACTTAAAACCATCATTATTGATCATCGTATCATAGAATTCCAATTTTAGTGACATTACATTGCGGTCTTATTTTACACGGTCTTCAAAAAGAATATTTCTCAATTAAAAAAAAATGGTAGTTCATCATTAAATGTACTACACAAAAATGAACAACTATAAAACAATCGGTAGATTCCATAAGGTATTAGAGATTCAAGATTACATTTGTATAACATCAAAATCACCATCTCGTAATTAACTTACCAAGTACTATTACATTTAATGCAAGACTTGATATTGAACAGAGAAGTTAAAAGCATTTTACTATTCAACTATTTAATACATTAAAAAAAAAAGTATCGTAGCTTCAATTAAGAAATTTGGGCGAAAGAGAACATAGCTATTTTAAATTAAAATAGCTATCGGTTTACTTTGTAATTTGTAGTAAAAAAAAAAAACTAAAAAAACCTCGGTAATAATGAGCCAAATTTATGTCACTAAAATAATTTAGAGGAACAAAAAGTAATTAATTTTAAGGAAATACTATCAAATGAAGAAAAAAAGTCATAATAAATGGTTTATTAGTTTTATTTATAAAAATCCATAAATTAAACAGATTCTTGGACTGGAGGTTCGTAACCTTCAGGCCTGTCAACCTGCACACCCGTTTCTTCATCAATAACCGTAGTCACACCTTCGTCAGAATGGAATTCCATCAATTTACCAATGTCCATACGTGGCTTCTTCAACACTTTCACCTGAAAAAACAATATTTAGCATCAGTGAGACATTCAAGATGACATGTAATAATTTGCTTTATCTCACCTTGCGAATGAAAACATCGTGTAAAGGATAGATACTTTGACATTTCTTTTCGATTTCTTTAGCGATAGAGTCGGGTCTGAGCTTGTTGACCACTTCTTTGAGGTCAGATTTAACTATTTCTTCAGTAATAGTTTCTACCATCTTCTTCCTAATTGCTCTTACCTATAAATAATTTTTTATTTTTAATATATAGCTAAGCACTTAAATTCAATAATATATTATATATAAAAGTAACTGAAACATTATAAGTTCAAATAAATATATTTGTTCAAGGAGGACGTAATAAATAACTAACTAAACTATATAAAATGAAAAAATAAGAATGAAACAAAAGTTTAAACTAAAATTGTTCGTATTCAATGAATTTTTTTTTTAACATTTATATACATTGACAATTTAAGATTTAATTTTGATGACAAAAACCAACACATCATCTTAGCTAAACAGTTTAAGTTTTATGCGTTCTACTTCTGGTATGGGATATCTATACATTATTGTGTCACAATAATATGATAGAATTATATTAAAACAAATGTAACTGTTAGATTAAAAGTGATACACACTATATTATATTTGTCAGTTAAGTATATCAAACTAGACACTGACATTTTAAAGATAAAAGTCGATACTTTATCTATTGCCCCACACAGATAAGTTATTTACATAGCAAATCATTGATTATAAAATAGTGAAATGTGTATACAGTTTTTAACACATTTACAGTAAAATATTTAAATATTGTTTAATTCTAACCTGAGTATGTTGAGCATAGCATGTCTTTCTAGTAGACAATTGGTCTTTAGATGTAAATCCAATGCAAAACACACGTAACAAATAGCCGTCGGTAGTTTTAACATCTACATTGGCTTCAATAAGAGTTTGCCATTTTTTAACCATCGATCGCAATTTATCAGTGGTAAGGTCCATGCCATGAAAATTGGTCAGAACATTTCTGCCCTTTACATCTTCGGCAATTAACTTGAATTTACGGAAACTCCTTTCAGCTCCATCGTCTTCTTGCAAGTCGGCTAACGAGACTTCAAATACACGATGTTTTAATCCTTCAGATGCAATTTCTAGAAAGAAAAAAAAAATGTAACTTTTTTATCTTGATTTGCGTTTAAAAAACTACGTATAATCTATTTGTATGAACTATAGCGTGCTATTTTCTTGCTATTAACATTTAAATTTGGTTAAACAAAAAAATGTATGATTATTTAACACGTTGACTTCCAACCTACGAAATAATTAATAGTTTAACGGTATTTTTTAGTATTGTGGCTGTCAACGTGTTAAGACAATTCTTACTTTTTAAATGACACCTTACGCCATTTCTCTTACCACAAATGTAAAATACTACGACCTTTCCCATACAATTTCTAGGCACGTCACATGAACACACTTGGGCATTCTTGCATATTGTTTAGATTACATATAATATACTTATTACACTCCCAAATAATTAGTGAATGTGTGTAATAAGGATAGAAGTTGGTTTTACAGGGTTATAGAAGCTTTAATTCGATACCACTAGTACCACTCTTGGATGAGGGTGTCAACACAAAACGGGACATTTAAATATTATAACTATGATAAAATGTATGATAATTTTTAAGTGATTAACCGAGTTCAAAATTAATATTATTCTAATGAGTCAAACATATTGAGGGAGTGAAACAAATTTACATACGTAATATCATTGCAAGTACAAACTCATGGAAAAATTTGAATGATGTAGCCAATAGCTTATGCAGCACTACACATTTTCTGCCGAGAATGTGTCCTTCTATCCTTTTGTTTTAATTACATGATAAACACACTACTTATTAGTTATATTCACTTACTCGTTCCCTGGGTACGATTGACAAGAGTTTTGCCTACATCCCGGTTGGTGAACATACACGGGGCTCGTACATTGTACCAGTCCTTACGGGTGAACGGATCAATGCTAATTAGGAAAAAGTAACAAGAACATTTATTTCGTAGTGAATTTGAGATATATTATTATTATAAAATTAAATTACGGTTACAAGAAGTACACTTACATCTTCTTCTTTAATCCTTTTTTGCCGCCTTTTGACAGCCCCTTGTTCTTGCCAACAGCCATAGCGATTTATTTAATAAAACGTTTGATCCGAAAGATTACTAGAATGCTTTCTGAAAATAAATTGGGACGATAGACGAGATTTCCAACGTGGTTTGAAAAGAGAAGAATTATCTCACGACGGCAATTGGATAACTTGCCGAGTAGAAAGAATGCGCAGGCGTGAACGTGTATTGTAGTGTTGATTGCTTCCAAATATTTTGAGGTTACATGGAGGAAAAAATGTACGTTTAACCTATAAAACTTTTAGCGCCAAAATTAAAATTTTTAAAACTAAGTTTTTGGTTATCGTTATTTTATTATTTATACAATAATTGTAATATTTCATTTAAAATTAAATATTATCACTTCTATATTTTTCTACTGGTGATGCGAATTATTCGAATAGTTTGGATTCGAATATTCGAATAATAATAATGATTATAGTTTAATAATTGTTTTGATGCCAACTTTTATAGCTTTTTCGGTACCTATATATTTTTTTAATGTTGTGTAAAGCTAAGAACATATATTAAATTTAAGATGATGATTTGGTTTGTTTTTGTGATTGTAAACACAATAACTTTTCCCTGTGACCTCCCCCGACTCAGTATGCTCCATCCCCACTCCCCCTTATACCCCGACCCTACTGTACTGGTTGGTTTTTATTGATAAAAGGTACGGTTGTATTTGTTTGTATGGTCTTTATGGTCCTACGTATATCGTAGATAATAAAGATTTTATTATAGTAAATATTATAATATAGTACCTATATATACAGGGTGATTCTTTTAACGTAGGCCATATCTCACTGGATTTAATTAATAATTGAATTTTTTCTTTCGTAGAGTTTTTATATAATGTGATCTCAATTTTCCACACATTTTTATGTTCCTACCCCCCTTCCAAATTAGTTTTTTGTTAGCAACTTATTAATTAAACACAGTGAGATATTTAGTGGCCGACATAAAAGAATCACCCTGTATATAAAACTATTTATTAATTAATACAAAATCAGGAAAAAGGCAAAACAAATGCAGCTATTTACATTTTCAGTTTCAAGTATTGGCTTTGCCATCGTTTCGGAACCCTTCCATTATTTTTTCTCATTTCAAGTTTCTACTAAATGTCCAAATTGTGCTTTCTAATCGACTTTTACATTGTTTTTTGCCGCTGTGGCGCGAAAATGAACGGATTGTAAAATTAGTAAATAGCGTAATAATTGTTTTCCCTCTATAACTTAAATCGATCGGTTTAAACGTCATTTTATCCGTTTATGGCTGAAGACGGTAAAACGGCTAAAATTATAATAGTAAGTACCGTAACAATAATAAATATAATTACGGTTTTATTTAAATAACGATTTATTTCCAAAATTAAAATACAAAAATCATTATTAGATATAGGCGTTTTATTGACACAACGCGACTTTTGTACGATATACACGTATTGCAAACAATTTTTTAAAAAAAATGTCATATCCAGTCGCGCCGCCCATTTTTAAGGAGTAAAGTATAGGAAATCTTTTACAAAATCTTAATTTAAAGGTTAAACTTTGATGTGTAATTATTAGTTCAATAATTAGAACTCTATTTTGGTAGTTAATTTACTTTTCGGACTATCACGGCATCCTTGAAAGCGATTTAAAAAACAATTTCTGTTGAGTTGTTTAATTTTTCTCAGACTTCATATATGTAGTTAAGGAAAGAAAGTCATGCATATCGACTGCCCCAACGAAAAGGGTCGTATCTCGCTTTTTGCAACTTTTTAGGATGAACCAAACAAACATTCAAATTTAAATTCTTATTCCGTTTTTAACATATCAGTTTGAAAATACCTTTCTTAATTAATTAATTATTCATTAACTGGTTGTAATATTATAGGGCCATGGTTGAGCATAGACAATGTTATTGTCTATATTAAGTATGTGAAAATGTTGGTTTCTTAGTTTTGAAAACCTACAGCCTTTGTAAAATTAATCCGCTTAATTTTCTGACTATCACACAGCATCCTTGACGGCGATTTGAACTCGGTCCAAATAATATATAGTTTTAGAGCAAAAACACCCATTGTAAAATAGAAAGATAACATTACATTTCGGAGACAATGTCGAATCCGATTTTGAGTATAATAACGTAAAAAAAAGTTACAGTTATTTGAAAAAATGTGATTTTAAATGCTAAATATTTAGTTTGTGAAAAAAAAAAGATAACGAATATGACATTGTCTCCGTAATCTCGTCATCTTTCCGCTTTGCTTACAAGTATTTTGAAGTACTATACCTTAACACTGCTCTTAGAATTACAATCTACAGTTCGTGTTCAATAGCCGACCGTGCAACACGTGTTCTTATCGCACTATACGTTTTATAGCTTTTCGATAACACAGAAAACACGTCGACATTCGGAAAGGTAATATGTTTTTATTAATATATCGCCCAACCGACTTACATTCAAGCAATGAATAGAAACACTACGGGCAATTCGCCCAAAAATCTCACACCTAATCGTTCAATTACATCGACATCAAGTATAAATCATCCCACACTTAAAACCAAAACAAATAAATCACCATACAAAGGCGCGTCGATTCTACAATCGACCAAAAACATAATGGTGCCACAGTGCCAGGTACCCCACTTTCACACACTTTGATATATGTATAAACGTAACCGTCTCTCCTGCGCTAGAGCTAGTGGAGGAGTTGCAACAATGATTAATCAAAACTTTCCGAGCATAGAACTTCCATTACACACCGACCTCGAAGCGATAGCAGTCACAGTTACGCTTCCCCACACAAAATTAACTGTATGCAACATATATATATACCCAACCAAAGAGATTTCTCTCTACCAGACATCGAAAAAATAATACAACAACTGCCCCACCCCTTCATCTTAGTTGGTGACTTCAACAGTCATAGCGAAACCTGGGGATCACCCAAAACAGACCACAGAGGGAAAATCATCGAAGAATTACTGACGCAGGATAACTTGATACTCCTCAATGACGGAGAACCAACCAGAATCAATCCCTCAAACGGACGCCCTTCCTCCATCGATCTTTCCATAGCTAACTTATCCCTCTCTCACAAATTGGAATGGTGTACCCTGCCATACACACACAACAGCAGCGACCATATACCGATACAAATTTCCATCAACCTTCCCCTTGACGACTGTCATCTGGTCTACTCACCTCGTTGGTCAATCAAGAAAGCCAATTGGAATCTCTTCACCTCCCTAATAGAAATAAAAACCTCCAGTCTCTCCTCCCCCTCACCAGAAAACACGGAAGCAGTAGTAAGGGAACCCACCGACATGATCACAGAAACAGCCAGGTTTCTGGAAAAATCCACATACTTCACCCCAGAACAAAACGGTTTCAGAAGCAATAGAAGCACCACTAAAAACCTCTTAAACATTAAAAACAATATCCAAACGGCCCTACAGAATAATAAAAAATTATGAATTATCAGTTTTGACATCGCCAAGGCATACGGCACAGCATGGAGGCCCAGAATCATTTACATGCTTAACCAAATATTGTCCAAAGGAAACATGTTAGAATTCATAAACAACTTCCTCTGCAACCGTACCTTTCAGGTGAAAACACCCCACTCTCTATCAGACTCCTTCACGCAGGAGAACGGTGTACCCCAAGGGTCCACTATTTCAGTAACGTTATTCCTAATCGCCATCAATGACATATCCGCAGGAGTCCGCCACCCTAACTCTCCTTTGCTATACGCAGACGACTTTACTATCACATGCCGTAGCTCCAGTAGTACCACTATACAACAACTTCTGCAAGACTCAACTAATGAACTCATATCATGGTCTAAAATGTCCGGCTTCCGTTTCGCTCCGAACAAAACAAGTCTTATACTAATCAACCAAAGAAAGAAAAAAGAAACCATTTCAGTAAACATTGGCTCCCACTCTATCATGAACAAAACCCAAGTAAAAATTCTCGGAGCGATTATAGACTCTTAAGCCTCATGGCTACCTTACATTCGACACCTCAAAAAATCTTGTATCCCTAGAATCAACATAATCAAAACACTCTCTCACACCTCATGGGGAGCTAATACTGGTACCCTACTTAAAATTCATAAGACTCTTATCCTTTCCAAAATTGACTACGGAGCCCCCCTTTTTTCAACATCATCCCACATAAAAATATTAGATCCAGTACACAACACCGGGATTCGTCTATCCATTGGCGCTTTCCGATCAAGCCCCATCAGCAGCATCCTCAGCATAGCGGGCATTCCCCCCTTGGACATGAGATGGTCAGAAGAAACATGCAAAATTGCTGCAAGAATGGCAAGAGCCCCCTCCGGCCTCCATCACTCGCCGAATCACACATTTGACCATGTATACAAAAAGTACGAACTAGAAAAAATAATAACAACTGAAATCAGCATATCCCCGCCTTGGCTCATCTCAATGAATATTAACCTGGACTTACACCAACTCCCCAAGAAATCCACCTGCCCTAATCACTTCAAAAACCTTCTCAAGGAAATTTTGTCCTCTACACCTCAGCATTCACTTATTTATACGGATGCCTCTGTCACAGAAAACCACGCTGGGATGGCTATTGTCCACGGAAACACACAAATCCAATGGACATTATCCAACAAATGCTCCATCTACACTGCAGAAGCCATGGCTATCCTCAAAGCAATTGAGTTTGCTATAAACACCATAGAAGTTAACCAGGCCATAATTCTTAGTGATTCCCTCTCTAGCCTCATCAGCATCCAGAACCAATGGAAACCCACCGACATCGCAAGAAAAATACAGAACACACATATCAGGGCCACTCTTGCTGGTAAACACATATCCTACATGTGGATGATACCAGGACACTGCAACATAAAAGGCAACGAGCGCGCTGACATGGCCGCGAAACCGGCCCACTCATCCAATGACTCCCTCTCAGCTCTGGACTTCTCATACCAAGACGTAAAAAGAATCATTACCAAAAACATACAGGACCAATGGGAAAACAAATGGGTTAGATTAGCATCAAAACTACACGAAATCAAACGAACCACCTTCCCTTGGCCTTTCCCTGAGAACACCACGAGAAAACAGGAGACTTCCATTACTCGCCTCAGGATCGGTCACACACACATTACACATCAACACCTCATGAAGAGAGAAGAACCCCCCGTATGCACCTGCTGTGGCACCCCCCTAACCGTCAAACACATCCTCGCTGAATGTCGGAGCTATGACCAGGACAGGAGAAACGCAGACCTGCCAGACCAGCTTTCCGAGTCATTGAACCCAGACCCACGCAACGTCAAAAGCATCATAGATTTCATACACAATTCCAAGCTTATCAACAAAATTTAAAAATATAACTGTTTCTTTCATAAAATTACTCATATATAATGCATAAGATTGTTATTTAATTATGTAAAATAATGACAGTCCAATGACCACAGCTGTCGCGGACTATATTTAATGAAAAAAAAAAAAATTACAATCTAATTCGAATTGTATTTTACAACTATTCGAATGTTTAAAAATGAAGTTTTCGAATCCAAATTACAACCATAGTTTCTACTATTAATGGTTATAATTTTTCAGTGTGTAATTACTGATATGTCAACTCATATAAACGTATTACAATTACATATAATGTACGTATTGCCATATTATTTAGATTTTAGCTTTGAAGCAGACACATTTTGGGTACTTGGTGTGACTTGGCCAAAAATCACCAAAAGAAAGAACTGTGTAAAGCCATTTGAATAATGTTAAATTAAAGCCTAATAAAAAATAATAATATATAAATTAATTATTTAATTTGAAAATTTCGAGTTTCATACTCAACACAGATCGTTATATTAGTTTGTATTATAAAATTTAATTTTGGTAAGTGATCTATAAATTTTAGTTTTAAGTTAACTGTTATCATATAATATCAAGAGTCAAGGTCCAAGGTTAATAGATAATAATTAATTTTGGTCTTGGCCAGCTATAAAACTGATTTTAAGTAACAAACTGTCAAAATAATAAATTAAGTAATGAAATACAAAAGTATCAAATACAAAGCTATAGTTACTGTAATAGTTAATTTTAGTTCTTAGCTAATTTTATTCGTTACCTTTTAGGTGTATACTGATTTCTAGTCTTGGCCCAAGTACGATGTCTTTAAATAACGAACAATTTATAAACCAATCTACTCCAATTAATTTACCATTACGAGGAAAATACAAAAAGTGAGTGTTCTTGATTCTTACCTACTTAAATCATTTTCAGAACATCTAACGCCAACTAGTACCTAATTTATTAAGTCGATGGGAAAATCTTAAAATGTATTTTGTAATATTCGTATTATAATAATCATAGGAGATCTTTTAATTTACTTTTAATTATGTATACGTATTGCTGCTATTAATGTGATAATATGTTTAAAATTGTTCACTACCTACATAACTAGGTAATTTATGTACTATACATTATCAGTTGACAAAACTTATAAAAAAAAATAAAATGTGCTCAATGCCTTCTACTAATACAATAAATGTAAATGTAATAAATTAATTTGTTTTATACCTATGTGTCTAAAATATTGTTTTAGGAGTTTTGGATATGTTTCAATGTGTGAAAGAATGCCAAAATTATTTACACAAATAATTAATTATTTAAAAATACAACCTTTGGAATCGGTGAGAAATTATTTTTATTGTAATATTATTTAACATATATATTATAGGTATAACCTAAATAGACTAATCTAAATATGAGATAAAAATCACAATAATTATAATTTACGTGGGTAATATCAGTTCACTGTTAAACTATAAGTCATGTCAAATTTTTTTATATCTCAAAACTTATTTTTAGAATGAGCAACAAGAAATGGAAAATGTTATAGAAGAAATTAAGTTATTGGTTGATGAAATTATTAGTAACAAACCTCTTCGAAAAATCAATGCAACATTTAAATTAGCACTTGTATGGAATCAAATTTTGGATGAAAAACTTGCAAGTGATTCCATAGTTTCATGGTTCGATTCAGAATGGCTGTTCACTGAAAACTATATGTATATACGAATAAAAGAAGCGTTTGCTAAAACGTAATTAAAAATAATTTTCTACCAACACTTTGTATTAATAGTATGTTGTGAAGAAATAATAACTTTTTTAATTTATATTTTATTAGATCGTCTTTGCAGAACTACGATCCATTTGAGTGCCTTAAGTCTAATGCTTATAATGAATCAGAATTGTCTATGATATCTTTAGCTGAATTTATTTTATTAAAGTTATCTAATAAAGAATTAGACACAGACGGAATTTATATACTTTTTAAACAAATACTTAAGGTTTGTATCCATTCAAAATTATTGATCTCCATTAGTATTATATATATATATTTCAATGTTAGCTGCTGTCATTTTTAACAAAAGGCTAGCTTACCTGTATATTATAAAACCAATGCTTAAATTAATACAATTTTGTCTGTATTTATTGTTTGGCCAAATTATTTATACGACATTAAAAACAGATATCTTTATGGGGAAACAGATGTGATCTTTCGCTTAGCGCTGGCAAATCAATGGCTGTATCTGAAGATCCATCAAAGGCTATTGTGTCGTTGGATAAATATTTATTAGCTGATCATTCCAATGACATTTGGAACTTAATGCAACAGATAAGTTGCCAAAAACCTAAGAAAATTGGTAACTTTTCATTCTATTTAACAAAATAGTAATTGTTATTATATTAACGTATTTTTAGACTTAGAACCCAATTTAAAATTTTAGAATTCTAATAGTACAATTTTTATAAGCATATTGTTAAATTGATTAACCTGTAAAACTATAACTTTAACGGTATTCTATTTATTAAAAAAATACAAATCGTTTAATTGTTATAGATTAAAGTATATACATTTAATATGTTTTTTATATTATGAAGTATAATAATTTTTCAGATATTATTATGGATAATTCAGCATATGAGCTCTTTACGGATTTGTGTTTAGCCGATTTTCTTTTGACATTTGAGTTGGCCGACGTTATAGTTTTCCACGGAAAATCCATTCCTTGGTATGTATCAGATGTCACTAAATTGGATTTTGAAGGAATATTGGACCATTTAGAAAATAAAAGTACACATAGTGCTCTTAAAAAACTTGGAAAAAAATGGAGTGAATATTACAAGAATGGTATTTATCAATGTTATTTTAAATTTAATACCGTTACTTTTTTACTGTCGCGTTAAATGTTCACAAATGACAATTTTTATAAAAGTAATTGCGTACAAATATTGTATAAAATTAAATAATATATATTATACATATATTTATGATTTTGTTACGTAGGAAAATTTATACTGAAGTGTGAAGACTTCTGGACATTGCCCTATCCATATTCTAAAATAGCCTTAAAAGATTATGATCTATATACAAATTTGGCTGATTCTCAGTTATTGATATTCAAAGGTGAAGTGTGCAAGATATTTTAAACTAATTTATTTTAACTGTGATGAACTTTTAAGAGTCGACTATATTATGATTTTGCTTACATTTACAGGCGATCTAAACTATCGAAAGCTGATTGGCGATATCAATTGGATACCAACGACCGATTTTAAACAAGCGTTATGTGGATTCTTGCCGACGGCGGTTGTTGCATTGCGAACATTAAAGTGCGACTGTATCAGTGGGCTTCCTTTGGACTATGAAACAAAAATCGAGCAGGTGGATGAAAATAATTGGCTAACTACTGGAAAATATGGTGTAATACAGTGTGCCAAATAGAATTATTTTGTGATATTGCGGTTAATTTTATTTACGTTTTGTTATTTCTATATATTTATTTTTTTTTTGGCTATATATTATAAAACAATGTAATGCATTTATTTTATTGTTAAAATATGTATTATATTATTATAGAATGTGATATATAATAATTTGAGAACAATAGTAAAAGTAGATGAGAAATATTGATAATAATTATTATAAACGACAAATTATTTATTATATCAGTTGGCTGATTAGTACTTGTGTGGACACCTACGATTATATCCTAATAGCTTACAATAACTTTACTTTGATTATTTTGGTACAATTTCATAAATTATCATATATTATTTATTAATACTGCTCCATTTACATAAATAGTTTTAGTGACTGAAATATAATTTTCTGTGTGCCACACTACAGCATTAAAGGTTGTAACAGTTTTGAATTGGTTTACTTTAATCGTGGTTAAAGCTGCAAGCACAAAATGACTTTTTCAAATGAAATAACTATGCGACACAAAAATGTCTATGCATGAACGGTTTAAATCGACATATTTTTTTGGACATTTACATATATCAGTGTCAAGACATTTCTGTACAAGTGAACAAGGCCGAAATCATTTGTTTTAAGTGGGAAATATCGACTGTTAGCTATCTCAATTTTGGAACATAATTGTTTTTTTCTGTTGGGACAAATTTTATTATGTTGATTTGAAAAATATTTTAACGGTCTGAAATCATTTCTTCCTTAAAAATATCGCTCATAGGTAATGTGAGTGCACTGTGCGGCTTAATAATAATATTAATATCGTGGTGGATTTATGTATATATAAATCCACTTTGATTAATATATTAATTAGTAATTATGTCTTGGAAATTGCCAGTTGGACATTTTTGAAAAGGTGTTTACTGATAAGACATTGATGAGATTGATAAGACAGGATTTGATAATAGTTATCAAAATATGACAAATCCGGGTTATGTTACTATTTATTAATTATTAAGTTTAAGTTAAACTGAGAACTTGAAAGTTTAAAACCTCTTATAAAAAAAAGGCTAAACTAGTACTACTATTATTCATCCAATTAAATTTATGTGAATTGACTCTAAAGTACAATGGAAAATACAAATGCACCGGCTGATAACATGGAATTTGATGGCACACAACTAGCTAGCGTAAGGATAACATTTAGAAAAGAAATCATTAAAATCTTTCTTTTCAGTTTCAAAAATAAATATCTTATACTTAAGTTTGATAACGTAACGTAAGCTAATTTTTTTTAACTGAATATGATAATTTTTACTCTACACCGGGTTATACTTTTTTTTTAACTTTGATTTATATTTTAATTTTGCAAGAATCTTCCGCTTACAATAATGGCTGAAAATAATTAACTCCAGCGATTATAATATTTAAAAGCATTATTGAGAAAAAGAGTTTGTGACTAGGTATTAGTAGTTAAGCAGTAAAGCAAAAAAGAAAAAATTACACCAAATTTTTTTGATTTTAACTCGTTAGACATTTTAAGTACGACTTAAAATAAAAATACATTAAAACTGGTTATCAACTAATGAAATTGTCTTAGTATATTGAAATAATATTAATAACTGTTACATTTTTTCATTTTTAGATAAAAGAAATATTCAAGTCTTACAACAAATTAACCGAGTTATGTTTCATGGATTGTGCCAATGATTTTACAGTAGGCGATCTCAAAAGTGATGAGGTAAGCTAAATATTGATACTACTTAAACTATCAAACAATATTAGTATAAATATTTTTGTGTAATCGTATAACAAATTTTATGTATTTTCTAGGAAAAATGTGCACAAAATTGTACAAATAAATTTCTTAAAGCTTCAGAAAGAATGACGCAACGGTTTCAAGAATACCAAATGGTTATGAATGAACATTTAATAACCGCTCAACAAAGTGCAAAATCCTAAAATGTTACCTTTATTGATAAATTCAGTCAACTAGTGTTTTTGATTTCATAGTTATTAATGTATGTTTTTAATTTGTTTAAATAAATTAAAATTAAATCCATTTAAAAATAAAATTGTGTAACGATCATATTTCACCTGACCGTTACTTCGCGTCCCAAACCTACTGACACAGCACCCCCGACTATAGGTAGGGGAACGGTCGCACACACAGGACAATGCACGTCGCGTATCATCTAATTAACCAGTTGACTTTACCATCACGGACCGCCAATATCCTCGACCTTGCGCTCTATATTTTTGCCGTTTTACTACAAGCCGCCCATCCGACTATCTTTTGTGTGCGTCCGTTTCAACTCCGCTTTGACCAACCATTTCATTGTCCAACCCAGGTCAGAGTGTATATATATATATATATATATATTGTATAATTTTGTATTTTATTTAGTAACCCTAATTTAGAATAAAACATCTTGTAGCCTGCAGCTGAGAGTTGGATTATTTAACAGTGTGACCGCCCGTTCTAGCTCCTCGGGCGATATATTAAGTTAATAAGGGAGACTTTAAGGCCAATTAGACGTAGACAGCGGCCTAGCCAACCGTTTTCCCGTGGGGATCCGTCTATTTTAGCCTTATCGACGGCCACTTTGCCTAGTCTAGCCAGCTAGACAAGTAGGTCCGTTACAACTTGGTGGAGGCGCCGATTGCCGTTAGTTTTATTTTTTACCCTGGGGGAGAACCCATTTTGCAAGGGAATAAGCTACGGCCACGACCCCATAAAACTGCACTGATTATTTAATTCACTCTCGGTTTGTGTTAAGGTGTTTTATTTTACGGTACAAATTGCTCTGGAATTTTAAAGTATATTTTATTCAACTTAAAATACGTTATTTTTTTTATTCAATTAAAAGTTAATTATGAATATCACTCCGCAATGCTTTTCCGGTCAATTGACCGAAGATATTAATGATTATCTAGAAACTTACGATAGGATATCGGCTGCGAACGACTGGAGTGAGGCGCAAAGGCTAATAAGGTTTCCACTATATTTAAGAGAACAAGCGAAAAAGTTGTATAAAAGAATAGAATTTAAAACGCAGATTTAAAATGGGCAGATTTGAAAAAGGAATTTTTAGAGTAGCCAACCGTTTTCCCGTGGGGATCCGTCTATTTTAGCCTTATCGACGGCCACTTTGCCTAGTCTAGCCAGCTAGACAAGTAGGTGCGTTACAATTGTTTACTAAAAATATGATTCACTAATTTAATTTGAAACTAGCAACTAATAAATTTTAAAAGGGTGGTTAAAAGCCCATACTAACCATACCTCAAATTTACATTTCTGTGAATAACATTATTAAATTATAGAGAAATAATATTTTAATTTTAGTATTTTTAAAAAATATAGAATTATGCGTATTGTATATGAAAATAAGTGATCTAAACAAAAAATAAGGATCTTATAAAACAATAGCATATCCTGGCTGGGTTTCTAGGTTAGGTTAGGTTAGTTGAGTGGCAAAAGAGCTTTAATGTCAGAAAAACATAATTTAAGAGTGGTTTTCTGTTTCTTTGTGTGCTGAAAGTGGGAAAATTTTTTAAAAAATCCTGGAGACCTAGAAATTAATTTTTCAAGGTCAAGTTTTTATTTTTTGCTGTAATTATTATTATATTATTTGCAGGGAAATTAAATATTTTAAAAAGAACGTAAATAAAAATTAGAATTTCTCAATATATATATTGTACAAAGTAAAATGTAGACATAGGCTATTGCGTTGAATTATTTAAATTTATGGTCGACAATGTACTAATGTCTAATCGAATACATTTTTCTAAACTTATGATGACTCATCAGTCATCACTGTTAACTGCAAGTCTAAATTCGATACTGTTTCTATTTTTCTCTTAATTTTCACTTACTATTGTATTCTTGTGGGTAAGATAAAACAAATTAAAAAACTAAAAAAATTCGCAAAAAATATATTGCAATATGTATTATTAAATTATTATTATTATTTGATAGGCAACAATTTCATAATTTAAAAATGATTATTTCATTTTATATGCAAAAACATAATTTATGCATATTGCATAAAAAAGTAGTGTTTATATGGTATAAAAAGTTCTGAAACGGATTCTGGTAAAGTGGTAAGGAACACATTCTTTCATAGGAGGACCCATAAAATACATGCAATTGTACATTATAAATCCGCGGTCTAGTTATAAGGGCTTATCCTAAAATGGTACCCAGGTATTTTTGTCCTTTGTTCTAAATAGGGATTATTGTTGAGTTTAATAGCCGGGGCCGGGCATATTTCGGGACAGTGGGATAAAGTAACACGGTCCGACTTATGTCAGTCGATTGACCTTCCAATTTTCTAAACCGCGACACGCTGAAACAGGCCTGTATAAATTATACAAAATTGTGGGTTTTTCCAATGCCGAAGCGATCGTGTGAGTCATCCGGTTGTGCTAAAAGCCAAAAGGTGTCTTGTGGAGTTGGAATTTTTCGAAAAACACATACAACGTAGCTGTTGACGGCCCATTTCCCAACGGCCGAGCAAAACGGCGGCTGTTCAAACACCACTACGCACCTCGTTGCGACGTTCGCCTAAAAATGCGTGGGTTGAAATAACAATGTTATGTAATCGCACGTGACCTACTTCCGTCTTTGTACGTACACCATCTCGAATCGAACACCACTCGTATAATAGCGTACGATCCGAGCACTACGGTACGGGTGGCCAGAACAAAGCAACTGCTAGCCTGAAATCGCATCAAATGGAACCCGTCGAAACCGCTTGAAATCGTTGAACCGCCGCAGTCCCTATCCGAAGGACTTCGCGACGGTTTACCCTCGAGACCGCGGGCGGCCTCGACGGCACTCGGGCAGTCACCAAAGATACCGCGTGCACGCCAAACCGAAACGAGGGCGTCGGTTTTTGAGCTGTAGTAAGCTTGGGTTCTGAAAGAGTGTTGCGATCGCGTCGCGGCCATGTTGACCGATTGTCGGGATGCGAGGGGATTCGGTTTGTCTGGAAAAATTCCCGAAAACATTACACGGGAGACCGGATCCGTCGGTGTTGCGCACGATTGCGCATGACGTACAAATCGCGCTCCTTTGTGCCATCCGTTGTTGACGATTTGTAAAAAAAAACAATCGTGCGCAAAACCGACGGATCGGTCTCGTTTAATGTTGTCGGGAATTTTGCCAAACAGACCGAATCTTTCGATTCCTGACAATTGGTCAACATAGCCGCGACATTCTTTTGCAAAATCGAAGCGTACTTACAGCTCAAAAACTGATGCGCTCGTTTCGGTTTGGCGTACACGCGGTGTCATTTCGGTCACATTCCCAGTGTCGTCGGGGCCGCCTGCGATCTTGATAGTAAACCGCCGCAATGTCCTTCGGATAGGGACTGCCGCGGTTCTTTGATTTCAAGCGGTTTCGCCGGGTTCCATTTGATGCGATTTCAGGCTAGCAGTTGCTTTATTCTGGCCACCCGTACCGTAGTGCTCGGATCGTACGTTATTATACGAGTGGTATTTAATTCGGGATCGTATTCGAAGCCGGAAGTAGCAGTACAAACGGTTGTAGAGTACGGGGTGTACTACAGCCGTTAACATTAAGCTCAGGCTCAACTGACCTCCCCGGGAACCAACCCAGACGTCTCTATAGGACACGACGCAGTGACTTGAGGCGCCAAGGTTTTTTTTTATACCCAAACTAGGCGCACCAAATGAGGAGGAGTGGTGATGTGTTGATAGTTTTAAAAAACTACAGGTTGTTACTTTACTTCTTGGATTACTCCAGCTGATTCGAGATTACAATTTAAAAGAATCGTATCCCAACATAGATGTTGTATTGCCAATGCCCGTTACTATGTAGCCACGCGTGAACGTAGCTTTAGCAAACATAGACTCATAATGAATTATTTAAGGTCCTGGTTATGGGCCAGGACAAACTATCAAAATGGGCTATTTTGTCTATAAAAAGTTAAGTTGCTGGAGATGTTGATTTTGAGGATGTTATTTGCGATTTTGCAGCATTCAAATCGAGAAAAATATAATTGTGATTCTGAAAAATGTTGTATGTTTTTGCACAATGCTCTTCCATTTAATACTATTCAATATTTTTAAGGGGGGGGCACATATATTCAGATTTTCCTCAGGCGCCAGAAGAGCTTGCTACGGTTCTGGTTGTAAGCAAATGTTTTACAATTGTATGTTTTTAATAAAAGCGACCAAGAAATAGATTTTAAAATAATCTTCCTATTTTTTTTTTATAATTTTGCTTACGCTCAAACGATGTATTTGTGCTTAATGAAAAAAAACCGTGCAACTGTCATTTTTAATAGGCAGGGCGACTAGCACGCGACAAAAAAAAAATATATATATATATACCTAATTCATATTGTAAAAAAATGATTTCATTAAGCTATTTAAACATTTTCGGTTATTGGCTTAGCCATCGTTTAGGAACCCTTCTATTATTTTTTCTCATTTCAAATTTCTACTAAATGTCCCAACTGTGCTTCCTAACCTAGAATTTTACATTGTTTTGCCCTTTTGGCGTGAAAATGGACGAATTGGAAATTTAGTAAGGTGTAATTTTATAGAGCTCTGGAAAATACTAAATTATAAGCTTTTGAATTGATTACTAATTCTTATGATAATCCTTCTGACCATGCAGCCTTTTCTATAACATGTTATAAACTTTTTATAACATTGTACATTTAAATATATAGATACGTACTTACGAAAACGAAAAAGAACAAAATAACTAAAGTAGATTAATAATCTTAACCTTAACTCATGATTCATGCACAATCATCTTTTTTCTTCTAAATAAAATAATACTTAACGACATGTCATGTAAAATTGAGCACCACATTACTTTAAATGTTAAGCAAGTAGGTAGTTAACAAACAAATTGAAGCAACCTGCATGAAACAAACTTTAGAGAGAATAGCAATTAAGTATTTTCAATTTGCAATGAAATTTAAGGCAAGTGGCACGGAACTCCATTAAATTTAATTTCCGATAAAAAGTCATACTATCACTTTCTGATCCGTTTGGTTAGAGAGACAGCATTATGAGAGAAAACTTAATGCATTAGCGTGAAAGCTTAGGTTTTAATATCTAAGTAGAAAGATGCGCCCCACGTTTTTCTAGTTCACCTGTCCTATTTGGTTATCAACACCCCCGGAGAGTGATTTTATACTTTTTAAGACGCATAAAAACGTTCTTTTTAGATTAATTTTTTAATCAAATTTTTGTTGATAAAAAGAAAAAGGAGGGATCATAATATTCTAATATAAAAACTGTTATAATAACAATTTATACATATGGATTTATAAGGTCTGAAATACGTTACGGATTTAGTCATATCGAAATACTGCATATAAATCTGTTAATCTGAGAATTCGAATTATAAAAATTTCTCCTTTAAAGTCAATTGAAGGTATGTAGTGGTGAATGTATTCAGTCTCAAACCTCTGGTCCCGATAGCAAAATTGTTTATAAAACTCGTCCGATTTCCGAAATATGTTTTTCGATTGCTGGAGACCATCTCATCACGTTTCGGTCGGTCCACGTGATGCTATTGTCGTAGGAGCTTTTGAAACGTCTTAGCAAGTCGAAGATGCTTGTTTTGTACACTGTATCCGCAGACAAATTGTAAAAAAAAAAACGATAACGCGTCAATCGTGCGCAAAACCGAAGGATCGGAGTCGTTTAATATTTTCAGGAACTTTTCTAAACACACTGAATCTTGAGCTTGCCGGCAAACGGACCACATGACCACGACGTGGTCGCAACACTCTTTTAAAATCGCAGCGTACTTACAGCTCAAAAATTGATGCGCTCGTTTTGTAGTTTGGTTTACACGTTTTCTTTGGTGACTATTGGACTGCCGACGAAGCCGCCTGCGGTGTTGGGTAAATTGTCAATGTCCGTGTTTATAATTTTTTTTTAAAAACGTCGGGGAGCTTTCAAAGTTTTTAAAAGGTCCGAAATTCCTCGGTCCCCCTTGTAGTTACGTTAATATTACAAAATCTACTGAATAATACACTTTAAACCCTTCTCGCAGTCTTTTTACGTTGATGGCATGTCTCTTGGGCGACGTTAGGCGAAACAAATTTGATTTTGTCCCTTCTCTCGCCTCATTGAAGTCTTTTTCCATATACCAATGCGCCTACCTTTTCTATTATTTTTTAAAGTTTACTGTGTAACATAAATTGTAAAAAAAATGCGTCGAGTGTAGTATGTTGTAACATAAAACCGTATAGCCAGGCGAACGGTGAGCGGTACCGGACAGTCTGGAATCACTGCGGATGTTTGTTACCTTTGGTTTTTGTTCTGATAACAAAAAGGACCAATCAAAACCTACAATGATAACGATACTGGCGAATGGGAGTGAACGTTTGAAATCTAATATCAACCGTCGTTTGACGTTTGATAACGGGTATTGTATTTATCAAGTCACAAGTCACAAGTGTGCACCGTGCACGGTGCACTTCGTTCTGGACGGTAGGTAGTAGTGTGCTTAGGTGATAGGACTTGGGACTTGAGTGTACTCGAATATTGCCGCCGAGTTAGGGACATTTTGTGTGCAGCACGGTGAAAAATAAATCATGTTGGAGCTGGACAGTAATTCTACACCGCCAAAATGGAAACGTCCGGAAGACGTGATGAGACTGCACCGGATGAAAATGAAAAAGCGCGCTTTGCAAAGTCGATTTTCAAAATCGATGGACGCTTCGTCGTCCGCCGTTGCGGCCAACTGCCAGACCGGCCAGCGGTCGCCTGCAAAAAACCCATTTAGGTAACGGACACAGCTCAGCTGACAAACGGTTCAAATACTTTACAGTACGGTGTGTAAAAACTATAATCACCTTTTTTTTTTTTGTTTTGTTTTCTGTGTCGTAAGGCGAAAGACGCCTGTCAAAAACAAACAGGCCGACACGCGAGCCGTGTTGAAACGATCGCGTATCGAGTGTGAAGACGACAACGCTTGTTCGTCGAATCTGTCGAAACTCTTACGCGAATGTGAGTCTGTGCCGTCCGTATCGAGCGGTTTGCAATGTCAACCTTTGGACGAGAGCGTCATATCTTTTGCAGATGTATTACGTCAAACAATTAAACCAGTAACTATCGTTGAACATGTAAGTGTATAAATATATGTATGTGATAATTTATTAACAGCAGTACACATCAGTTTGGCTAAACATTTAAGTATATACTAGAATTATACGCTAAACTATGCTTAAACTTGTCATGTCAAACTGGTGACAAAAGATATTATGTAATTGTTTGTTTCGATTAGACCAACTTTGAATGTATGATTAACACAAATAAAGTACAATATACAACATTACAATAGTTTCAATGTAAAAGTAAAAAAATGCTGACAAATAGTTTATTGTACTTGTGTAAGTCCATCCTTCTAGAAAAGCCCAATTATCAAAATAAATATAGTAATTTCGATTTTTACAAAACACAAATTCTTAAATAACAAAAAATAATTATCAAAATTGATCCAAATTTTTATCCGTGTATTGTTGAGGAAATAAAAATACAGTTTAGGACTTCATATCTGGAAGTTTCACATCTCGGGTGTTTTTCAAATAATTACAATAAATAAAACAATAAGTCCCAAATTATATAGTAACAGTATTAAATTACATACAGATTAAATTGTGGGTCTCTGTACAGTGCCTCGCTCGCACTTGCATTATAATGATTGTACATTTTGAATTGGAAAAAACCATAGAAAAATTAGAAGTGTTGTACTGATATTATTTTTATGTTAAGAATGTTGAAGAAATCACCGGAGAACCGAGTTTGCCGCTCGATTGGACATTGCGTACTAAAGTACGTTTTTTGTCACCAAATTCATTCCCGTGGAGTCAAAAAATCAAAACGTGCGAAGAAGCATCGGCAACAACTGGGTTGGTATATATATATATATATATATATATATTTACTACTATATATCTTATTAGATCAGTACTATATTATTATGTATTTATTCCTAAAGGTTTGTTAGATGTTTGGATACGGAGCACAGTGAAACTTCACTAGATACTAATCCAAATAGTCGTTTCCATCAGTGTTGTATGGCATGGCAACACCCTTCTTTACCTTGGGTAGATCTTATTCATCGAGGTCCTCGCACGGCGATTAGAGATTCGGCTAACAATGTTCCGTCAGTTAACGCCAATTCAGTGTTCAGAGAGTCCCTATTCACCCATTGGATAGATAGTTTTAGATCGTTATTTCAGGTAAAAAAATCGGCAAATAATTTTGGTGTCAAAATTAATCTCTTTTTTCTTTTTTTTTTTACTTCTTTAGCTTGTTCGAGCTAATCAATGTCCTTTCTTCTATGTGCTTGCCAACGCTTTTACCTGTACTTTTCGAGCCTCTACCATCGGCGGCTACGAAGAACTAAACGCTATGATATATCCGACCACTCAAGGTCTTCGAGATGTCTTGCGGCGAGAAGGTATTCCTTTAAGAAGAAGGTTTTCGTTAATATTTATAATAATACATATCTTTGATAAATTTCAACAGATATAGAGTTTACAATGCCGTTGTTGGAAGAAGATGAAAACGGTAGTGAACTCTATGCTGGAAAGACATCTGAAAACGCTAAATTCGGTGAAGACGAGGAACCCGAACGGTGGCTGGAAACAATGGGAGCCGAGCAGTCTGAAATAAAACGTTTACAGAGTTCCCAGGTACACACACCCACTTGGTGGTTGATTTGATTTTAATGGGAATCAAACCAGGGCTTTATTTTTGAAAAATTCAAATACTAAATCAAATTATATTTTTCATTATTAACAATTATCAAAATAATTAATTCAAGTTAATTTTTTTTTAATATAAGCCTATTTAAAAATAAATAATCAATATAATTTTCTATTTAAATACAAATGGAAATATTAATGTAATTAACAAACAATTTAGACCTGAAGTTGAAAATGTATTTAAATAATTTGATAATCATTTGTTCTTTCAATTCATTATATTATATTATTTGAGTTTTTATTTAAATACATCTTTACTTTTAATAACATCGATGCGCCCTAATACGAAGCATTATTTTATTATTTGTGTGTCGTATGTTTTCAGAATGAGCTCGTGTCTGGCCGTCAACGAAAAATTGACCAAACCAAAGAATCGTTAGTCTGCGTGACTGGAGTAGAAGCTCAAGCTTTGTTTAACTGGTTAATCAATTGCCGCTCGTCGGTTTCAAATACTGGACCTCACGCAGGAATCCCACCCACGCTTTTAGCTCCGGTCGCGTTTACCGGAGCCACCTTGACACCTCTTAAAGTATACACTTCAGATTATTGCGCAAAATTGAAAAAGATCATAATTTTTTACTCCGGTTTCAGGTTAGACAGAGCACCGTCAAAGTGGATGGTCAAAGTTACAATTCGATTGAAGTCAAAGGTCCAGTAATGCCGGACGCGGTTCATAATTTTTGCGACTTGTTGTCCAGTTCTTTAAAGAAATTTACAGCTACGTTTGCCAACTTGGACAGTACAAAGCCGTTTACATTAGCTTCGCAATCCAAGAAAGGTATATTTACCAATTGAAGTTATAGCATGTGTTAAATTTAAAAATTTGCAATCAATCTCTTCTGTCTAGTGGTTTTAACCTGTTCAATGTGCATTCCGATGTCTCGCCTGCTCCTACTTGAATTAATACAATTTTTTTTTCTTCATTTTAGAACCAGTCAAAAGTCAAAAATCCGAAGAAAATGCAATTCATCTATTTGGCCAACAAAATCTGAGCGATTGCGGCCTCAGAAAAACGGTCTTACAAACGTTTTGTTCGACAAACACTAAAGCTTTTGACAGTGTCAAATATACTAAAGAAGACGGTTATTTTATATCGTGATATTTTTTTTTTTTATATTTATACATTCGATGCAATGACGTTATTTTATGTACATTTTATAATATTTGTTAGTCAATCCACTTTTTTTTATGTATATATTTAAAATGTCGACCATATCTTATTTAGGGATCAAACTAAATGTAATATATTTATTTAAAATAAATTTAGAAATTAATAATTCAAATCATCAGTTGCGCTGTCACAACTGTGTACGTGTTACTTTGGTTTAACGGGTGTTAGTCTATTTATTTCTTTAAATAATACCGAAGTCACTTTAAAGTAAATGAAAGCCAGCCAGTGGTAACGGAGAGGTGACAAGTACTTAGGATAATGTAAACGGTAAAAACTATAAATTAAAAATAATTTTTTAGACAATACAAATAATTTATTACGAACCACTTGTCATTTATAACTTAGTTGCGATCAGTTTAAAAATACTAAGGTTAAAAAATTGGCATCGCATGTGCTTCTTTATTGTATCACTAGAAGTCGTTTCTGGTTTATAAACTATACATATACAAGATGCACTATGCGGTATTATAAATAACGATTTTACAGGAAAATTATATTGAATGTGGACCATTGACTAATAAGTAAATTAAAGTATGCAGGTTTTGTTTAATATCATTACACTTTCAATTAGTTGTATATAAAATTACAGTGAAATTTTAATAAATTCAATAAGTTTATTCTTCTTGTTCAGACAAACATTTTTGTCTTCTCATATAAGGAAACGGTTAAACAAAAAAATTACAAATAACAATAATAAATTATCCATTAGGTGTCCATAAAACATTATTGTTAGATTTATCACACCATTATTATATAAGAAAAAATAAATAAATAATAACATTCTAACACGAATTTCATCAAATTCATAGTACATCGTTTTTAATTACACATTATCAATGCTGAAAAAAAAACAAATTTTAAGCCGTAGTCGATACACCAGTCATATTAATTTGAATTAAATATAATTCAAATATTTAATTAAAATCAAATAATACACTTAATATTAAAACAACATTATACAAATATATTACCAAAACGCTGTTTATAAGAAACAATAATAATTATTTTATTAAATATTAGGATAAATATATACATATAGACAATCGGATTAAAACTGAATAATGATAAGTTATTTTATATTATTGAATGTTACCCAGTTAAAACCAGGAATGAACAAATAATGTAACTTACATAATATAATATTAATAGATTTCAATGGCAAACAGTATTATAATATATTTATGTAAAAATAGACCTTAAGAACATTGTTAATGGCGCTTTAAATTTAAACAATTGTATTAATTGTTACATAAATAGTTATTTTTTTGAACAATTTAATACAATTATTTCACTTTAGTGCCTAGCCGATTTATAGGAATACATAAATTATGAGCTTAGGTTTTAATTAATAAATTGAGATAAAAAAAAAAAAAAAGAAGCAAATGAACATATTACTACAACTACTTAATAGAAATAACATGAGTGTAATAAAATGATTATCTAATTTTAAAGATGATACTAGTACTTGGCTGAATCCATTAGTGTTGCGGGCGAAGTGGATGGTGGAGGCGGATTGGGTGATGGTATCTGTGAACCAGTTGGTATACCGCCACCGGTAATATTGGCAGCGAGTGGCACGATGGGCTTGATAAAGCGTTCATTACCCACACGGCCCAATGATAAGGTTCGGGATTGATTTATCTGCACAATAAAGATTGAAATTCAAATAAATGCATAAAGAAATACCTAATGGTTTTTTTAAAACTATAAAATTCTAATATATATTAATTTAAACAAAATCAACTATTAGCGCTATAATATAAACTTTAATTACATACCACTTGTGTAGTGGGACATAACGGTGAGGATGTTGCTCCAATGACGAGATTGGTGGACGGTACGGCTTGACCACAAGCATAGCAACGATTCATATTTGTATAGCCTAATACACCGATTTCGCCTCGAAACACACCTGGAAAATAAAGCAACAGTTTAATAAAATTAAAAACACACATAATTAGACTGTACTAGTTTTTTAAGAACAAACTTCAAAGCGTTTTGAATAAAATTTAATGCACTTAAAAGTAAATGCCTACAAAAGTACTATCAATGCATTACTAATTTATTTATGTATCACTTTTTATAATCTCTGCTCTAATGGTTTTATTATATATTTTTTTTTTAAACAAAAAACTACCTGCCCTCTACTTACACAACTCATGGGTGGACAAAACACTCATCGTCTACACCTCCACCACCGCACTTTCTTTTTTTCTGCTCCGGTGATGCAGTCACACTACCCGCTTCAGACGCATCTATCGTACAATAAAAAAGAAGTAACATATTGAACATACATACAGAACCTGATTGTACAAATAGCAGGCATTTACTTATTTAAACTAAAATGTATTTTAAGTATTACTACAAAAAATGTAATTCAATTATATCATTAATATCAGGGGTCCGGGTTTTTTCCATGTTTTACTCTAATCTCCAGTTAAGTTCCGGAGCAAACAAAATGTATTCATTCCTTCTGTACTTTGCTCCGAGGTAAATTAATTATTGTTTAAATAATTTAAGGAACAAATACAATTGATTTGTCTGGAACGAACACCAAATGGAGTCAAATAGGCATTTATTTCGGATCACTGATTAACATTAGTAATAATAAATACTTTTTTTTTTATTTAAATATAAATATTAGTTTGTCACACATAATATAATATATTATAAACCGTACCTGGAGTTCCGGCTGCAGATCCCGGACTAAGAGGTCTGGATTGACACGGAGAATGTGGATATGGAAGGGGGCTCGATGATGTCCGACATCGATTCGAAGCCATTTCGTTATACTGACGTTCTTCTTCCATTTCTAAACTACTTTCAGACTCGGATAAATGACGGCATAATGCGGTTCGTCTTTCTACTTCGAGTTGTAATTTCCGCTGTAAGCGTAAATTATCCTCACGTACTTGACGTTCTTCTTTAGCCATTTTTTCCATTTTTTTTGAATCTATAATCAATAATTAATTGACACATTAAATAAAACAATACAAGTACTAAAAATCAAAAAAACTTTATAAGTTTCTCATTATTTGTATTTACTAATAAAAAAAATAGAACGCTAACATACTTTCTTTTTTAGAAACATCAAGTTGGTGACGTAATCTGGTGACTTCGCCACGTAAATGTTGCAAATGCGCACTTATATTCGTGGCCATTTCACCTTTATTAGGTCCAACTTGATCTCTTGGTAATACTGGGTCGGAAATTGGTTGATCCAACTTTATTTGTAATTGTCTAAAACGTATCAAAAATTTGTTTATATTCAATGCACAATGTAAGTACAATATAATAAAAAATTGTATTGAAAAAAAAATTACCTTTTTTCGGCTTCAAGTTTATCCATACGTTTCCACAATTTATTTACCAAAGCTTCTTGCTCTTGTTCCAAAGTGTTTTCTAAATCTACTTTTTCTCTTCTTAATTGTTCCAACGTAGATTGTTTAGTGGTAGTTTCAGCTTCGAGTTTTTCAATTTTACGCATTAGGCGATTAACCAAACACTCTTGTTCTTGTTCGAGCGTTTGCTCTAATTTACATTTCTCTTGACGTAGCTGTTAAGTTAAAAAAAAATTAATACATTATAGATGGAATAAATTATATCTTGTTTATAAAAAAAAAAGCTAATAATAATTACCAACCTGAGTCAGTTTCCGGGAAAGATCATTTGTTAAACACTCCTCTTCTTGTTCATAATGATGAGCTAATGTTTCTTTTTCCTTTTTAAGGGCTTGTATTTTTTTCAGTAATGTATTACTAATGAATTCTTCTTCTTGTTCTGCACGTACTTGCTGAAGAAATAAAAATAACATTCTAAGTATACGTTATCATACCTCAATAGAATGTTTAACCCTGGTCTAAAAGGACCAATCTGTATTTTTTGAAACTTTTGGCAAATGACCATTAAAATATTTGTTTTCACGGAAGGTTTTGTAATCAAAATTACATAAACTTTTTCAATTTTTGCATCAGTAGTTGTTTACACAACATAAAAGAATGTTTTATTTTGTTTGTTTAAGTAGTGATTTAACTCGTTATTACAAAAAACTGACAATGGCTCTTTTGGGTACAAGTTGTATGAAGATAGTTGCGAGTTATATAATGGATTTTAAATATGCATACATGCACATCACACAATGATGAAAACTTTCATATAACAATGTAAGATAGTTAATTTAATGAAGAAATAGTTCCCACGTCCATTTTATGTTAATATGCAAATAAGTGAGAACATTTCACGTTTGAATAATGGTGAGGTAAGACAACAACTGAAAAGTATCAACAATTATTTAGGAATTCTAATTTTAGTATATGTACTGCCGAAGCAAGTACAAATCAATTGCAAGATAAGATAGTTATATTAATATTAACATAATTAATGGTTCAATAGATTTAATATAAAATACATGTAGTTGAATTTTATTTATAAAAGGTATATAAATGTTGGTAATTCCAGAAAGTCTTTACAAATAGCATTATTATTGAGTGGTTCGAGTTCTTATTAATTGATTTAATACAAAAATAATAATTAGGACTACTTTGTTAGCCATTTAAAAAACAAAGTAACTATTATAACCATACGCCCAACTTCAAATAGAATAGTTTAATCATTTCTATAAATGTTCTTCTGTTGGTTGCAATGAATAATTATAAAATATTTTAAATGCAAAATATAATCAATTATGTACATATCCATTAAGTTCTTAGAGGTATTGGTTGAAACTAGAGCTTACAAACATAACATAACAAATTGAACATAATAATTCAATAGTTCGGAAACACATTTTTTATGACTATACGTGCAATAAGAAGCTCTAGTTAAAACCTTCTCCCTTCACAAACTATGTCATTTGCCATTCTACAACCATCATGTATGATATGCATACTTATTCGTTAGTCAACTTACAATATAAACGGAAGTTTCTCTAAGTCGCTTGCATTCTTCATCCATGGCTTTCATTTTTAACTTGTACGTTTCCAATTCCACCTTTAGCACCCGGTTCTGCTGTTGTAGAGAATCGATTCGTTTCTGCATCTGTTCCCTAGTAATAGGCGACGGAGGCATCATTATAGGGCCTCCGTCGATGGACGATGAATCACTTTCGCTCGCACTGTCAGCCATCTCTGGTGTAAATTTACAAACCTACAAACCAACGAACATAGAGCACAAGTAAAATATATGGTACCCCATGGTAAGCTTGGAGTATTGATTGAATGGACAAGACGATAATTGTATGTCTAAACTAATTATTCATGATAATAATACATAGTCTAAGTATCAGTTCACGACTGTATTGTAATGTATAGTGTTCAGCGTACTCACGCCAAACACACTATGTCAACATACCGGAAGTGGCCGGATAGTCTGCAAAAGTAACCGCAAAGCGTGAACACGATCAAACTCAAAACAATATTAGTTTATCCACACATTACGGATGCAAAAAATTACACCACAACACATTCTGGCAAAATGCAAATAAATAATAAAATCTTCGAATGAAAAAAAAAAAAATAACAAGCAGTAAGGCGAACTTTCGACAGTATGATCAATTCCAATAATCCGTACGTAACCTCAAAATTAACTTAATGTTCCCCCAGTGTGGCTGCACTGTTCACCCAGGAGATGTCCAATTAAAAAAAAAAAAAAAATTCAACTGTAAATTGCTAATTCGGCAGGCTATAGGCACAACTATGCCTACATTTTAGAGGGTGATAAAGTTATGTAAATCTAAACTAAACGTAATTCTCATCATCAAACCATTAGACATAAAACACTTTATATATCGTTGAAAACAAAAATATTCTAAAATCAAAAATTTGAACACAGTATGTACATTATTAATATTATTATATGCGTACAAATCAAGGAATGGGTTTGAATTTTTCGGGAGTGCTAAAGTCCCCCTACCCCCTCTAATTGTGCCTTTGGAAAATAGTAATAATAACTATCTATTGTCTCCTTTAAATATTGGTTACTGATTATCGAAAAAAAGGTATTTTTGCTTATTTTCGACGATTCGACTTGAAATATTATTAAATGAGTCGAGAAAGACTACAACGAAAAATGTCCGATGTCGAATAATGATTTTTAATGTAACATAATAATACAACAACGTGTAATAAAATCAAAACAAAGGTTGCTTTGAAATGTAAAGTAAAGCACGTTTTGGGCAGTAGGTACACTTATATTTTATTCTGCTTTAAAGTTAAATGAACAAAATAGACAACATTTTATTATCGAGATAGGTAGGTAGGTAGGTATTAGATTTAAAAATGATTTCCTCTCTGAATTGTAAATAAAGACGTTTATGGAATTTAAAAAAAAACGAGCGAGGTTGATTACTTCTTGATGTAAATAGCATACATATCCTACAATATTTATAGACAGATCTAATTTAAAATATAGCACTTATCATATTAAGTGTTTTCTTATTTTTAGCTGGCACCACAGTTCACTAGGTGGGTCAAAATCATTTCCAATAATTTTGGAATTTTAAAAATCTGGATCTACGAGGGTGGTTTTGGCCCTCATTCGGTTGGGCCACCTTTCCAAAATCACCACTGTCGTTTAAACCTGTTGTATAAAAGATGTAGTCGATATTTTATTATAATATTGGATGTCAAAATGTTCAATATTAAATTTCAAGTGGTGAAAAAATGGTTGTCAATGAAATTGAAAGTGTGTGGTTTTAAAGGAGTTTTATATAGGAAATATTTAAGAAAAAAGTAGTTTCGGCCATATAGGTGAACATCTCCATAATTATTGATTTACACTAGAAAATTTAAAATTGTTTCTAAGATTACTGTCGGAGCCATAAAATATACCTATTAAAGAATTTGTTTTGCATTATGTATGTTTTTGAATATTTTCCTATTTTGTACTAAATAAATAATACATTCGGTTAATATTTGTTTATTAAGGTTCGTATCTTAAAAAACATTGTTCAGTGTTTATGTCTATCTCCCTCTAACAAAAAAAAAAAAAAAATGACAAACTTATAATGGGACCTGCTTAGCTTTATTTATCTTAAATTAAATTTACCTTGAGTTAAGTTCAAATTAATTATTACTTCTATACTAATAGTTACATATTAATCGAATCTATACTTATTAATAAGTAGATAAAGTTGGGATTAACGTGTACTAGTCAAATAAAAATTTGGGAGTGAAAGAAAAGGGATTTCAATAATCTACACATAAACTACCTTTTTAGTATAGAAACGCTTAATTTTTTATTATATAATAGCATAGATCATAAGAGTTGTTAAAAAGTAGATATCTATAATATAAACAATATAGACTTGTATATGACTTTCTATGAGGCCTGACATTCCATAATGAAATTAATGAAATTCGTTTACCCGGAACCCATTTTTTTCGCTAAATATTGTAGCATATCACGTCTCCATCTACGACATTCAGCTCAGACTTTCAAACAGGGTATATCGAGTCGAAAATAGATTTAAAAGTTTGCTATAGGTAACAGAATTTGTATCCAACTTTCTTGTCAACGTTTGCTCTTATTGGATGAAAGGTAATGATTAATCGGTAATGCGTAATCATTAAGATTTGCATTGCCCTATATGGGAAGTTGTGTGCAGAATTTTATTTCTTGACTTGTAAAAGTTATAAAACACGAACATTCATATTTTTTCAATATCTCTACGTATCCGGTTACTTGCCGCCCACAGTCTCGTGTCATACAACTTAATATTTATACCTTTTTAAAATATATATTATTTACTGACCACCGAAGACTTGTGTTGTTGTAGATATGTAAATATGATTACCCTACTCGGTTGTCCTTTAGACTTTTGTCTCTCTACGACCTTTCCCGGATTCTTCAAAGATTTAGACATTAGAAACTTTTTTTTTTTTTTAAATAAACACCATTAAGATTTTTTTCACACATTTGTATTCGCATAAGCGGTTCAATTTGATTAAATAATGATAAATATCTTATATAAGATATATACATATTAAGGTCGTTTTTTACACAGGTTACAACTATGATCATAAATGTATTGTTATTAAGTCCTAATAATTAACGATATTAAGTATTCCTGAAAATGATGTAAAAAAAAGAAAAATATTTTGATGTAAGTTGTCTTTTAACTTTAAAGCCTAAAATAGAATTAAATAATAATAAATACGTGATATTATCGTTATCGCCTGCTTAGGCTTATGGACACGCCAATGATTTTTTTTAGTTTTTTTTTAATTTTGTTGGTGTACCTTATTGGAAGACGTCAATAAGGAGGAATACATTACTTATACCAAATCAAGCACTAGAAAAATGTCTAGAATTAACAAACCAGACATAAAAAAATGTTTTTTCAATCATTTTATTTTGAATTTAAATAGTAAGAATTTTACTGAGCCGAGAAATTTAGGACAATTATTTCGTCTGTAGTTAATTCCGGACCCTTACAGCTGTACATAATTAAATTATTATTAATGTTTAAAATAAATTACTACATGTTTTGCTTGCCGGTTACTTCGTATTAGGGATTGTATACTCGTTTCCAAACCACCTATGAGGTAGAGTATTTGGCTCGTTTTTTTTAATGTGGTATCTCCATCTACGATGATGCTCAAATTGTATTTACTGTACAACCACCAGAAATGTGTGGTAGGGGCGTTTCAAGCAATTGTGGACTTAAGTACGCATAGATGTCGATCCGGGCATAACTTAAGACTAACTTATGACTAACTTAAGACTAACTTAATGACTAAAATATCCCGGTATCGACAGACTGGGCGGCCACGCAACAGACAATGGTGGACTTGCGCATCGAAGTCGATCCGGGCATAACTTAAGACTAACTTAATGACTAAAATATCCCGGTATCGACAGACTGGGCGGCCACGCAACAGACAATGGTGGACTTACGCATCGAAGTCGATCCGAGCATAACTTAAGACTAGCTTAATGACTAATAAGACTAACTTAATGACTAAAATATCCCGGTATCGACAGACTGGGCGGCCACGCAACAGACAATGGTGGACTTACGCATCGAAGTCGATCCGGGCATAACTTAAGACTAACTTAATGACTAACTTAATGACTAAAATATCCCGGTATCGACAGACTGGGCGGCCACGCAACAGACAATGGTGGACTTACGCATCGAAGTCGATCCGGGCATAACTTAAGACTAACTTAATGACTAACTTAATGACTAAATTAAGACTAACTTAATGACTAAAATATCCCGGTATCGACAGACTTTGCGTATAAGAGAGTACGAAGGAGGTTATCCAGTAGGATCACGGGATAGATATTGGTAATTTGATTTACAAAAAAATCTTGTTGGTGTACAAAATGTTGTGACTTGATTAACTGGACGCAAATTTTAAAGTAAGTAACTAATTTTTACTTAGCAGAAAATGTGAGAGGTTTATGAACAATAACGAGAACGACCACAACGCGAAAGTGAGAAGTTACAAACGAAAAAATTGTTAATGTAGTTTAGTTCAATTATCTGAAATGACACTAGTGCTAAAATGTGTAAATTTACTTAAATTAATAAATTATAATTGTGCGGTTGTCCAAAATAATTTATAAAGTCAGAATTGAGAATAAAATGGCATCATCGTACATAGACCTAATCCACACAGTACTTGACTAGTAGAGGGGAGGGGAGGGAAGTAACTCAATTGTTTAGATATTTTAGCGTAGGTAACTACTAGGTATCTTTATTTTACTTCCAAGTGAGACCAGAATATATTACTCAGAAATGTATTGATTTAGTTGAAAAAAAATATTTCCAATAATTACACTCCCTTTTTTAAATTCGTCTGAGGAATACATTACTTATACTAAATCAAGCACTAGAAAAAGTCTAGAATTAACAAACCAGACATAAAAAAAATGTTTTTTCAATTATTTTATTTTGAATTTAATATGTAAGAATTTTACTGAGCAGAGAAACTTAAGTACAATTATTTCGTCTGTAGTTAATTCCGGACCCTTACAGCTGTAAACAATTAAATTATTATTAATATTTAAAATAAATTACTACATGTTTTGCTTACGGGTTACTTCGTATTATTTATACTTATTGGGAAATTTATGATCGACCGCCACGTGTAAATAATTGCACTTGAATCTAAAAAAAAAATTTAACATAATAATAGTATTTAGTAATAATTGGATTTGGACTTTAGATTTGATATCTAAATTATTATATATTAAGAGATTTCTACACAGCATGCTGGGTTTTTGCATTACCTACTCTGAAGCCCAAATGTGAAATCGCCCTGTTAGACTCTCAAATGCTTAAATGAATTCACCAACTTTTTAAATTTCAAGTCTTCTTATAAAAGTTTTCTTTTTTTTTTTTGAAACAGTTATTATAAATAACAATGAGAGAGAAGAATATATTGCTGTATTATGTTACATAATATAATAACTGTATGTGTTCGAAATACCTACCATCAAGTCTCCAGGCGAAACCCCTTTTGAGTTATTGGTCGCTTTCGGATTTTTTTTTGAAATAGCTTGAAGTTACGTCCAAACTTATGGTAGAACATGACAGTAATGTTTAAGTCGTTCGAAAAAGTAATTGTTTTAACGTAAAATATATCTGCAGAACGCTTCGACACAATGCATATTGTTCGCTGATAATATTAAAATCTAAGTATTGACTTTTAATATACTATCAATATACAATTGCTACGTCTTGTTATTCAAACAACAAGCAGAAGTTAACATAGAAACGAATTGTTTTCAGCAGTTAAAAACTCACATAGAGACGTAGAGTCAGCAAAGGTTTGCAAATGTTGTGTTCAAGGAGATCCTATATAATAAAGGATCTCTTTGAACACAAAATTTGATTTACATTATTAATATTAATTTAGATTGAATTAATTGACAGAGTAATTGTGGTTGATAGAAGGGTGTGTATATAGTAGCTCGTCCAGTATGCACATGCGTTTTATTCAAACAATTATTTATTATAAAAATAATCTTGATCAAATGAAAGATGCAAAACTTAATTAATTAAATATTAATGAAAATGGTTTGGAAATATTTTTAAATAATATGATATGTCATTGTTACTTTTTTTGACATTGCACTGGTGCAGACGACGCAACGCCTTAATTAGTGAACAAAAATAAATTATGTTTTTAATCTTAAATCATATGTATATTATTTCTATAATTATTAGGATTTAGGAATGCGGTTTTACATTTTTTTTTTAATGCAATTTAAGAAGTATAGTTTAGAGGGACGGATAATTTTATTAAGGCTACGATATGATTAGAGATGCCTACTGAAAGATTTTGACGTACTTTCCAACTTCTTAAAGCATTAGCCTTAGACATGAGCCTTCCCTTCTCTCACATCACCACTCACCGGACCCTATTTTCAAACATGCATCAATGTATTATGTACTGTAAAAATAATATAAGGTTTTTTTTCAGATGTTGAGATAATAAGTAAATTGGACTCATTCGTATGGAATCCCAAATATTTTATATAACTTATAAGAATTAAATAAAAAAAGTATTTAACAATTAAATTGTTATGTCAAAAATGTTATCAGATTTCAGGACTTATACATAGGTCTGTATTATACTTATTAAAGGCGTAATATTAAACCTAACTAAAATTACCATGTTGTTTATAAATTATAATAATTGTAAATACTATCTTTATACAAAATATCAACACAAGAACATAAGAATTCAATTTTCATGTAAAATTCACATAGCAATAAATGCCTGTCTATCCAAGGCAACAATTTATTGTCAATACTCTTTTTGGTAGAAAATACAAAAAAAAATATCAATAGGATCTATATATTATAAGTAATAGCATTGATTTTAGAATATTATAGATGGCCCACCGAGACAAATTTTAGTTCTGTATACCCACACGGTACGGGCGTTAGTAAATTTGAAAACTTTCACTATTTTCTTTACGCATATTAATAATGTGGAAATATAATATATAGGATTAAAAAGGATAAGCAGTAGGTGTTGTTAGTATTTATTTTTATTAATTAATACATTTAAACAAAATTAGTTTTTTATTAATATTTTAGTCTTTAACATAATTAATAAACTTTATAAAAAAATAATTTTTTTACATGTATGGAATGTAAATTTAATTTGATTTAAAAATAGATGCATAGGTACATCATATTATGGATATGTATTATATGAACAATATTTTAACGATCAATGAAATTACAGCAAAAACTAAAGTAGCAACTATGAACCAGACAATTTGTGTGTCGTTATCATACGTTCCAGCAATTTTTTCATCCTTTTGTAAATCTTCAGTGTCTGACAATTCGTCGTAGCTAGTTTGTCGTCCTGAAATATAATACAAAAATATGGTAAACATTATTTACTCATATATAGCTCTTAGCACCTAACTAATATCAAATTGACAACAGTTATTATAATTTATTATAGTTATTACATTTACGCTAACAAAATAAAAAATCATAGTATAAAATTTTAAATAAAGTAATACATAAAAAAAAACATATCATTGATTAAGTGTAAATAATGTAATTTATATACATATACAAAGATAATATTTAATATGATATCAGCCTCGCCTTCTAAACATAATTTTAAAAAAGTAATTATTAAAAAAATAATAATAATAACCTTTTTCCAATAAATTATACAATTCCATTTTATTTTTTGGAAGATTCAATATATCTCCTGCATTGTCTAGAGTTTCTATGGGACATTCACCGGGAAACACATAATCGCTGAAAGGAAATCTACAACCATCGGTTTTAAGAATTAGTATACGCCGCGGAGTTTCATGAACAACGTTAGCAACATCATCTGAATAACAATACCAACAACACATTCAATAACTACTCAACAATTAAAACAAATACAGATATAATTGTATTTTTTAAAAAGAACCTTCTTCCTCAGATTCTTCTTCAACAAAGGAATCCAAATGCATTTTTAAACGTGTCGCAAAAGTACGGATAGTATCTTGACGTATAGCCTACAAAAAACACCATAACAATAATTTAAAAAAAATATATACACATATACATATTAAAGTTAAATATACTTTAACGGCTTGGTCAATAGTTCCACTGGTATGAAAAGGTACAGCCAAACTACAAAGGCCAGACATAAAAATCTTTCCTTTTCCTCTGACTATTTTAAGCGAAGCATTTTTACTTTCTTCGCCGGACTCGACCTACGAGTCGTAACATAATTTAACTTTAATTTAAAAATTTACTTAATAAAGTTGACATTGATAATATACTTCTCTAAATAGTTCTATATGAATGACATTTTTCAATACGTTATCCGTATTACTGCTAACTTTTACATTTTTTATAACTGTTTTTTTATCATATACTTGTCCGTTGAACGAATACACACACTTTTCCGTTATCGATTCAAGTTGATCCAATAAATTCTAAAAAAAAAAAAAATGCTTATTATATTATCGTTGTTATCAAACAAAATGTTCATAAGTTATATTCGTGTTACTGAAATCTAAAGTTATCATTTTTTCAATACACATAAATTTGTTTTTTTAATAACAATATAATGTAATATTAGTAATTTTACAACTATATAATTACTTCGCGTATAGAAGACAATACTTTTGGTCCACCAGACACATTTAGGGATTCTAATGTATCAAAGTTAAATGTTCCAACAAATGTTATCCATTCTTTTTCCATCGATTTAAATGATACGTCTATCGCCTTGTACGTTATTGATTTAGCATCATTCGGTATTTTAATATCTACAGTGTAGCAGCATGATCTATTGAAAAAAAAAAAATTTCATTTAAGTTATGAAAGTCAGTACCGTGTAAATGTAAAATACTAACTTATTGTTTACACTAGAATAGTTTAGCAATAAATACTTCCATGTTTCACTCTTGTCTTTAAACAATACATATTCATTTAAAATATTATCTAATTGAAAAAAATCAAGTGACACTGGTTTAATACCCGATAGATCTTTCGGTATAATAATAAAAAAACCTAACACATATGAGCCTCCAGGTAAAAAGTTAATTACCTGTAAACATATAAATAGTATATATTTTATATTTAATTAAAATACATAAAATAATTAATTTACGTCGACATAAATGCACTTTACTGGGCACCATTTTATTTGCAATTTATTTTTTCCATCTTGTAGTATTTTTTACGCTAATTATGAATTTTAATTAAAAAATTGGCGGGCTCCTCTAATTCAACAATTATGGCTATTTGAAAATTGCATACTTCCTCATGTATAACAATAAATGGGGGCTGGTGGTTGCTGCAGTATTATTAGTTAATTATTTATTTTTATTTTTGATTATTATATTATTATTATAATATTACAATATTTATAAAAAAATACTACAAGATGGTGAAAAAGGGTGCCCGGTAAAGTGCATTTGTTCCATTACATCTAATGTTCGGTCGAATATTTCAGAAGAAAATTGTGATAGTCCGTTCAAAGAAGTAGACTTCAAGGTGTCTGGTTTATGGCTAGGTCTTTTATTATCATCCCATGTAGTTATCGCCATCAAATGGACAACATGATAGTCGTCGTTTATGACCTAAATTTGACAACAAATATGATAATATATGAAAATTGTAAAAGATACACTGCTAGCATTATAACTTAAATTACCTGTCCAATAATTAATCCAGGAATATAGACATTATCTTCGACTAAATTTTTCAGATCACCTTCTAAATGTTTTTCAAAAAATACTTTCCCAGGCATTTTGCAGTATATTAGTATTTTTAATTAAAAATATTTAAATACACAGGCGCATGAGTTAAACGTGTAATGTAGTTAAAATTACGTATAATAAAACGTCATACAGCTTAGGCTATAAGTAACAATTAATACAAAGTTATTTTCAACATTAAAAATGTACTAATTTAAAGTACAGAATATTAACCAAATAAAAAGGAGTATTCAACTATAAAAAAAAGTGCAAGATATTTAAATCATTTAAACGATAGTACCAAATACTAGAATTTCATTCGAGCTGAATTTTACATTAGGTAGAAACTTTAAACTATACTTAAAATATTGTTTAAAAATGTAACACAACAAACCTTAGAATTTGTTTTAAGCTTACGTTTCTTGTTACTATTATCTCTTTTAGTCAGCTACGAAAATATAAACATTGATACCGAACTGATAACTGGTAAGTATCTCGATTTTCGACGTGGTCCAGTCAATAAACTGTGATTTATGATAAAAAAACACCCATAAGTGAAAACGCAATGTACTTTTACCTATCAATTGAGTATTATGTATATTATTTACCTATAGGCTATACACAATATATAACACCTACTCGTTAGCCAATGGTAAATGTATTAGGTAAACAAAATTAAAATAGCTCATACCATGCTAATTACTTCTATTGTTTACTGTTTAATATTATAGCAAGGCTTTGGAAGTACAATCTTTTTTAAGTTTTTGAATATTTTAAAAAAAAAACATTTTAATAAGTAACCAAAATAAGCCGGAACGTTTTTGTCACGTTTACAATACATACAATTATATATATTATATTTTATTATATATATTTATTATTTTATATTATATATATTATATATATTATTATGCTGTTAGCATTCAGTAATATTTGGGTCAAAACGCCAAATATGAACGAACGTTTGGACCGACCCATCCGATTTTTTTGAAAAAAAAGTTCTCAATTATTTTTGGACTATTTTGGCCATTGTCGTAAAAAGTATTTTTAGTTTTATTCTTGACACTTCTTTTTTTGTAATTTTTTATATTGTATCTTCGGCCGTCAAAAACATTGATAAAAAATCAGTTACTTGTGTAAAATAATCTCAGCTTTCTGAAAAAAATATTTATTTTTTCGGGGAACAGAATGTCATTAAAATTGAGTTTATACTCCAAGTAGTTGGTTTTTTCGTGTTGCCCAAAATTTGAGAACTTTTCTATTATTTTTTTCAGAAAGCTGCGGAAATTTTACATAAAAAGTGTAAATTTAAAATTGGGACCTCCATAAAAACACTTAGAAAAACCAAAAAAAAAAAAAAAAAATAGGTAAAAATACATAGAAAAGTCGAAAATAAAATGGGAAATTATCTTATTTTTACATATAAATATTTCAACTATTTTGAATACTGTAGTCGATTTTTTCCCGCTTCTAAATAGTTTTACCACTTTTTTTGTTTTTCTGACAGTTTTAATGGAGATCCCAATTTGAAATTTACACATTTTATGCAATGTTCTCTCAGCCTACTGATAAAAATTTTAAAATTCTCAAATTTTGGCCAATATGAATAAAACAACTTTTTAGATTATAAATTAAATTTTACTGACCATTGTTGAGCCATCATATTATTGTATAAATTTTATTAATAAAAAAAACATGTAATGACTGTTATCATGTACACAATGATTATTTGTATAACATTATTATTTAATGTTTTTTAGCCCTGGATGAAAGGGTTTTATTTGCATATTGGTTAAGGCTATAATAAAGCTATGTTATCCGTTAATCATTAATTAAAGCCAGGACCATACTTCCAGTTAGGTAAGATACATTTAACAATTCAAATACACACTCTTTATGGTGAATTTTTATAGAAAAAAAAATATTCACATAACAAACTAAAAAAAAAAAAAAATTATAAGATAAATTATTCATATATTCAAGTTGCAATTCTCTTTCTTGTATACCAAATAAAACAATACAAATTAATTTTTTTATGACTTTAATTAAAATGTTGACTTTGATAGTTGAAACGTAGGTACAATATTACATTGCGTGTAATAATAATTTCATAATAATTTCAATTGTAAATTTTCAGTTTATAAATAAATATATATTTATTTAATGAACACCTGGTGGCATAAAGTAAACGGTATGATATTTTGCCTTATGGTTCAAAATGACTAAATCATGGCCTGATTATAGCATAAAATGCATAAATACAGTTTAGCTCTCGAGCTATTTTTGTTCAGTAATATGCAACGTTTGATACTGAAAACTACAGTGTAGTTCGATTTTTCGGTGGGACTTATTTTTAAAGCTACTTACAAACAATTGTTTAAAATGCAATTACTTTGTGAAATTTTGACATTTTTCAAAAAAAAATTGTTATTTTAAAATGTGTTTTTGGCACTTAAAAAGACGACGAAAGAGAAATATCGTACTTTTAAAGTTATAAGCAAAACATTCATTTTCGGTGTTTTTTTTTTTTGGAAATCTAATAATTTTGTAAAATGTTGACGTGTACAAACATTAATATTTATTATTAAATCTATCTGTTGATTGAGTCGTACTTGGTGAAGTTGGAATACTTTTATCTTTTACGAATTTGAGTAATTTTTAAAAAATAGTTTCATACCTTACTAATTTTGTTTACTTTCTTGATATTATGAATAATTTTAAATAACGACCGAGTGTATGGGGGGGGGGGGGGGTAAGTGTATAATTACCAAAAACTATGGTAAAACGATTGGAGAACTCAGAATTGATCTATCAAGCTAATATGGCTAGCCTAGTTTTGAAGTTTATATTGACTAATGACTTAAGGGGATTGCATGCGGTCGGTTTTTTCAGTCAAAACACATAATTTTTAATCCATTGCACAGACCAAACCAGTAATCCGATAAGCAATCTAAAAACAGTTTTGAATTTGCCATGAAGTTTACTTGGGATCGGGCAGGGTACTTTTTTCAATTTTTAATTTTAACCCTTTCCAAATGTGATTTTAAAATTTGAAATTTTATATAATGTACAAACGAATTTTATACATAGTAGGAGTAAGTTATCAAAAAAGTACCATGACCGATCATAAGTAAACTTCATGACAAATTCAAATCTGTTTTCAGATTACTTATCGGATCACTGGTTCAGTCTGTGCGATGGAACAAAAAATGTATGTTATATTAACTAAAATGGTTTTTACTCACAGACAAAATAATTTAAATTAAAAATAATACCATGAAGCCTATTCAAATTAACCGGTAAATTAATTGACATGATCCAAATTTATTAAAACCACTTTGTTTTTAAACGAAATACTTTATACATTTATTCTAAAAAATCCAGTTATTAATTAATAGTTTTTAAAGAAATATCCTCCTACAAAACTTATATTTAATTATTATCAGCACTGCATAGTTAGCTAACCACTCCTGAAAACATACAACATTGTTCCAGGGTCCTTGGAACAAGGGTTAAAAAATAATGGTGTTTCTGGATCAAGTATTATAAGGTCTTTAGCAAAACTTAAAAACAATTGTCTGACATAAAAATTACCGCCAATAATTTGGTAAATTAACATTTCGGATTATCATATGTTTAAAACTTAAAAGTTCATTACAATAATGTTATTGAATAAAAGTAAAAAAAAAAAGAATTATTATGTTTGTGATGAGTGGTTATATTTTTCATGTACAATAATTTTTTTTCACTGTTTAAATTCCATAAACCAAATGGAATTTTAAATTATTAAAGAATGTCCCTAACTCCTATAACATTCTTAACTCTCGCTCTGTTCCTATCATCCAATCCATCCTCAAATTCATCCTTGATGCTGGGTTTCATATATAATTGTATGTAAAGCTATTTTAACATTGTGTAATTTTTGTATATAATATTTTATTTATTATTTATTTTTTTTTTTTCTCTCTATTATTAGTTTAGTTTGTATATACTATCTCTAATCTGTGTAATTGTTGAGCTGTTAAATTTATAATAAAGGCTATATAAAAAAAAAAAAAAAATTATTAAAGAATTGTACAATATTTTATAATTGAGTAGCGTAGCGTCAGAAAAGCCCACACAAAATTTAATTTTATTTTATGACAATAATAATTGTAGAACAATATCAAAACTAAACTGACTCAAACCTTGAAAAATGTGTCCATTAGATAGCAAAACTTTTGGAATTGGTCTATAAATATAATATATAAATGGGATTTTCTTGAAATAATGGATTTGTCGGTTGTTTTTCTAGCTTTATGCGCCTCAACTGTAAATTTTTTACAAGTACATTTGTATTATATATGTTTATATCTTTAGCAATATGGTTTAACCCATTATACAGAAAAAGAACTAAATATAGGGGTTTGCAATTTTTTTGCTGTTATTTTCTGAAACCAGCGTTATATTTTAATTTATACAATATTATTATTGTCGAATAGACGAAACCATGTTGGTTATCTATAAATGTCAAAAAGTTCCGCTGTATGCTAATATATGTATACCATATATAATATATTATTATCGCCTTAATAAAAATTCTTTTGTTTTACTTATCACAGCACTCGCGTCTTGTACCTTACATAGACATACTATTATAATAATATATTATCGTCGCAACTTAATCTGTGCACAGCACGCACAAAAATCACATTATAACACCATAAATTAAAACGATATAAAACCCATAAAGTCTATAGAGATCCAAATGTATGTCTGCGTTGTATACTAATATTCAATATTTCAATCTATATAAATACTTTATATCGTACTGTTATATTTTGTTGTAAAGCGATAATATTGTAACATTGGGCACATGGCGAATTAATTATATTATGTTAAGCGCAATTGTCGATTATAATGATGTTTAATATAACGATATAATTATAATTTTATCGAATTAGCTGTCGTCAACAAAGTCCATTTAATTATTTCCTACGATCTTTGTATGTACATATGTATATATATATATATATATTAATAAATAGCGCGTTAGATAATATAATATTTTGCGACTTAATAACGCACGTACCAATAACTATACGTGTACGTGTAAATAAAGATTATACGTTTTATGCATAGGTGTCTTATTTTTTTGTTCAAAAACTTTTTTCCTCCTAAAACGAATAACGGTATACGACTATACAGTGACTGCGCGTTGAATTTTTGCATCTTTAACCCCCGACCAAATACCGGTGATTTTTAGCGCTCATAATCGACGAGTTTTAAGAGAAGTTGAAAGTTCAAAGAGTGACTTGTGACGTTGTAAAATTCCTACGCTATAAGCGTGTATTGTAAGAATAATCGTAGGTAATTAAAAACTTTAAACTAGTCTATTTAGTCATCCCGTTGGTATTTTATATCATTTTTAATTGAAAAGCTGTATCCCCACTCTCAGAAATATTTTCGCAACAATAAGTTTATCCTGCGCGCGCACAACTGTGGCGGTGGTGCATGAAAATCAAGGTGCCGCAAGTTTTATAAGCCCGCGCTTGGTCGGCAGCGCGACGAGCCGTAATTATTATTATGGACCGCACTGGTCGCGAGGAAAACTATCGGTCGTCATAGACAGCCGCGGACTTGCTCTGCGTCGCGCCCCCACTGTGTTTTTTTATTGCGCGGCGGAGTCCGCCGTCCACGTCGCCCGCCCGCCCGCCGCTTTTTAACGACTACCGTGCCGCGACGACGTTCAAAAAAAACGTTTTCCCGCCCGAGTCTACGTTGTCATCGGTAGCGGCCAGTGCAGGTGGCAGCGACGCCGATTGATCTCGCACCCCTTCGGCCGAGGCGGCGTGTAAGGCGCGTTAAAACTTAAACGAAAACATTATTGTAAAATCCGTACACCGCGGCCGACTGCGCTTGTACGTAGTTTTAGGTCACGCGCGCGCTATCGCGTACGCCACCGCCGCGCGCATTGGCTGCACTGCGGCCGTCGACCTTGAACGTGGATTCCCGAACGTCGGCCACACTGGCGCCGCGCAAACGATAGTATCGCTTACAAAACAATGGGAAATCGTCGAAACTCATTATTTTCGCGAAAACCGTACTCGAAATTAGTGTGAACCGTCCCGAGCGAGAAATTCGACAAACGGCCACGATTTTCCGAAGGAGCCCGTCGGCAACACGAGTGCGAAACGGCCACCGCCAGTAACTATCGATTGTTGAGCACCCGGAACAATCGTTGACCCGACAGCCGATGACTGCCCCCGTTCCCCGTAGTTCCATCACGTCCCGTGAGTGCTTTATTTACATCGAGTTTTGTTGTCGAAAAATATAATTCCCGTCGCCGATTTCGTTGTCGTTTTGTTGTTTTTACCGTGCCGTACCGTCGCTAAACGTCGGCACATCGCACTGCCGTCGTCAATTCGTTTCCGAACGGGTCGCAAAAGTGCCGTCCGACCGCGCTTATCGGGTGCAAACATCATCACGTCAATCTCGGACAACACGGTGAGTACATTACACCACTACGCGGTTAAGCGACCGCGGCCGCGGCAGCCTACTTTTCGCCGTCTCGGCCGCGGCCGTGTTTATGTTGGGCCTCGCGCGCTTGCCCGTGCTCGTCCCTGTTGTCCGACCCGGATTTCCGGCGTTTTTCGACAATCTGCCCACCGATTTTCCCGTCCCCCGTTCCATTTTCACATTTATTCCGACCATTTATCACCGTCGCCAGCGGTTCCCCCAAATCGGTTATCATCGTCCCCAATGCTGTCCCTGTCCCCCCGAGGATTTTCGCAATTTTTTCCCGAGTCTAATCATTCCGCCCGATTTTCTACTTGCGGTGCAACTGGATTTTTCATTCATTTTCCGTATATTTTACCGAAATTGCACTATCACTCGAACCTGATAATATTTGTAAATTTGTTTAAAACTGCGTTTACCGCCTATCCGTTTGTGGAAATGACGTTTGATTCGTTTTACAATAACTTGCAGTTATGCCGCACACCACTTTTAGTCAAAGGATTACATTAAATATCGAACGTTTCAATATTTAACATACGAATATACAACGATACAAGTTGCTAGAACGTGCATTTTTAAGAGGCAATATTTCACTAACGATGGTTTCGTTACAATCCACTATTTAGTTTTGTGTTAACAATGTATTTATAAGTTGAACAGTTATAATATTAAAAAAACAACAATACGTTTATCCCGTTCTAGATCTAGTATATCAATCGTAGTTCGATCAATTTGTTTCATACTCATTGAACAGCTACTTTTTTAATCTGATATAATACCTCTTTATTTTTTTGTTTATTGTGCAAATTGTTGCTGCCTGTTTGTACATTTTGTTATGTACTCCTTACTTAAAATACTTTAAATTTATACATTTTTAGCTTTGATTTTTAAAAATAATATGTAACTAAATTGTATATACATCATAGTGTTCATTATGAAAGTATTTAAATTAAAAAAAACAAAAACATAAACAAAAAACTTCCCAAGTTGAATTACTAATATTTACTTAAATAATCAAATCCACTAAGTGTTATACAAATAATCAGCATGCCTCGGTAATGATTACCTGACCTTATCTCTTAACATTTTTGTCCAGTAACGCATAGCTTTTTCAGTATATATCCATTAGTAAGATTTGCGTGTTAAAAACACAATACCTAAAGAAACTAGTTATTTAAATCTATAGTTTATTAAATCTTAATGCATTTCAAAACTTAATAATAATTTGATAATCCAAGTGAACTCTAATTGAACAATTTTGGTACGTTTTCACTTTAAATTTGAAAGCAATATCAAACATCAATAAAAAAAATAAGCGTTTTATTTACTAGCTTACATGCACTGCTAAAACTAAATTTTTATAAGTCAAAATTATCTAAGTCATTTTTCACTCCTAAAAGCTCTCATAAAAATTGTATTATATTGAAAGTAATATCACACAAATAATCTAAAAAATAAGCTCACTTAAGCAAAATACAAAAATTGTCCATAGTTTGCGACTGCAATTTTTGGCTTCGAGACCCTTAAGGGAAATTCAATCCACTTTTTTAAACATAGTGTATGTGTTTGTTACAAATACATAGAAGCATTCAACATTAGTGTTATTGTATTCAGGATGATTATTTAACGCCTTAACTAATAAAATTTGTTTTTTTAGGTCTTTCTGCCTGGTTGACGTTAAGAAAGGATTTTGTATTATGGCCTGAATTACTATTCCCTGAACTAATTTCAATAACATTTTTGTAAGTATTAAAAAAAAATAATGAAGACTTCATTTTTTTAATATAATTGTCATGAAACTCTTGAGTTAACATATCTGAGTTAAAGTTATATCTAAAAACTCGTAGTGCAAAATATCGTTAGAATTTATTACAAAATCTGCTGTAGTTCAAATATTATTTCATTTCGTATTATTGTTTGAAAATTATTTCATTTTTAACAAACAAGGTACTATATGGGGTTGGGGATGTTGTGGCCAAAAATATTTTTGCTACTTAACTTTAACTACTTCAGTACATTTTTTTATTTTCTTGAAAGCCTAGGTATGTTCTTAATTTCAATGAAGTTCCTTAATGCAGTACAATTTTTTTTATAAATTTGGCAGTTAGGTATGCTTGTATGCGATAATATATTATATTATTGGTAGGTATAACGCTAAAATAACAATAGTTAATTTAATTGTTAACATTAAACCAATATTTGTTTTTATTTGTAATAATAACGTTGATATAACTTTTTCGATGCTTAAGGTTTAATTTAAAATACAACATTAGTAGTTAATTAATTTTGGAAAAATTAACAAAAAAAAATTTTTAATTCAATTAAGTATGGTTAAAATTAAAATACAATTTTGTTTTAAGTTTTGAAATAATTCAAAAATTATATAGTTGTTTATTTAATTAGGTTTGTTTTCTTTAATTTCAGGTTGAACTATCAGTCGATTATTAAAACACGCCATAAAACGCAAGGATCGAAGTGAAATTATTGAAACACAAATGACGTCTTCAAATTATATTTATCTAGAATGTGTAAAATGGCAAATTTTACAAACTGGTTACATTTAGTCACATACTGCTTAATTATGTGAATTTAGACTTTAACAGCAACCTGACAATTAATACTCACTTTGAGTTATAAATAAAATAGGACATATTATGTAAAGTAGTGTTAGGACTTCGTGCAATTTTTCTTATCATGTAATTATTTGTTACTAGTAATTTTTTTACTAGGTCTATCTTTGTATAAATACTACGAATCATCATGTCGGACCTACTGGTGGACAGCCCACCAAATAAAAGGCCCAAACTGGAAGACCCATTCCAAGGGTCTTCAGACTCATCTGGTGTCTATTCCAGCAACGAGATGTTTGATCTCGAAAATGATCTCCCCGACGAACTTATCAGCACGTCATCTTGGAATCAGCAGCCTGATATGAAACAGAACCTCCCACCCCAAATGCCGCTACAAAATGGAATGCTCATTCCACAAAATAATCCGCAACAGCAATTGCAACAACAACCTAATATTCAGCAACGCTTGGTCGTAAGTCAACAACAACTGGCACATCATTTTATGGGCAACAAACAACATCTTGTTGCGGGAGCTGGAATGACTATGAACAAACCATTAAATCCAAATATGCCATCCCCAAATGTGATGGTTGGAAAATCAGGAGAACCAATGGTAGTAAATATGGGAAATGCAAACCTCAACTCCAATCAACTACAGAACAGTATTAGTGGAATGTCGAACGTTAATATTATGATGGGCAACAACTTAGTAAATAATTCTATACACAATCCTCATCACGGTATTTCCCAACAACAACAAAACGGACCTATGATGGGAAGAAATATCGCTATGCATCATCCCCAACAAATCCGCAGCCAAGCTCCACATCAATTACACAACCTTCCAATGAACACTCAACAAAGATTACAAGCTCCTATAGGCGCAATGAGTCCTGTGAATAACTTCAATGCTTATAATCAGAACAACCAGCAGATTAATGTCGTTCAGCAACAACAACCAATTAATATTGTACGATCGCAAGTACCTCGGTTTAACGCCAATACAAATGGAATGCTAGTTGATAACCCTGTTCCTCCTCAACCCCAAGTGAATGTTCGTCTAGGCCAGCAAGTAAATATGCCCAACCAGAATGTGGTAGTGCCCCCTCAAGCAGGAGGTCCTGCCGATAGAAGCCAGGCTAATCCAGAAAAACGAAAAATGATTACTCAACAACTCGTGTTGTTATTACATGCACATCAGTGCCAGAGACGAGATAATCAAGCTAACGGCGAAGTGAGACAGTGTCGTTTACAACATTGCAATACTATGAAAGGTGTGCTTGCCCATATGACATCGTGTTTGGCAGGAAGGAATTGTAATGTAGCTCATTGTTCTTCGTCTAGACAAATAATATCGCATTGGAAACAATGTACCAGACCAGACTGCCCTATTTGTCAGCCATTAAAGGCGACGAACAATCGTAATGCGTTAAACAATAATACAACACAAAACGCTAGTGGAATGAACGACATGAACTGCTATAACAGTCAGGTTAGTAATCAAGTAAACCAAGTGCCTAGCGGGGTTGCAAATAACGTCGGCATTAGAACAGCTATGCAAGCTGGCCAAATGCCACATCCTCCTAATAACAACGTGATAGCTCCCAATCAGAATATCAGGGTGCTAACTCCACATTCTCAACCTCAATCAACAACTACTATGAGTACAGACCCAGGGACGAGTTCTGTAAATGACATGTTGCAGTCTGTATCCAATACGACTGTACAAGCGCCATCGAGCATTCAACAAGCTGTGACAAATATACCAAATTCGTTCATAATGACAACTAGTACAGACACAATGACAACTCAAATGAACAATCAAGCACAACCCAGTCAGTCAATGCCAGGAGGAAATCATATTGAAACCAAAGAATGGCACGAGTCAATTACTCCTGAATTGCGAAATCATTTGGTGCATAAATTAGTTCAAGCGATTTTTCCAACATATGATCCAAAAGCTATGTTGGATAAACGTATGAACAATTTAGTAGCTTATGCTAGGAAAGTGGAAGGTGACATGTATAATGTAGCTAACTCAAGGTCGGAGTACTACCACAGGCTAGCCCAAACATTTTACAAAATACAAAAAGAGTTGGAAGAAAAAATGCAGAAACGGAAAGAACAACAACAAATGCAACAACAACAAATGGGTACTCAGCAGTCAACGACTAATGTAAATGCGCCATGTTTTCCAACTGCTTCAGGTCAGGGATTGCCAACTCAACAACAACAACAAACACCACAACAACAACAGCCTTTACATCATTCGTCAATTCAACCCAATCAACAACCTAACTTGTCTCAGCAACAAGTAGGAGCTACGACTGGCTTAATGAAACAAATGGCAGATCGGGTTCATTTCGCTATAACATCGCCCGTACCGGGACCAAGCCCAAATACTAATTTACCACAAACAACTTTTGGTTTGACTCAACCGCCTGCCCAAAGTCCAATCAATACTAGTCAGTTCCCATCTAACTCACAAATGATGCCAAACATATCTCAAGCTTCTTTCGCTCAACCTCAGTTCCCCAACCAAACAATGACCCAAATGCCTCAACAACTACACTTGCAGCAACAGCCGCAAGTACAACAACAGCAGCAGCCCCAGCAACAGCCATCGCAGCAACAACAACACTTAAACAATCAATTGATACAACCTAATAGACTTAATCAGATGAACATGGATAAAATGGTGAACGGCCCTAGTTTGATGGCTGGTAACATGACACCAGTTCCGAGTGTATCGCCAATGTTGCCTAACAGTATGGGTAAAGGGTACCCCCGAAATGAGTCTTCGTCTTCAAATAGTCATTCGAGTCAGATGAATGCTATTGCTTCAGCCCTAGCACAAGATGATTCTCCCAAAGACGTTAAAGGTGAAGTTAAAGACGAATATGATGATAGTAATGATGGTAAAGGAGCTTATGGAAAAGGGAAAATGAATCAGGAATCAACATCAGTAACTGTAAAATCTGAAATCAAACAAGAGCACAGCGAAGATACCTCTAATACTGTAAAAATGGAAGTCAAAATCAAAGAAGAAGCAGCGAGTCCTAAACCCAACATCACAACAGAAATAAAACCATTTGAACCAACTACTACTGATAGTAAAACTGCCATAAAAAAATGTGTATTTAGACCAGACGAACTAAGACAAGCGTTGATGCCTACTCTGGAAAAACTGTACAAACAAGAACCAGAAGCTGAACCTTTCAAACAACCAGTCGATCCTCAAGCGCTTAATATACCCGATTACTTTATTATAATTAAAAAACCAATGGATTTATCAACCATTAGAGAAAAACTCAACACTGGACAGTATTCAGATCCTTGGAGTTATGTAGATGACGTTTGGTTAATGTTTGAGAACGCTTGGCATTATAATAAAAAATCTACAAAAGTCTATAAATCTAGTACAAAATTATCGGAAGTCTTTGAACAAGAAATATATCCAGTGATGCGTAGTCTAGGATATTGTTGTGGCCGTAAATATACATTTAATCCACAAGTTCTTTGTTGTTTCGGCAAGCAACTCTGTACAATCCCGAGAGACGCCAAATACTTCAGTTACGAGAACAGGTATATTTATTGCCAAAAATGTTTTAACGACATACCCGGCGATGCCGTGACGATGGGCGAAGACCCCACCCAAACTCAGCAAGTCATAAAGAAAGAACAATTTGCTGAAATGAAAAATGATCATCTAGAATTGGAACCTTTTATAATGTGTATTCACTGCGGAAGAAAACTCCATCAAATATGTGTGTTGCACAATGAAAACATCAACCCACAAGGTTATATGTGCGATAAATGTTTGGTGAAACGCAGCGAAAAACGAAAAGATAATAAATTCAATGCGAAAAAATTGGCTATTACTAAGTTGGGTACTTACATCGAAACGAGAGTTAACAATTTCTTGAAGAAAAAGGAAGCAGGCGCGGGTGAAGTTTCTATACGTGTTGTGTCTAGTTCGGACAAAATAGTCGAAGTCAAACCGGGTATGCGAAGTCGTTTTGTCGAAAGTGGAGATATGATTGGTGAATTCCCTTACAGAGCTAAAGCACTTTATGCGTTTGAAGAAATCGACGGGACTGATGTTTGTTTCTTTGGTATGCACGTTCAAGAATACGGGTCCGAAGCTCCTACGCCAAACACAAGAAGAGTGTACATTGCATACTTGGACTCGGTAAATTTTTTCAGACCCAAACAGTATAGAACGTACGTGTATCATGAAATATTACTTGGTTACCTTGATTATGTCAAACAACTTGGTTATACAATGGCACATATTTGGGCTTGCCCTCCATCCGAAGGAGACGACTATATATTTCATTGCCATCCACCTGAACAAAAAATACCCAAGCCAAAAAGATTACAAGAATGGTATAAGAAAATGTTGGACAAGGGTATTATTGAACGTATTATTCTCGATTATAAAGATATACTTAAACAAGCTATTGAAGATAAATTGAGTTCTGCTGCCGAATTACCGTACTTTGAAGGTGACTTTTGGCCAAATGCGTTGGAAGATAGTATCAAAGAGCTGGACCAAGAAGAAGAACAAAAGCGAAAGCTAGCTGAAGCCGAGGAGTCTGTTGAAATGTTTGTGAGCGATGAGGTCGAAATTGGACCAGACGGTAAAAAGAAGGGGCTACAAACGAAGAAAAAATCAAACAAATCCAAATCGAGTCAGAGAAAGAGCAGTTCGAAGAAAACTATGTTACCGCAAACGAGCAGTGATCTCTCTGCTAAAATTTTTGACAACATGGACAAACATAAAGAAGTGTTCTTTGTTATTCGGTTGCATAGCGTTCAGTCTGCAGCTGCATTAGGACCAATACAAGACCCTGATCCGTTAATTAGCTGTGATTTGATGGATGGTAGAGATGCATTTTTGACAATGGCTAGAGAAAAGCATTACGAGTTTTCGTCTCTCCGAAGAGCAAAGTTCTCGTCAATGGCCATGTTGTATGAACTTCATAACCAAGGGCAAGACAAATTTGTTTATACTTGTAACAGCTGTAAATCGCACGTCGAAACTAGGTATCACTGTACGGTTTGCGATGACTTTGACCTTTGTATCACTTGCTATGAAAAAGAGAAACATCCTCACAATATGGAGAAGCTGGGTCTTGACTTGGATGACGGTTCTTCGCCTGGAGACCAGAAACAAGCTGATCCTCAAGAAGCCAGGAAATTGTCTATCCGTCGTTGTATTCTGTCGCTTGTACACGCCTGCCAATGTAGGGACGCCAATTGTCGTCTAGCAAGTTGTCAACGTATGAAGAGAGTTGTACAGCACGTTAAATTGTGCAAGGTTAAATCCAATGGTAACTGTCCAATTTGTAAACAGTACATTGCTCTATGCTTCCATCATGCTAAATACTGTCAAGAAGCCAAATGTCCAGTTTTGTTCTGTCCCAACATGAAACACAAAATCAAACAACAGCAATTGCAGCAAAGACTACAACAAGCTCAGCTATTGCGAAGAAGAATGGCTATCATGAATACAGGTACTTTAGGCACAGAGAACACCAACACCGCCCCTGTCGTTGCCTCACCACACATGTCCAACCAACCCAAAATGATACCTCATAAGGGTCCGGGCATGCCTCCAGGAAAGCAAACGCCTCCTGCGAACGTTTTACAAGTCGTAAAACAAGTACAAGAAGAAGCTGCGCGCCAACATGATAATGTGGGATATGGAAAAGGAGTTCCTCAACCACAAATGCAACGTCCACATATGCAAATAGCGCCACAAGCTCCACAAGTCAATCAGTGGGTAAATGAACCGAATTACAGTCAACAAATGATGTTGCAACAACAACAACAGCAGCAGCAGCAACAGCAACAACAACAACAACAACAAAGACAGATGAACATACAACCTCAGCAACAACAAATGATACTCTCAACACTGACCAACAATCAGCAGAACCCAATGCTTCAACAACAACAACAACAGCAGCAAGTTATGGCTCCCAGACCTCAAGGTTACCAACAAAATCCCAATCAAGTAGCGAACCAGCAATCGCTGCAACAATTAATAAGCGCGCTGCGCACAGGCAACGACAGCCAGCCTGAACAACAGCAACGCCTGAGAGAGTTGCTGAGAAGTAATCCACAGTTGTTGGCTCAATTCATCAGGAACCAGAGGCAACGGGCTGCGATGTTCCAACAACAACAACAGCAACAACAAGGCGGCAACATTGCTCCTCCAATGTATCCTCAACAGATGCAGGGCCAACAACAACCTGGAGGACCGCAAGGACCTAACCAACCACAATCGAATATGCCAAACAGAATGCACTTATAAAACGTAGAGGGGAGTAAACAAAAATTTTAGAGCTTATTTAAAAAAAAAAAAGGTGTTGTTTCTATTATATGTGTACATTTATGAATGTAAATAATGGTAGCTTAAAGTACAAAATAATAATTTTGTATAATTATTTAATCGGCCGTGTTGACTTATGACTTGTGTACATTTGTTTTGCTATTTGTTGTTGTTATGTAGTTAGGAAAAAGATTTAAGGAGGCCCTCCTTAATGTTTAATTATAAGATGCGAACATTTATAATTTCCTACTTTAGTAAAATAATATTTGTTGATTTTTCCTTCTGTACAGGAATAATGATAATAATATTATAATTGTATAATATTTTATTTACAATTTTGTACTCCTAGACATTCTGTTATTACTATTATTACAATTATATAGAAATATTATTTTTAAGGGATATATAATTTATATTTAAAAAAAAAAATGGGGCAAATGATGACTAGTAAGTCTTATCCAACTTATTTATTATTCAATTTTTTTTATACATACATAATAATTTAATCCTTAACAGCTTTTCTATAAGTTAGCCTGGTATGGCTTCTTGTTTGTCCTTAGTCTTTAAATAATGTAACTTAAGGTTTTTTTATTATCATTATTATTATTATTATTATATTATATATTATTATTATTATTATATAAGTTATATAAATTTAAAGACACTGAAGGACAATTGAGTCCAATAGAAAATATATTTATATGTATATATATATATATATAAGTATATATAAAAATATATATATATGTATAAATACATGTATGAAACCATTCTGATTAGTCGGACAATGTACGTTTATTGGTTTATTAGAAAGGATATTGTAATAAATAATTTGTGTAAGAAAAAAGAAATAAATGTTATAAATAGATGCATAAAAGAAAAATCATATACATATATTATTATTGACTTTGTAAATAAATTGAAACCATAAAATAAGATAATTATACAAATTGATTTTAATGATGGTTTGTTAAAATTATTTTTATTTAATCACTTCGTATTGCGGCTTTTGCTGAACAACGATCTGTCTGCAACAAAAGAAGAATTTCACTGGAGAGTGAATTGAAACAGTATATTTTTTAACAATTTTACATGTACAGAAAAAAAAATGGATAATTCTGACAATTGAACAGTGTAATAATAGTGTATAATATTTCCATATTTGCCTATGGGTTGTTGTTCTTCGAAAGCCGCAATATTATAATCCCTGTGTTAATTTCCTTGGTTAAATTTCTTGTATATCCTATATAAGAATGACATATTTAAATTGACTGTACAAACGAGACTAAGGTTTAAAGTTGAAGCGTTTGGACCTGGTGTATTAAGCGTCATACCAATTACCATTGTTGGAAATAAAAAAACAACTTAATATTGATGACTGTCTGGAAGCCAAAAAATATGGTAGTATGTTGTTAAAAATGTGTTCATGGTTCGTGTTGCGTTAGTTGTGTTTTTAATAAAAAAACTCGTAGTACATAACTAATTAAACTGTGTTAACCATATACTTGAAATGGATAAAAAAAGATGGTTATAACTTAGAAGATACCAAAGCCCGCCCCACCTGAAAGGAATTAAATAATTCTTAAAATATCCTCTTGATTATTATCCTAAAAAAAACCTTTGCAACGTAAAAATAGTAAGTCGTTTTTCATTTAAAAATTGTTTTTTTATTGGTAATCATCTCAGAAAAATATCGCTATACACTCTACACGTGTATAATACATATTTTCAAATAAAGCTAACTTTTAAAATGAATATATCTACTAATATCAAATTTTCGTTGTGTCAATGCTAAAATTAAAACCAATTAAATCTCTATAAATAAACCGAATACAATGTTTTAAGATTGTTATTTTTCTGTCTCGATGCCAGAATAATAATAAATACAAATAAGAACATCTGGTAATATTACAGTATATTTCAATATTGTAGTAAAATAATCATTTAACTAATGACTATAGTCTATTATTTTTTACATCGACATGTATGATAAATTACAGATACAGTTTTAAGCAATTTTCAACTCTTAATAAAATAAAATAACAAAAAAAAAAATCAACAATTTGGTCGTTGCGAACGAGTGGATTTATATTGAACGATATTAAACACACACACACACACATATGTTTTTAATCGTAACATAGTTGATCTTGTTGAATTTGCCACATTTTCGCATACTGTGTAGGGTTGTTAACGAGTTGTTGATGTGTGCCACGTTCTTCTATTTTACCGTTGCGTAAAATCAATATCTCGTGCGAGTCCCTGATGGTGGACAGCTGATGAGCAATACACACGCTGGTCTTGTCCTTTGTGGCTCTCCGTAGCGCCTTCAATATGTTCTGTAAAGCGCAATGACAATGTTGAGTTACCACTGTTACAGTAATAAAACAATTTTCTATTAACCTGTTGTGTTATGGAGTCCAAAGACGACGTGGCTTCGTCGAATATCAATATGGGACTTCCTTTGAGAATAGCTCTAGCTATCGACACACGTTGCTTTTCACCGCCGGAAATCATGAGACCTCGTTCGCCGACCTGAGTCGAATACCCTTTTGGAAGTTTCAACACCGAGTCGTGTAGTTCCGCTAGTTTGGCCGCTTCGATAACATCGTTATCTGTTTTACTCAAGTTGCCGTAATGAAGATTGTACATGATCGTGTCATGGAACAGAACTGAATCCTATGAAATAATTACTGTAACGTTATTATTTCAATCGCATATTGTGGTGTCTGTTAAAAAAACTAACCTGAGGAACAACGGCCATGCATTTTCGCAAACTGTCAATATCAATGTCCTTTATGTTTTCGCCGCCGATAAATATTTCACCCGAAATCGGTTCGACAAATCGAAACATCAATCTAATTATAGTTGACTTGCTGCAAAACATTTTTTTGTCATTAACTAAACACTATAATTAAGAATTTAAAATTTCAACTGAATACAAATCGTTTGCTAACCCACTTCCGGATCCTCCAATTATAGCAACTTTCTTGCCGGGAGGTACGTTAAACGACACATTGTCCAAGATACGTTTGCCCTGTTGATATTCAAAACTAACGTTTCGGAATTCAATCGAAGCATTTTCTTGGGTCACGCTTAACGGCACTGCATTCACTTTGCTCTGATGGAAACAACAAAATATTAATTTTAACAGCATCATATAATATTTTGTTGTTGATCATGTGTGTAGTTACAAAAAAAAAAAACACTGACAAACCTTAATTGTTGGATCGCAAGCCATAAGTGCAAACATACTCTGCATATCGAGTAATGCTTGTCGTACTTCTCGATAAACGGATCCCAAAAATCCTAGAGGCATTGCCAATTGAAAAAGCAAACCGTTTACCATTGCTAAATCGCCAATGGTCATATTACCTGTTCAATAATAATTAATCAATAAAATTCTGTCTTCCAATAAACCCAATATGTAAAAAGACTGTATTGGATTCATTGCTGTCCGTAACAAATCAAAAAAAAAAAATAATAATGTTTTTATCACTCATAAAATTACAGAAATATTTAAACGAACACAATTATACCTTCGGCTATTTGTTTGGCAGCCAGTATCATTGCTGCACTCATTGTTACACTGAAGATAGCATTTTGACCAAAATTTAAAAGCGCTAAACTAGAACTGGTTTTCAGCGATGCTGCTTCGAATTTTTGCAGTACACGATCATACCTGTCGGCTTCGTACAACTCGTTATTGAAATACTGGAAAAAATTGTATATTATTAAATAATTACATTTATTTATATTATTACATTTTATAAATTGTGTTTGTGACAAGCTAGCTACACAGTTTATAACAAAATTAAGTTAACCTGTCCTAGTCTCAACTCATACAATAAATTCTTTTATTTTAGATTATGATGAAAAATTTAATGTATAAAAACCTTGTAAAATTTACCCTTAAGTGAAAGCGAAACCTCCTATTTATTAAGGAGTTAGGTATATGCAATTTTTTTTTTATAAAATTTCAGTTTAAAGGTTAAACTGTGATGCGTAATAACTAATAATTTACAAATTACATAATATTACACTAATCATTATTATTAGTTTAGTAATTAGGACTAATTTTTGGTTGTTAATTTATTTTTTGGGCTATCACACCGTCCTTGACGACCGTTAAAATGTTTCGTTTCATCTAAACACAGCTACGCTTATTTTCTATTATTACCTAAAATATAATAATCGTAGGACCTTTTTTTTTTTTTTACAAAATTTAATTAATGACAACTTTATCTAGGTTGTCTCGGTGGCTTTCTTTTTATATTTTATTAACCCAACATTCCCAATTTATATTTTAATTCCGACATTTTTTTTTTTTTTACTGTTTTAAGTGCTTGTATTTAAGGTAAAAATGTAAGTTTTCTAAAAAAATACCGACCAAAGTAGGTTCTCAACTAGGTTGTTGAAGTTCTCCTCTTTTTAAAAATGGGAACTTTTTTTTTCTATGACTCTTTTGCTTTGACCTACACACTTTGCCATAAAACAGGTTTTTACGATTATTTAAAAAGGGTAACTATGACATCCTCTTAACATACGGCTAAATATAATATAATTTTATAGCCGATATCTTGCTATGGGTTAAAATAAAAATTACAAAGTATTAATTATTTACAGAGAAATGCAAATTAATGACCATCGAATCATGGTTGAATATTATGATGCGTTTTCTATAATTGGGATGGCCTTTGATCAAATATTATTATTTCATGTTTTTCATTTATTAAATTTAACAGCCATTTTGTAAATAATTTATTTTTGAACATTTAGATATATATATATATTATACCTAGTAAGGATTGGATAAAATGATTTGATTAAGCTATTTACAGCACTTTCGGTTAGTGGCTTTGAGATCGTTTCGTCAACTGTTCCATTATTTTTTCTCAATTTAAATTTCTACTTTTACATTGAGGTAACAATAAAATAATAGTGGTTTTATTTAAATAACAATGTATTTTCAAAGTGTAAGTGAAAAAATCATTGTTATATTAACATAGAAAAAAAAATCAAGACACGATATAAGATATGAGTATAGTTATAGATTCTGCGTAGGTATATGTTTATAATGTCCTCATAATTTATTACTGGAGTTTTTTTGCAAATTATTTCAATGTAATTTTTGTAATTTATGGTTACCTAGGTAACTTTTAATCATTAACCAAAATTAAGAATTATTATTTGAAATCACTCAATTTAAAACCTTTTTTTTATTGAAATGCCAATCAAATGAATTGCAACATAAGTTTTATTACAATCACCGATTTTTGTTTGTTATGTGATCGTACCTTTTATTTTTAAATGGTAGACGATATTAAAATAAATTTTAATTATAAAATAATAATTGTTGATGATTATATTTGCTGTACAAATACTGCTAAAAGTGTTTAACGCGTTTTTGCTTTAAAACCAAATTTTAACCTATTTTCAAACAAGAACCAAATAACACATATGTTGTTTGTGATAAGTAATTTTCTTAAATATATATAATTAAAATAAAGTTTTTTATACTACTTTCAAAACTAGCCTCAGAATTAATGTAAAATGAATAAAATATGAAATAACAAAAATTTGAATTTTGAATCTCAGGCCAGATTTGGATTCGATAAAAAGAAACTGCTAAAATATATATATATTTTAGGTTTTGATTAAAATTAAATGTGTAATTTTTTTTAAATATTTAAAAATATTGTATAATGTATAAATAGTTTATACATGATTAATTAAATAGTACATCAGAATTTAATTTTGTTAAAAAAAAAAATGCCTAACCTAACTATAAATTCTACATTAATTTTAAGAACAGTTTTGGATTCAGATAAAAATAAAATAGTAAAAAAAAACTTAATTTGTAATATATTTTAGAAAACTATTGAGTGTTACTAACTTTCGATACCCTGATCAGTTTAGGAAGGATGGAAAAGTGACGAAACCTCCCCGCGGCAATATTGGATGTGCTACAAAGCTGGGGAACGCATTTTGTACCTAATTACTTTTTTTTTTTTTAAATACAAGCACTGGTTTTACGAGAGGTGTTTTAAAGGCACAGGTTAACATTTCTCATAAAACACTTGTTATTTACCTTTACTGTTTCGTAGTTAATAAGCGAGTCCATGGCTTTATTACCGGCCTCGTTTTCTGCTTGATTCATGTAGATACGAAACTTGGTCCGCCACTGAGTGATCAACAAGGTATACGTCGTATATACAAAGACACAGCCAAAGGATAGAGCAGCAAAATCTGGTCCACATTTAAACCCCTTAAGAGTATAAACTTAAATTATTTTTTACTTTACAGTGCGATAACATTAGCAATACTATTATAAGTATAAAACTTACAAGAATGGTGCTGACTAGAGCTAATTCAAACACTGTAGGTACTATGTTAAAAACCATAGCCGTAAGTACAAAGTTTATTCCTCGACTCCCTCGATCTATGACCTATAAATTAATGGTGTTTTCATTTAAATTATATTTCTCGTTAATATACACGAAAAGATTACCTTGGAGAGAGCGCCAGTTTGCTTGGATAAATGAAAACTAAGATCCAAATTGTGGAGATGTAAAAAAACGTTTCGGGCAATTTTCCTAATCGACTGTTGGGCAACACTTGCAAACACAGCGTTACGCAATTCATTCATACCGGCAGCAGCAGCTCTACATACTCCATCTTAAATGTTTTGAATATGAATTATTGTTAAATATGCAAACAAAAGTGTTAAATCAAACGTTTCGTAATAGATCTAGCAGAAGTAGTTTACTAGTGTATTTTTAAAAACTTACTCGTACTCACATGATATCAGCAGTGTTGTAACTACAGTTAAAACGGTTTCGGGTGCCGAATCCATTGTCAATAATGCTTCCCCCGCAGGACCCACTTTAACATTTAATTCATCCATTGCGTACTTAAGTAGGAACGGTACCGATACATTTAACACTTTAGCAGTAGCCAACAAACCCAAAGACAAAGTTACACGTTTTCGAATCGCTGAATCGTTCTAAAATTGAATCATTCTCTTACAATAGTTAAACTTAAACAACATTCTAAGGAGAACAACATTATAGAATCACATTTTACCTTAGGCCAAATATATTGCATCATACCGAGTATCATTTCTTTGCCAGTTATAGATTTTGCATCTATTACAGGCAAGCTTTCTTTAATATGTGAACCTCCAATATGGTACTTTGTCGTAGTCGGCGAAGTCGTTTTAGGTACATGTGCATTTTTTTGACGGTTGTTAAAAGCATTGTTGCAATTAACTAGACAAGTTGAAAAGGCCTAAACATATCAATACACACTTTTCAGTATAGTTTAAAAAAAATATATCCTTAATAAAGCAAAGTTTGTCTAATAATGTTTCAAAACATAATAATATAGGTTGTAAAAATAGCTTATGCTATTGTTTAAAAAAAAAAGCTGACACATTACATTTGTTTAGGGTAAAATATTGTCTTATTAATTAAAAGTCTCAGTGATTAGGCAACAACAACAATTTACTTTATATTATTAAATATCAACAACAACGATTTCAATTTGAATCATTTTTAAGTCTTAAAAAACTTAATTACAAAATATCAGTCAAAATGTTATAAAAAAAAAATATCCTACAATTATTTATAAAAAGAAAAAAGCTATTACATCTAACTTAGAGAGTGTAAACATTTTTCGAGTAGCCTCCGATTCTCCTTCACCAAATCCACAGCGATCGCATAACAAGCCAACTTTTTCATCTGCATGGTTTTTAAAGTTATTGACATATTCTTTTCCAATTGAATAGTCTCTTCTAATTTGGTTTCAATGACAGCAGCTCCTACTTTAGATACAGCTTCGATTTCGCTTTGATCAAATAAATTAGCAAACACTCGTTTTTTTAGTTCTTCGTCATTCATCCGATCCGAATAAATTAACGAAAACAATAATACTCGCGTTGACCAAGACAGACCTTCTGACGTACAGCTATGTCCTTTTAATAAACCAAACGTCCTCAGCTTTTCCATTTGATGTTTATTCAAACATTTACCAGTTTTGGAAATTATGTCTTCAGCTAATAAGCATAATGAATCTTGAGGATTAGACGGAACTATGAATCCGTATTCTAAAAACAACTTGGTATTAGAGTGAGGGCCATAGTTTATGAACACCTCTGAATGTTTGTTATACAACTTTTCAGTAACAATAGTATACGTTCCATTTTGACGATTTACTGTGGCTCGAACGCAAGCCATAGGAGAATGATTGAACATGTCTATATACGGCGTAAGAGCAAGATTATTTGTGTCAAACAATTTTATGTTATTTTTCAAGCTACAGTCGGGGCTTATGTAAACAGCTCTCGTGTTTACAATCGACCAAGCCCATTTGTACAGCTCAAAGGTATAAATATTTTTAAAAGTTTCTGTACAATGTGAGCACACAAATGATGACATTTCAATCACGATTTGATTGAATGTATTTAGCATTGTATTCTGATGGTCAACAATTTGCTCGGTTATATCTAGTGGTAAATGTTCAGTAGTACAGTAAGCAGCGTTGGTCATAGTTTTGGGTAAAGACTGAATGTAGTTGTACCAAAACGACTCGGACCCTTTGTGCCGTTCAAACATTAAATAAGTGGCCAACACTTGCTGCGTTTTGTATTTGGTGGTAAAATGTTTGCCGATTGGAGACACGGACACTGAATCGACAGTGATAACTAACGAGCCCGGGACGATGGCTAACGGTTGTCCCACGCCAATGTGTTGTGCAGCCATAATTCCACGTCCAGTATCGGCAAAACACGCTGGGGCCAATCGGCAAGTCGGTCTCCATCCGTGCGACTTCATCCAAGTGGTCAGCGCGACAAAGTCTAACTGGTAGCTGGTAACAGGATGACAGGATGAATACTTTCGGCGACGGCGACGGCGTGCTGTTCGGCCCATTGGTGCAGAGAGAATCGGTGGCAACCAGACTGAAGACTTTACTCAAAAGGCAAAACAACTCACCTTATAACGACCGTTCAAAAGAATAATGCCTCTGCACAATGGCGGTCGACTAATTACAATTGACATACTTCAAGAGCACAGTAGAAACGACAAAAAACAAAACTCAAACCTCACACTCGTCCACCATACATTGTTGTTTTTTTGGTTCAAAAGTGGCAAGTGGCAAGTGACTTTTTTCGTCTTTTATCAGTACCGAACTCTTAGACCATAGTTCATAATTATTATTATCACAAGTCATAACAATTATTGGTTGTTCTGCCTTTTGATACAGACAAGAAATTATTTTTGACATGTACAGTTAGCAATCTAGTTTATTATATATATCTATGGTTCCAATGAACATTTGTTCCAATCACCTTATTTTCCGCTAAACAGTTATGCCAACGGACGTTTTGTCCAAATTGTAATTGTTCCAATATACATTTGGCCCACGATCATTTTTTTCCAAATGAGTTTGCTCCACAATACATTTGTTCCAACAAACAAAAATTAAATTCATCCTATAATATTTTAGAACAAATGGTAAATGGAAAAAATGTTTATGGGATCAAAACATTTTTGGTTTAAAAAAAAAACGGCTTATCATTTTATAAATTCTTATCATTTTATATTTATATAATATAGGTGTTATAAGTATTGGATATTAATTATTAACATGAATATGTTACAACAATATTCTTAGCATAATAGATTATTACTAGCCATGCTAGTTACGTTAGGTGTCTATATGTAGATATTACTCACTTTAAATAATATGATATGAATGATGTCTATGATACATGCATTTATTTTCCAATATACCTACGAATTTCTTATTGTTATTAACTATAATAATGTTGAACGCATTGAACATTACATATTAATTCCTAGAATTAAATTTCTGAATGCTTAAATAAAGATCCGTGGTAACCAAATGTGGATCACTACCTTTTGTTCTACACATTTTTTCTTCCGCAAAACATTTGTTCCAAATAACAATTATTCCATGCATCTGATCTCCCAATAAACTCTTGTCCCATCGAAGAAAAAATTTGTGAAACAATTATTACCCACCCGTGTACCATAGATCATGGATCAGCTGTGATCCTAGTATCATCACCCGATTATCATATGATTTTTTGTACTCCAAGAAAATATTATTCTTTCTCCACGACTGATAATGTGATAAAGAAATAAAAGATAACGCAACACATCTAACAAGCTAAAGTTGTTAAGTTTTTAATGCAGACCGTTTAATAGTTATTAATTATTATGATTAGTTAAACACTGGACGTTATTGATAAATGTCAAATAATAATATTATACTGGTTTGGTTTCTGACAACAGCTAGAATTAATGTTCCTACTTTTTCTCAAATTTCTAGTATACGTTCATAGAGTGTGCAATATAAATTATATTAGTTGCAAAACAGTCAACTTACAAACATTTTAGTACTATTGAATCTCATCCAAAGGCTGTGTAATATGGATTCCATTATATTATTTTAAATATAAGCCATCATTACTGTATTTTGTACTGAAGTACATACTGAATTAGTGTTAAACTGAAAAACCCTATTAAAATGATTGTCCAAACAGTTGGATTTAAAGTGTTTTCTTCAATCTTGGTGTTAAGTAAGTTATATTTGAACATTTTACTTAATAACATTAACTAGATAAACCTAAGGGTATACCCTTTTTTATATTATTACCAGATAAATAACTCCCAAAGACAATTATATTTGATCAAAAAAAAAATCAATTTTTTTTTTATTATTTAGAGGTTATAAAATAAGTATAATAATGTAAATATTCATAATACCCAATACTATTTTATATATTGTTTTAGCAAGCATAACTTTGGTGCAGAATGTCTATTCATCAAGAGTATTAGAAATGAATGATCGGTAATAAAATTAATTTTTTGGTAATTTTTAGGTAATTTATATTTCATACTTTTTTTTAGGTTTTTAGAAGTCAAGGATGAAGGAAACTGGTTTATTATGGTAATTATAACTAGTATTTTTTTGCTCTTGACCATTTATTACTTGATTCTCTACACTAGAATATTTAATTTTCCGAAATGCTACAATTAATAAATATCATTCTGGTTTATTTGATTAATGGCTTTCATATCAGAAAATTTTTGGAAAAGCTACTGGGAAAGATCCTAGAATTTAATTTATGTTTTTCAAAAGTATTGTTGCTTAATTTATAAATAATTGTCTACTATTTAAGCTTAAAAATTATATTGTTTTACACAATAGGAAAAAATGCTCATTGATTGTATTTAAACCATGGTTAAATGCAAACTTTACATAAACTCACTAATTGACTCGTTACAGTTGTCTTTGTAATTAAATGGCTTGCTAAACAGCACACTTTACAAAAAAAATGTATCATACCTTTTAGAGTAGTTCTAGAGTTTTTTTCTACAAAGCACATTGGACTTTCAAAATGTAATTTTTGGACGCCATAATAGTACTAAATATAACTAATTAAAAAAAAATGATATCTTATTTCTAAATTCAAGAAGTCTTAATGTTACTAACAAAAAAAAAAATATGCATAACAAAACCAAAACATCCAACGAGGTGTCAATGGTTTTCCTCTAGCCGTGTTCTCTGATTAATTAGGTATAAATTGTTGTTAAAAAAATTATACCCTGAAGTTAATACAAATTAGTTGACTTTGTAATGAAAACATTTGTTTGTTTGAAATTAATTTCATCAGTTTAATTTTTACTTTTTTTTAATATTATGTTTCCTTTATAGTTTTATGCACCGTGGTGTGGCCATTGTAAGCGACTAGAACCTATATGGCTCCTCGTCGCTCAAGCTTTACACAACACTGACATCAGGGTCGGTCGTATAGATTGTACGAGGTACAAAGGAGTGGTATCGGAGTTTGGACTAAGAGCTTACCCTACAATACTCTTGTATGTAAAACTATTTTTTTTTTGTTAATTTTAAAAACTTATCATTTTTTTTTTTTATCATTTAAGTATTAAAGGGAACGAAGGAAGGTATAATTTTGATGGTGAACGATCAACAGAAGAATTGGTTCATTTTGCTAAACGTATGGTTAGACCACCAGTACAAGAAGTTACTGATAGTAGCGATATTGAAATGCTGAAACAATCACAGAAACACTTTTTCATGTTTATAGGTGATAGCAAAGGACACTTTTGGGTATTTAATATTTGTTTAAATTTATAAATGATTAATTTTTTCCATATAAATAATTTAAAACTAAATTTACTTTTTCAGGATCTCTATTACGACTTGGCAAAACAGTTCCAACCGCATTCGTATTTCTATATTACTTCTGAAAATAAGGGAAAACAGGTAATATATTTCAATATAATTACACAAAGTAAAACACATTTTATTAACGGCATAGTAATCTGTCGCTTACGTCATCTTCCTTACATATTATATTTGTGGAAAAATTAAACATCTTAAGGCTAAGAAATAATTTGTATGTTGAATCTTAAATATTGTCTAATAGTTATTTATGTTTTCGAAATTTTAATTTTAACATAATTATACATATTTTTAAGCACTTTTTATTCGGAGAGGCTCCTACAGTGGTCGTGTTTAAAGAAGACCAACATTATCCATTTAATGGTAATTCACTATTACATCTCTTATCTCTTTAATATATTTATACCCGGATACTATTTAACTATTATGATTATCTTTCAGCTAAAGAATGGGATATGGACGTCAACGCGAGTCTAACTCGTTGGGTTAATACCGAACGATTTAATACATTTGTTAAAGTAACTCGATCGAATATTCACCAAGTTTTTGAAACAAACAAGTATTTAGTTTTAGCCATTGTAGAAGAAAGCAAAAGACCAAGGGTGCCTTTAGACCACTCGCAGTTAGTAAATTATTTCTATTCATCTAACTATTATTTAATTGAAACCAAAAAGTTATTATTTTGTATTTTATTTGTACTTTGTAGATTTTTAAAAATGGTGGAATCAGTCATTGTCCAAAATAGAGATCGGTTTCATCGGTAATCCACTGCACATAATGATTGAATTGACTAGCGACTTGAATTTTAACTCTAATTATTATTCTATATTTTAGTGATTTTCAATTTGGCTGGATCGGTTCCCCGGAGTTTGCAAATGCAATTACGTTAAGTGAAGTTCCTGTTCCTTCTCTGATCATATTCAATTCTACAACAAGACATCATCATTTCCCCGACGAACAACCATATGAGTTAACGCCAGAATCGATCACCATATTTCTTGAAGCTGTCCGAAATCAATCAGTAAAGGTTAGTATTTTAGCTTCAATGCGTAGCTGAGAAGGTATTGTTTTTACAAAAATGTGTTTTTATATTATACATTTTTTTTTTGTTTCTGGACCCACAATATCTTTTAGACCGCTGAATAGATTTCTTTATTTAGCAAGTCTATAAATCAGAAATTGTTCTTAAAAGGTCCTTTATTGGGCCAAAAATTAAAAAATGTCACCCCTCCCCTTTCAAAGTCGAGAAAAACACCCAAAAAATGTTTATGGTATGTTCTTTAGACATAGTACTAACCATTAACGTTGAAAAACCAACAAAATATCAAAAACCCTTACTCTTAAAAGGAGTGGAAACTTTTTCTTTTAGGTGAAATTTTAGAACGAAAAAATATACCAATGGTAGATCTAGAATCAGGTTATAACATATACAATTTTCTCAAGAATCAGTACTTTTTTTTTTATTAAGGAAAAACCAAAAAATAAAATGGAAAAATTACAATTTGACCATTGTAAATTTCTAGATTGCTATGTGTGAGTGAATCATACAGTTAACATGTATTCAAAAATATTTATATGATATTATTAATCCTGATATATGGGTAACAAAGACAATACGTTTTTACAAATAGATAGTCAACCCTAATACTAAATATACATTTGTTAATACAATTATGTCATTACAATACTTTTATCAATATTTTTCATTACTGTTTCTTAATATGACTAAAATACATTTATACAAAAACAGACTACTATTCTAAAATGTCTACATTTTTAGACATATGGAGGAAGTGGATTTTTTATACAAGTGTATAGAATGTATTATGAAACCAAAACGTCGTTGGTGAATATTTGGACTGGAAATCCTGCAGTTGCCTGTGTTCTGTTTGGATTACCAATGATATTTTTGCTATTGATTATTTATTCAACGTGTTGCACGGACATTATGGATGCTAGCGAAGAGGATGAAGATGACGGTATGTAAAAATTCTATAATTGTTTGTCTGTAAATACATAAGTAAAAATAAAAATGTTAGGTACTTTTTTGATGCACATATATTCAGGATATGTAAAATTGCTACTTTACAACAAATTCTACCTTTGAATCTATTCCGCACAATATTTGTAATTCCATATTATTTATTACACAGCACCATTAGGGTCGCTAAAAAATACTAAAACAATAAATTCTACAAATGGGAGACGAATGAAAACTCCAAAATCTCACTAAACAACAAGATACTAATTCTGAAAACCGTCATAGCCGCATATAGGATTTATTTTTTGCATCCTTGGGCACTTATTAATGGCTTCATTAGATTATATTCTATTATTTATACTTTGATCACTTTTGAGAGAAAATTGTGGAATTTAGGAATTTAAGTTATCATTTTTGTTAGAGGCACCTTTGCTAGTCATACATATAAAATAGCATATATTACAGCTGGCTGATCTAACATTTACCCTAAGAGACATATAGCCATTTCTTCTCCCCCCCCCCCCCAACACACACAAATAAGATTGACAAACTGCAACTTACTTTTTATTTTCAGATGAAAATCACGAAAAGAAAGACTAAATGGGTTGATTAATCTTTCGAGCAATTATTTTTCTTCAAAATGAACTGAAAATATTGAGGATCTTGAAAAGGAAAATATACATATTAAAAACATGTTATGTATGTATAATATGTTAATTTTTCGACTTCAGAAGTATTTATCTGATATAAGTTCACAAAGTCGTCTTCAACGTGGTTGTGTAGTAATATTTAACAAAATATGTTACGTTAGAAGGATTATATTATACATTATTATAGTATAACATCATTGAAGTTATCGATACCTGAATTAAATCAAGTCATGTATAACTGTAGAAAATTGCTGTTTATTGTAGCATATGTTATTAGCCATTAAGTTTGTAATTGATGATTTCAATTCAAATTTTTAGTTATTAGATAAAATATTAGTACAATATTATTATAAATCGCTTTTTGATTAATGTGTGTGTCATAGTATGGTTATTTATTATATTGAGGGTCTTCAATGAAAAAAAAATGTATGATTTTAAATACAATTGGATTTAATATATATATTAAACTTTTGTTTTTATTTATTTGACTATTATTAATAGTCATTGACTATTTGTGTAACTTATGTTTAACAAATTGTGACCTGCAGTCTGCTATTTATGTAATGGTGCAAATAATAGAACCATTATATTATAGTTGTTAAAATACATACTCGATTTATTGCCTTAATAAATTATGTCATGTGCAACTCAGATAGGAGCCTAGAAAAACGAGTAAAATATTTATAATGAGGTCGACAAACATAATTTGTAAAACTAGTAGGTAAATTTAAACAATGATGTATGAGAACACTTTAAAATGTAAAAATCGTAATTTATCAAGCATAAAATATGTTTAATATAAAAAAAAAACCAAGTTATTATTATTATGGTATAGTCGTGAATCTTTCATCAAAGCCTATGAATGTAGATTTTAATGGAAAACCAAATAGAACTCGAAAATATCTATACGTTTTGTGATCAATAGCACAATGTTATCAAACATCAAATCATTGAATCCACATTCGAGTTAGGAACATAGTCGACTTCTCATATCACAAACTTAACTGAATAAACATAATTTTGCCCAAACACTACAGAATTATTGATCTATTAATGTCCAACTCTGCTCAGTGTTTCTTGGACAATAAAGTGTATTATATTATATTGGTTAAAAAAAAAAACAATTTTTCTTTTTATAAACTGACAAAATGTTGGGGGTTGGTAAAAATAAAATAAAAATAAAGGATGAAATAGTATACAATTTAAAATTCTAATAATTAACAATGTAAACATTTGATCGTGCACGAGCCATAAACGGTTGACGGATGCATATTATGCGTTATTTCATTTACAGTGCCCCGCGTTTAGTGTACGAGCCGTGTTTGTTATAGCATTTCCAATAAGGGCTGCAAAGCGGTGACGTCCCGTGCGGCCCTCTTGGCCAACAGCCTGTCCAGTTCTTTTTTGTGATAGTACAACACGAAATCTTTGGGCTGCACGCCTTTGAACACTTCCACCACGCTGGGCTTGAGATTGTAGAAAAACAAAGCCTGTCCCCGGTTGGAAAAGTCTTGCGACAGCATTTCGATCACCTTGGCCGCTGTGAAGTCGGCGCCGTACACGTGAGAACAATCTATGACCACGGGCATGTCCCGTTTTAGGCTGTGTTTGGTGACCAGGTTGCGCACGTAGTCGGCGGACGGAAACACCAGACACCGATCGGGTGTCAACATGAGATACTTGACACCCGCGCGGCTGTTGTGTATCTGTATGGATATTTTCGGTCTGGCTGCGTGGTAAAGTATGGACATCAGGTTGAGTCCAATACCGACTAGTACACCGATTTCCAACGGTAGGAGCAGGCAGGCGACGAAAGTGGACAAGCCGGGTATGAGGTCGCTTTTCTTCGACCGATAGATTGGCTTGACCACACGCACCTCGACCATGAACACCACGGCGGCTATGATGACCGCGGCCATTGAACTCTTCGGTATGTAATAAAAGTTTGGCGTTAGGAACTGTAGGGCCACTGCCACCAGTAGGGCGGTATAAAGGCCGCCTAAGGGGGTGCGCACGCCGCTGGCGTTGTTTACGGCGCTCCTGCTGAACGAGCCGCCGCCGGGGAAACTGTGCACGAACGCGTTGCCGATGTTGCACAAGCCGATGGCCAACAGCTCTTGCGTGGCGTCAACCGTCTTGCCGTTGGCGAACGCCTTGCAAATCGATATGCTCTCGAGCAGACCGATCAGCGGCAGCACGACGATTCCCGAGCCCATTGTCGACACCATTTCCACGAAACCTACCGTCCCATTGCCGTTCTGCACGGAAAACTTGGGCACGTCGAAGTCGGGCAGGCCCGCGGGTATGTCGCCAATGATCTTGTACGACGGAACAGTCGACTCGTCCAGCGAAATGATGTGCACGTAACTCAGTGCGGTGCAGCCGACCACAATAATCGAATTTCTGAACGATCCCACTAGCCACAAAATCCTGTTGACGAATTTGTGTTTACAAGTTTGCCGTTCCGGTTCGGCGGGTCCGATGCGCGTTTCCGCTACGATCCTCAACGCCAGCAACAGAGCGATACAACCGAACCCGATGGCCGCGTCAGCGGTGCTCGCGTTGTGTATGTCCTTGTAGAGCGACACGACCATTTCGAACAACGTAGTACCAGTGGCCTTGATGCCGACCAGATCTTTGATCTGAGACGTGATGATCAACAGCGCTACGGCGGACGTGAACCCCGACGACACGGGGCCCGACACGAAGTCGATGAGTATGCCCAGGCCGCAAGCGGCCATGGACAGCTGTATGACACCGGTCAGGAAACACAACAGTGTGGCATACACTGGGCCGTGTCCGTGCAGCGTGTTGTAAGTCATCAAGGCCACAATGGCCGTGGGGCCCATTGGGACGTCTTTGCAGCTTCCAAAGAAGGTGTAGACGAGCGCGCCCAAGAACGACCCGTAAAGACCGAACTGCGGCGGTAAACCGGCCAACCCGGCGTACGCCATCGACTGCGGTATGACGGTCAATCCGACCGTCACGCCGGACACCATGTCGCCCAGAGCGTCTTCCGCCGTGTACCGCGGCAGCCATTCCAGGATGGGCAGTCGCCGTCGAATGTTCTTCAGCGCCACAGTGCTACGCATTTTGTGCTTCAGCCACGGCCGGATCTCCTGTATCGTCTCAATGGTGCTCATCTTACGGTCGCCGTCGATCTCGTCCACCAATATGAAGTCATCGCTGCCCACCGTGCATTGGCCCACGGTGTCGTAGCTGTCTACCGACGTTTGTTTTGTAGTAGGCATTGTGGCAATGCGTTCACGATTTTACATTGCTCGATCCAGAATTAATTCAGTTACAACGTTCTACCTATAAGCACACAAACGTATAATACAATATTATGTTCGGTTTTCAGTTTTGCGATTAGTAGAAAATACCAACAGAAAGAGATACTCTGTCCAAGCCATTTGTCTTTAAATAATAATTAACACGTTTATATGAATCATAGTACAAGACAACAACCAAAATATTTACCTATTATTAACTTTTATAGTAATTGAATTAAAATCAAGAATAACAGTGACCAAGAACAGTAATCAAACAGTTAAATAGGCGTAGTTGTGATTACGCAAGTTTCTATATGTGAAGTAAATCGTTACACAAAGCTGTGTATGTATGTTTATTAATGGTTAACTATTGGCAGCGCTTCAGAAATTAGCCAGATGATAATCCACGGGCGAGTGCTTAATTATTAATAATTTATGATTAACGTTGAAAGTCATAAGTCGAGTAAGTCTAGAGAGATCTCAAAATTATAAACATTATGATAACATCAAGATAATTTTATTTTGGGTTAATATACTTTGTATTCTTGTGCTTCTCTAGGGAGGATAGAGGAGGTAAAATCCTCCCATTTTCCATGTATTTAAGGTTTTTGTTTTATTTTTTAGTAAATAATTATAGTTATTATTTATGTAGTCGTAACATTAATCGGAATCGCCCTCAGATAGTTTTTTAGGCAATTTTTTATGCAAGCCATTAATATTTGCTCAAAAACGCATTATATTTTTCTTCGAATCCTTTAGTCTTTCCGTTTGAGCGGGAAATTGTTATTTATTAAAAAATATACCCAATTATTGACATTTTCATTAAAATAGGTAAAATATAGCACACAATCGTAGAAGTGAAATTTCCCTAAAACTATACGACTTCAAAGATATTTCAAAAAAATGTATCTCATTAAGATTTCATACTCAAAAACTATTTTGCCAAAATTGTATTTACAAGAAAATATATTTGAAATCATAATAAAAAGGTATATTTTTAAATAAATTACAACTCTCGATCGAATGGACCATTAAGAAATTTAAATAAAAATATCAACAAATTAAAGTAATTTTTTATCATTTTTAAACCGAACTAAAACATGTAGAGTGTGGTGTTCCAGCACGAATAGTCAAATTTGTCAAAAAAATATTGCAAATAACTATTACACCCTTATTAAATTACATTTTTTTAATATATACTCCCCTTTTGGATGTTGTCCGGACTCTGGATACGCTATTGCGACAAATCCAAGGTTAATCATCGAATATAATTAATAGTGATGAATGATGTTATAAATCTACTTATATAGGTACATAATATTACAATAAATGTCTTTTAAATCCGCTATTGTCTTGTATTTTTAATTTAAAATCCAATTATATTATACTATAACGTAGATAGACATTGCGTTTATTATTAATTTTGCTCTAACAAAATTGAAAACATTAAATATTATACTAATTGCAGCATGACGTTGGTATAACGTATTTTAACAATAGAAACGTTAATCTATTTGTGAAATTATTATACGGTTCTTCTTTTAAAGTAACAATAAGACTTGACTATTTTTTTCAATCAACGGTGAATAATTAATTCACATCTTGCGTGTGAAATCTATGTAAATTTTTTTTTTTCATTTTTGTAACGAGAATAATTTTTTGGTCCCAGACTGACTTCGCTCATTTAACGTGGCGCGGTTTTTTTTTCAAAAAAAGGTTGTGTAAATGCCCCCGTTAGACTTCGAAGGTTAAAAATACAACAATAGAGCTAATCTGTTGGTCAAACAACTACTACAATATAATCAGAAAGATGATTTTCAAAATTAATGACGTTACCTTTAAAAAAAGAGCCTTTAACAATAGGAAAAATATTGGTTCTTTTAACGCCCTACACTAGTTTACACTTAATATTAGGTATTGCAATTTTCAAGTTTTTCTTTTTAAAAAAACATTTTTGTTTATGCTATATTACAATATTATAAAATTTATAAATATTTACCTTTTAAGTATTTTCCAAAGCCTTACAATCTTTTAAAATTTCAATTATTTCTTGCTTTGAATTTGACACTTTGAATTAAATTAAGAATTATATAATGAAAATGTCGACTGGTATAAAACCAGTTTTGAATAAATAGTTTTAAAGTTATTAAAGCTTATAATTTAGGATAGGGGGAAGGGCAGAGTGTGAAGTTATTTTCAACCACTATTTTTTAGCAAATTATTTTTTTATATAAAAAGTTAATGAAATATACACGTTACCGTTGAAGTTTTAAAAACGATAAGGCTCTGTAAAATACAATAAAAGATAAACATTTGATAAGTATAAAATATTAAACAAAATAAACAAATATAATATGTTAAACAATAATGTTTTTAAAAATAAAAACCAAAAATGTGTAATAATTGTTATGAGTTTACTAGTGTAGGCCGTTAAAATAATCATCCGATAATAAAACACAGGGGACAATAATCACAATATTATCGGATAGAAAATTCAAAACAATAGCTTAATTCAAAAATATTGTAAGAAATGAACGACGAGCGTTTAAACAATTTTCTTTTACATTTCTTTGTAGAATTTTTGTACGCCTTCTAGCAGTCGAAATGTAGGCTATTTTTTTATTTACGTTTTTGCAACGATAAAAAATCAAACACATAAACAGTAAACAACAACATATTGGCTAAAAGTGTAGGTATTTACAACAATATGCGAATGAAGCCATCGCATAAATATAGCGTGGGATTATATGCACACAAGGCATGCAATTTGGTAATTTAAAATTATGTGTATACGTACTATTTATATGCATCTTACTCACTTTAAGTTGAAAAAACGTTTCGCAAACACAAAAAACCGCACGGCACAATTTTCAGTGCAAACAAACATATGAACACTGTCATTACCGGACCTCGGCAATGGAAAATGGCAATGTTGTGTGCTGTTTGTTCATATGCTTAGCACTTAGTTATTCTGACTCCCCTCCACCGCCGGTAGGTAATAATCTAAAAAGTTCAACCCGGCTAGGCCACTGTCAACGGTCACAATATTGCAACCAAAACTCAAAAGGGATACATACCAATATTAGTATCTACTGGGGAAAAACATTTATCAGTTTAATCATTATTAGGTAAATGGGTAGATATTCGAATACGTGCAAAAAACTAAAATTTTAGTGAACTTATACAATTAATCACTTTTTTTAATTACTAATCAGGTATAGGCAATTGTTTTATTATCATCTACAACTATGAAACGGTTTTGTTAAAACGACCAAACTAAAAGCGCATTATTTATTACATACAATAGTAAAACGTGAATAAAAAATACATTATTTAAAATAATTATACATCTAATTATCTTGTTGCATATTGTTGCATCTTGTAACATACTTGTTTAAAAAAACTTTAATAATTTATTTAAAAATGTATTAGTGTACAAAATAAAAAATGATGTTTAGTTGCATCCATACAGGTATATATATATATATCTAAAAGACAAATGCAATTGCATTGATGAACAGTTAAAAATAGAATAATTATATCTGACCTTACTTTTTTTGCTCATTTAAAATGTCATGTGCCATGCGATCATGGATAAACACAAAATTAAAAAAACGCCATATCATTATAGAATACTTGCCAATATTTAGTCTTAACTTTTTGTTTATACTTACATAAATTAATGACCCCTTTCAACAGTTAGAATTCACATCAATGCCTGCAGTAATGTTATACTAACGTTTTGTTATCATTAAATCATTTAATAATAATATTATTATTGTGATTGGCTTTTAGTCAACAAATTGTCAACGATTATTTTCAGTGATGTTTTTTTATTGGCATCGAACAAAAGTAATTATTATAAACGCATTGGTTAAAGTACATAAATACTCGTATAATTTTGCTAAAATAAAAAAAAATGTGAATGGTTATCAAAATCAATAAAACAAATTAAAATAGTATGTTTCAATGTAGGTATATTATCAAATATATATTTCAATCAATCTGTATTTAAAAAATAAGATCATTTACTATGAGGAACTTCACAACTTTAGATTAAACTGTATTTTTAAACAATCAAAAATGTACTAAAAAAAAATCTTTTTTTTGTTTGTTTCAAACAAATATTTGTAGCTGCGTTTGAAAACATTTAAAACGTATACTAATAACCACCCCATACAATTTTTAATCAAGTTTGAATATGATTTTACATTCCTTGGAACTATCTGATTTTTATTATCTAAGTAAAAAACGGAGCAATTAGCAAATGCAAAATAATTTTCAAAAATAACCAACAATTTGTAAATTTGTATTCAACTGTGTAACTTATATAGCATAATAGCTTATCATAGTTTTGTGTAAATTAGCCAATTTTTAAGAGTAATGTGTAGGCAATATTACATGCGAGTAAAATATCAAGTAAACGATAATTGATAATTTAATTAGTGTTAATTCCATTTTTAGTATAACTGCATACCTGGGGTGAATTTACTCTCATAAGTGTGGATATTACATCTATTAGTGTCTCTACTCGATTTTACCTCTAAGAAAAAGTGTTAGTGTGACGATAACAAATTTGAACTAATTATTAGCTAGTAAGTATATAGGTAAGTTAATAAGTATGCGTTTATTTAATATATTAATAATAAGATAGCACCGATCAGTCTGAAATAAAATGTTTACTATAAATCGTTGTGAGCTTAATTCATTAGGTACCTATTCTATCAGATGCTTGACACCGTTCAACGTAGCGTATAATAATAGTATCACTGGGTATTTACTAAAAAGGACATTGACAAGTAAGGTTTTTTCATGTATGTACACAGTATGACCTCAAGTTAGATACTTAATAATTACAATTAGCTATGGACAGTTAATTGTTGCTTTACCGATTTTGATAAACCTTGGAAGTCTGCGACATTTAATATAGTTATTACAGATATTACTAGGTACAGTAAATGTAAAATTTCAACAATAGTAAATAATTGTGGATGGGCCAATGGATATATGTATATAACGAATACTGCATTTGCACTTTTCATAGTATATATTTATATATGTATATATTTATCTTGAAATTTAATTAAATTTGTAAACATTGTAATTTGAGGATGAATGCTTGCTTATCAAAATCGTACATTATAAACTTAATGACATTCATCATTCATATTAACGTGAGTGTGATGCTCGGTAAAGATACAGACACGCACATCGTTGGACAGGTTGGAATACATAGCCAGTTAACCTTGTTTTACACGACTCGCAATTAACTGATTGAGAGTACATCATTTTATAGTTATAGGTACGTACCTAAATCATTGTGAAGCTTAGAAAACAAAAGTTACTATAAGTAAACGTGTATACGCATTTATTACACTGTAAAAAGTAATAAATAAAGTGTATATTTTTATATTTTCTTGTGGAAAAACTGCTTATAATTTACAATTGTACTGTAAACAATTATATTGTTAGGTGACTGAAAGTAAAAAGCCTAAATATTGACAGTTTATGGTATTTTGTATAAAATATATTAAAATTAACTATTCAAGTGAAATATTTTATATTATGTTTTTACAAAATAAAAAATAAAAATATTGTTTTTGACGTTTTTAAATATTATTACATACATAAATAGTTTGTTGATATTGATTAGGTACATCGTAATTTGTGAAACAAAGTTTCGCTTTTTATTTGGAAGAAAAACCAATATGTTCCTAGTAATTGGAGTCTGGGGAGCTCAGTAGAAGTCTCCTACTAGACTCCTTAATAGGACCAAAAATATCGTCGGTCCTCGGATATAATATTATGTACTACCGGGGCCATAGCAAGAAAGGCACCTTTCGCCCATTCCCCGGGCGCAACATTTGAAGGGGCACACAAATTAAGAAATTAGAAAAATATAGAAAATCGTTATCTATTAACAAAAATCTAGCCTAGACTAAAAGACGGAACTAAAAGGAGCATTTTTACATTTTACCCCGGCGTAAATAATGGTTGCTACGGTCCTGCCTAATATATTATTATTCTGAGTCCTCCACGAAACCCATTCGAGATTCTTAAATAATCACTGAATAACTCAATTCTAGTTTTCGATTGATTTCAACATTATTTTTATAAAAGATTTAGACGATGTTTAATTATAATATCGGATATTATAAGATTCAATATTAAATTTCAAATTATTAAAAAATGGCTGTTAAGCGGGCGGTTTTTAAGGAGTTTTATATAGGCAACATTTACAAAAAGTGGTTTTTTAATCAATTTCAACCAGATTAATTTTTTTCAGGTTAATTTGTGTAAGCTTTAGGGTATTATATTTTTAAAACTTATACATTTTTTTCTATGAGTTAAAGCCATTTAGGTGGTACAAGAAATCAGTAAGATCTAAAAGCCTGATAAAATTATGATTACGCCTACTTATATAATAAAATGATCGGTTTTTAATTCTCTAAACATTATTTATCTCAAACGGCCTTTTTTCCAGTTTATTATGATAGTCGTTTTTTTAATTACTGTTTTATTTATTTATAAAAGGCAAGGAACTGTTTTGTCTAGATTTCCATGGAGTCGAGCATCATTTGGCAAATGAAGATCCGTGCACATTTATGACATTCATTGTCTTATATTTTCCAAAAAAAAACTACCAATTATTTATTCTACAATTCTGATACCAGTCCGGAATTTAAAGAAGACATTAAAATAACTAAATATTTTGAAGTGCATTTTAGAAAATCATTCAAATGTAAAACGGAATACTGACATTTTTTCAAAAAGGATGTTATTATTTTGTTCAAAAAAATAATCAGAGTTTTACAATGATTTGTTTAGTGTAAAAGGTAACACTGAAACTATACATTTTGTTTACATTAAATAAAAATAGTGATAATGGGCAAATGTCAGAATTCACGTTTTTGATAACAATTACATTTACTAAAATTTTAAATTAAAAAAATAAATGTTCTAATTTCCATCATTGTTTATAATTCTTTAATAATAAATCATAATACTCATAGCTGTTTTTTTTAGTTGAATAATAATAATTGTTAACAATAAACTATATCGATATAAAATATATCAACAATTTTTTTTCTTTATACTCCTTAGGTATTCTAGACAAACATAAATTTTAAGAATTTTCCTATTCCAGTAAAATAAATTAATTCTATAAAACTAATAACTATCACTTGCAATGGAAAATCCAGAAAATTCAACCTCAAAAGTGGGATCTTTAGAAGATGAAGCACGCAAACGAAAGGAGCGTTTAGCAAATCTAAAAAAAAACCTAACTAATAAAAATGAATCAAAAAATGCTGAAGAAATTGTGGATAAACCTTTACCAAGGTATAAAAACATTTTTATTAATTTAATGAATATTTTCAAAAACTTGTTTTCACTTCAGACCAAAGTTTAAGAGTTATATACCCGAGGATGAAGGCCTTAAGGAAACACTTATACCAACACCTCAACCGGGCGATATTGTTGCTGAAGTTGAAGACCAATTAAAGGCTGGAGAAACTGTATTTACTGTTCAAGAATTGGTAAAGACTACATTATTATAGAATAAAATAGAAAATGGAGGATACTCTCTACAATAAAATTGTTTCATATTTTTATTTATTTATTTATATAAATAACGCCAACAAGCTTTTGGTAATATAAAATATGAACAAAATAAAACTAACAACAATTGTCAATTATGAACAATAAAAAAATAAATGTAACAAATGCACTTTTCTTTTACTATACAACAGTAAAAAAATCACAAACATTTCTACCCTAATACTAAAAACAAAACAAGATAAAGGAACCAACCGCAGCTTCCTCTTCGAAGAAGAAAAATTAAAAATTAAATTTCTTTTTATAAAAAATATATAAATATTTTATTAATATGATTTAATTATTTTAGGATTTAAATACATTGGCACCAAGGAAACCAGACTGGGATCTGAAAAGAGATATTGAAAAACGAATGGCCAGACTTGAAAGACGAACTCATAAAGCAATTGCTGAATTAATACGTGAACGACTTAAAGGTGAACAAAATCTCGATTTAGCATCAGCTGTCAATGAAGGAGCTAGAGCAAATGCTACGCTCGATGTCGATGAAGAGTAACAATCGTTTATGCTCCAAAAATGTCTGTCTATTATATTTTTACTAAATTTTGACATGTAAATAAACTAAATAAATACTAATTGTAATGTATAATTTGTATTTTAATATTTCTAGTACCAAAATCCTTGGTTGATTTTTGATGATAATTTGATGATTTTGTATTGATGAATATTGTGTAAGACCTGTGTAAAGTATCAGTTTGTCCTTGTAATATTGGTGGTTAAAAACAGCTTATCTGCTGTTTCGTCGATACCCAGTAGATAGCTACATGGATACTTGAAAAAAATATATTAATAAAATATAATCAATAACACAAGTACTCATTCTTTTTATTTGTATTGGTTATGCAAATAAAAGTTTTATAAAATCTTAATATTATACTTATAGTTGGAAAATACTTTTTATAAAATGTATAGTATAAATTATGCTTAGCCTTTTGGGTCAGTGGATCCGAGCTTGTAGTGCATTTAAGTTATAAAATTTTAGTATGGATCCCACTGACATCTAACCTACCCCCTATGCATCACCTTTAAAATGTATTTATTTGTTTGACACTACTGATATAGACTGACATCTATAATAAATATGTTGGTCGGTTTGGTTTATAATATGATTTTATAAAAACATTATATTTGAGCTCCTGAAAAAGAAATAAGTCATACCCATACTAAATTGAAGGTTTGTAAAAAAATTTTGTTGACATAAAATATGTTTTGGCATATTATACATCTTGGCATAATACACCTTGGCTTGGAAAATATTTGAAAAGATTCACAAATCAACAATAGTACAATTTTAGAATAGGTAATTATAAGTTGTTTATCTATTTGTTCATTGGAGTTTTGCCATAATAACAATAACATTTCAATAGAAATATCACAGATAATGTTTAGTTGAGAACAACTTGACAAAGTGAAATTTCATTAAAAATTCCGATTATAATACATTTAACATATAATTTTTTTTTGTTCTTTACAAAATTTAAGGACTGATTTTTAGACTAAACATAATAGCAAGTATTATGTTAGCCTATCCAAATAGAAAATTGGGACATATTTTCCTAATAACTACAAGTGTGTAGGTAAAAGAAATAAAAATTATAATAGAAGATGAATTGTGGCTGTAGCTTTCTTTTCTGAAAATTTATTTTACAAGTCGTCTTTGAAAGTCTGTAACTACAATATTAAATAGAAGGCAAAATGTTATCTTCTTTATAAAGATAATAATCCCTCTAAATTACATTTTGATGTGATTATTTTCGTCGCTGCAGCCTAGTGCCTACATTTTTTAAACCATTAAAAAAATATCGAGAAGAAAATAGTTTTTTTTCTGTTTTCTACATAATATCAAACATAACCCGTTGAAAACATTAGAGTTTTCGATTAAAATATCTGATTTATCTAAAATAATTCTTTATTAATTCTTGAATAAAAAATATCGTGTACATAGTACACACATTGTGTTTATATATTATAATACATTAGTCTTGTACATAATATTATGTGTGTTGTTTTTATGAACCTGAATTGTGTCGAGTGTCGCAATCTTTACTATATCAGTTAAATAATTCTATTCGATATACGCAATTACTAGTTATAACATAATTGTTTAATCAATTATATTAATTAAAAGGTACTTATTATTCATACAAATCGGTTGTTTACCAATTAGGAAATGACTAGTTCCCAAACGCCTATTGTGTGTATCAGCCCAGGTCAATTGTTATTCATCACTTATCTGAGTTTTTTGCGTTTTAACTTAGTTATTAAAAACACATTGTGCTAATATGTTTATAACATGCAACTGCAAACATTTCATAATTGTTTTCTGGCGATTGATTCAATATTATAATCAACTACATATTACAGCGATTGATTTATTATCACGTATCATTAATCTTTACACATTCCAAAATCCAAATAAATTATAAAAAAATAAAATATATTACATTGGACAAATATACATTAAACAATGAAAAACTGTTTACCAGGCATTTAGTTAAATATTACATAGTATTGCTATAGTACGAATGACGAAACACTATCTATAAAAGTATATGTTGTAATTATGAAAATATAAATATTCAACTTTTAGCTTCATTAAAACTGAATTAATAAAAATATTTTACCCAACACGTAATACATCTACAAACGGCAGAATAAATAGAAATAAAAACACTCATAAACATATATAATAATAATTGTTTTATTTTTTATTTTCATAAACATAAGAAGCTTATTCTAAAAAATACAAATTAAGAAAAATTAGGAAAAAAAATGTATTCAATTTACACAATCTTGTTAAAAAAAAAAAAAAATTATATTTATATAATCAACTACGAAAATAACGAGGAAAAAAAAAACATTAAAATAAAAGTATAATGTAAATAAACTTTTAAAATATTGAATGATTTAAATGATTAAGTTTTTTCCATTATATTAATTTTAAGATCAACAAAGAGGGCAAAAGATGGCAGCGGGCAATGAGACTAATTTTTTTTTTTAAGTACTAAATTCTTGGAATTATTAAATTATCTTATATTAATATTTATGAGAGAAACTGAATTATATAAGAGCTTGAGGAGACATATGAACTAAGTTTCGACGTCATAAACCATATAGTGGTTGGAGTTGTCAATCGCAGCGTGTGGTACAATCTTGTTGAGACCTGGTGGTTGTAATGTAAATCCCAAAAACATAAAACCACGGACTAACACGTTACGTTCAGGATGGTTCTTCGCAAAGCAAACAATAATGTGTGATACGTTTAAATATTCTTCTGCGTATTCCAGCATTGCCAAAAATCCTTCCTTTGACCCAACTGGTCTTTGTGCGTCCGCTACCTATAAATAAAATGTATAATTATTATTTATGACTAATAATGCATTTATGAAACAAGTTTACAGTTTTACATTTTTCCTTAATTTAACACTTTATATGTACATACATTTAACCCTTATATGCAAAATTGTGGGAAAAAGCAATGCCATTTAGCGAGAACTAAGGGATAAAGCTACTTAAAATTTAGCTGAAAACTTTAGATGATGTTACAGAGTATAAAGTGAATTGAATGATTGTATTCGATAGTGTAGTGCTAACCATTTAATTAAAAATCTTGTTCTCAAATAACATTTCATCACAAACGTAATCCTATCATATTTTAGTTTACACTTTATGATGCAAAGCTAACTATTAATCACTTTATTAAAAATTTAGGAATAGTTTTTCTCTTAATCTATTTTTAATAGTCTAATAAAAAAATTTCTGTGCCTAAACAAAGTTTTTAGGTTTTATTATACGTAACACCAAAGATATTAGGAATAAGTTTTATTTAAAATTCTATATTATTCTCTAGTACATTTTGGTGCTTTATGACTTTTTTAAAAATAGTCAAATTGGTTCCAAATTTATAAGGAATATCCTTAAGATAAAGTACTATCAAGAAACGTTAACAAACCAATAATATATCATTAACCCTTCTCCCATTAAGGAAACTTTTTTTTTGAGCAATCTTTAAGACTCAAGATCTGAAAGTTATATTGAAGGTATAACTAGAGTAAGATTATAACACAAAAAAACAATATTATCATATGATATCATATATATAAAACTGAAGTAGACTTTTAATGTGTTTACTTAACTATCTAAACGCAACATTGCGCAATTATCAATATGCACACTATTTAAATAATAGAATGATTATTAATTATCTTTCTACTACGGAGTTCAAATGCACAATCATTGAATTTCTATATCATATTAATATTTTGAATTTATTACATATTTGGAACAGGTATATTTATATATGTTAATTCAAAATATTAATATGATTATTTTATTATATTATTTGAAAGTAGTTTAATTTATGTTTTCTTTTAAATGGCACAAAAATTTAAATATTTATGATAACAATGGAATTCTGCGATATCTATTTATAATTTATAATATACCTAAAATATTATTTTTATGATATATTAAAACCAAATGAAAATTTCCTTTATAAATATGTTTATAGGTGTATTAACTCAGTTGAAATTAATTACACATTATCAACATTATACGTAATTTAATTGGTATTTTATACACTATCTAAATAATTAATTTGGATTACATAACAGAAATGAATATTGTTTATTATTATGACCTTGATAGACTATATAAATGCATCACAAACACGTCATACAACCAATTCCATTTTTGAGAAAACAAACAATATATTATCATTATTATTATTGATGCTTTGGTGAATACTTAACTATAAAATTATGGAAAGAATTTATTATAAAATAATTATATTAATGATACATAATCGTTAATTAAAGACACGTGGTATGGAATGACTGTTTACAACTAACGCAGTCATACGACATTCGACAACACCATTAAGCTTCACGTTTAGTTACATAATATACATAAAATTTGCTGCCGATTACGATCCATATGTATTATCGTTCCTAAAGCATTTTTAGAAATTATACTTGCCTGTATGTAGAGTTTACCACCGGATAGTATGGTGTCCCATTGAATGTCCACTTCAGCCGTGATCTGCATTTTGAACGTAATCCTGACAATGTTATGCTTCTTGACGTCTTCCAATAGTTCATATTCATGCACTGGTTTTGATTCCAGTACAGAGAGCTCCGATAGAATTTGCTTGCCCATGCCGCTGCTGCCCTCTCTGTTGCGTTTGGCTAGTATTGCGGCATGGGGGACATCAGGACCACCACTGAGGCCCAGGACAAAGAGAGATAGAGTACTGCGATGGCTCGGCGTCCATAAAGGAGTTACCGTTACCGTCACACACGGATTGCCAGTCGCGCATTATCGACAACAAATTACTATTACCGTTTTTACTACTTGATATCATCTCCATGACAGCGCAGCGCCTTAAAAACCTCCACAGCGAAAAATTACAACGAAAATTTGGATGAAAACTGGTTGGATATCGCACTAGCGAAGCTTCAAGCACAGATGAAAACGATGGAGCGCAAACAATGGATTTATAGTGTAGTACGGTTCGTCTGGACAAATGGCAAAATACAAGACAGGTGCAATCGGATTTCACAATTTACACTGACGTCATTAGAGAGCAACAGTCAAAGAAGTTATCAAGGTTTTAATCAACTCTGTGATTACATCACCCGTAGTCCAAATGTCCCCTAATCAGTCGGTGGCCGTTTCCTCCATGACGCGCCTGCTTAAAAATTACTGTGCCTTCGCGTCGGCATACCTAATACCTTTTTACGACGTTATTTCCACCCTTCACGCCACACTTCACCGCACTCACCACGTCAATATTATTGAGAGCAAAAGGTCAACCAATCACCTGCTTTCGTGATAATCGAAAACATATGATTCGGCACGACTGGGATCGTCAGAACGACGGCGGTGATGGTGGTGAGGAATAGAGCGGTGGCCGCTGTTGGTGTTTCGAATTTATGCAACGGCAGAGTTGTTCAGCGGAGAAAAATAACAACATTGTATTTTGTATTTCATAATAGTACATTTCAGTTACAAGAAATTTCGATAGAAACCCCCGTTGGGACATATTTATGACATATTATATATATATATATTACAAGTTACCATAACATTTACAGGCTACGATTCCGAAACACAAACTACAAATAACAAAGGTCTCCAGTCTATATAATAATATCATTATGATAATGATAATATAGATCTATTTTGTTATGATTATGACCACAGAACACGGTATTTTGAGTTTGTTGATTACACGCAGCTGTTCGTAATGTCCTTAGCTACACGTGTAAGCACAATCATTGGTATTACAGGTTATCCGTTGCTTCTCCTATTATGAACATCCGGGCTTTTTGAACGGGTTCAAAAATCTGTTATTTTTACTTTTTACTAGGTACCTATTGAAGAAATTCAAAAATAAACAACCTTGATTAACTTACTCGTTGCTTTAATTTTAAGGTAATTCTATTAAAATGTATTTTTAAGATTTAAAAATGGATTTTTTTTTTTATTAATTACCTAATTAACCAACCTAATTTATAGCATTTGATTTAGAGAAATCTTGAAATGACCATGAACCTATAACCTTGACTAAATAATATGAGAGGTTTTTAAAAGTTTGAACTAGTAAAATATCATTAATTCTATACTGTTCCCACAGTATTTAATTTACTTATTAAAGTCACGAAAATAATAAACTTGTATAATATTTAGAATTATATTTTGTTTATAGAACATGGACAAAAAGTTATCTTGTAAAATTGGTCCATCCATTTTAAATTCTGACCTGTCCCAACTATATGATGAGTCGCAACGTTTATTGGATAGTGGAGCAGATTACTTACATTTAGATGTGATGGATGGAACTTTTGTGCCCAATTTAACGTTTGGACATCCAGTTGTAAAATGCTTAAGAAACAAATTGCCGAACACTATGCTCGAAACACATATGATGGTTCAGAATCCTATTCAAGTGAGCTATATAATATTTTAATAATATTTTAATATAGTTTGTCGCTATAACATCAAAATATTTATGTACATTTTTTTTTTTAATATTAAATTAATATCAATATACAATATTTTTTTTTTTTTTAAATAATTTTAGTGGATTGCTCCAATGGCTGATGCTAACGTCGATCAATATACATTCCATATTGAACCTTGTGACGATGTTTCTCTAGTTTGTCGTAAAATTAAAGAAGCTGGCATGAAAGTTGGATTAGCAATAAAACCTGGAACACCAGTTGCATCTGTTGAAGATTACATAGAATTAGCTGACATGGTTTTAATAATGACAGTCGAACCAGGATTTGGAGGTCAAAAATTCATGTGTGATATGATGTCAAAGGTTAAATGGTTAAGGGATAAATATCCTACATTAAATATTGAAGTAGACGGAGGCGTTGGACCGAGTACAATCGATTACTGTGCAAAGGTTGTTCAACTTTTACAATAGTCACTATAGTTTTTTACATTATGCAAAGTACAACAAACTAATACATCATAAAATTACCAATTTACTTCAATCCATTTTTCAAAAAAAAAAAAAATATAACAGTTTAATGCCCAACTACTAAATATATTTTTAAAATAATGTAAAAATATAATTTTCTTTAAAAAATATGTTTAATTCTTAATAACTTTAAAAGCTTTAGTATAGCAAACCCATATTCAGCGAATTTGTTTTGAAACCATCGTCTTATGATGACACGTTAAGCTTGATGATAATAATACATCTTAACATAATAAGAGACTAAGACTCGATTACACCAACAATATTAATTGCGGCTAAATTTTCTGACATAATCCAAACTTTTTAATTTTTAATTAAAAAAAAAATTTATCCCTAGTTTCTAGAAAGGTTTGGCAAACCTAACTAAATCTCCCTTTTAAGATTTTGGACTACTAACAATTAGCTCAAATGTAAATCTTTTGTATACCTATAAAATATTTAAAAAACATTTGAAAAATCAGTAATCCATATTTTTATTAATATTACTAATAACTAACTTTACTAGTGTATTTTTTATAATTAAATTAATTTTTTTTTTATTAGGCTGGAGCGAATATGATTGTGTCGGGCACAGCTGTTATTCAAGCAGATGACCCCCCTCAAGTAATTAAACTACTAAGAAATTCAGTTATAAAAGAAATAAACAATTACTCTAAATGTTAACAATTTAGAATTATTAAAGATGTATAATATATGGTTATTATTTACAACCTGAATGTATTTAGTTTTTATTGTAATTAGTTGAGGTGTTTGTAAATCTGATTTATTATTGACAATAAATCGTTTTTATATATAGTTATATTGTTTATAAGTCGTGTTAAATGTTAATTCAATATTATTGATCATAGATATTATCGTTTATTTTATTAAACTGCCGAGTGAACAATTTATTATTGGAGTTCATTAATATACAAACATTTAAAAATAAATAATTATTTAAGTATTTTATATTTTTTCTTTTTTATTGTAACTTTTTTAAAGGTTATTAAATAATTTTTATCCAATTTTCAAACCTTGTTTTATTTGAATGACAACCTGCAAATAAATGATTCTAATACTATTATAATTCCATTTAAATTAAATTTTATATTTCATATATTTCAACTGTAGTTATATCGTAAATACAAGTTGACTACCCAAAGTTATTATTATAGTAGTTCTTTAAAATATGTATACCTGTTTAATGTTCATTCATCAGCCCAATGTTTAACTAAAATATTAAGTAAATAAGGATACTCTATATGATATAGTCAGAATTATATTTCATATACATAATACATTGTAAATTTCCTCCTGTACCTTTTTAGACATAGAAAAATAATTAATTTTTATAAAGTGTTTGTACAACATAAGAAAAAAAAATAGCTTACAATATAATATAATAATAATTTTTTTCAAAATATATTCTACTGGCTCAATGTATAAAATGTTAGAACAATTATTATCAAAAATTTTAATTTATCATCAAAGTAATTATCGATCATTTACTACTGTATTTATCTATTAGTTAATTATAAGAATAATTTAAGTACTTACGTTTTGGAAACTTCTTGAGCAACTATAAAACTATTTTAGTTAATACTCAATGACATGTATCAATTTTAATTTAAACAAATATTAAATTCCAATATCAAAATGTTCTGGCACTTGATCATAGGTGGAGTCTCTAATAACCTGGCTAAACTTACTTATCCAGATAATAGATGATTTGAGTACTTACGGTCAGATAACTTTAGAGACCACACACACCTTAAGAAAATAAAATCTCATGACCCAGGAGTCAAACCATGACCGCTATAAGTGCTGCGTTTTTGGCCACTTGACCACAGACCACAGTATAAACCTGTCATTATTGACATATTGGTACTATACTTTTGAGAAAATATGAATATCTCGTTATTAGTATAATTAATTAAAAAGATTAGTTCTTGTTGCACACACATTTAGTTTTATTTGTAAAATATAATTTTTTTAACTGAATTATTTAAAATGAATATTTTTATACAAAATACAAAAAAACAATTATTTAAATATTTAACAGACTTTAAGCAAATATATGTACGTATTATAATTATTACAATTTAATAGGAATCTTTAAAAGGTATATAAAACAAACAAAATATAAATCAATTTTTTTTTGTCTTCAACATAGCGTCATGCAACTTGGTAACTTCATTCTCAATGACATTTTGGCATAATGTTCCTTCAACATCAAAGTAATGTGCTACTGACTTTGCAACTTCTCGTTCTATTACACCACCTCTTACCGGATTCTTCTGTACTAAATTTAAATGATAAACACCTGTATGTTTTTTAATATAACTGCTCGCTTCCCATACGTTATCTGGATTATAACCACTTTCGTCTCGTTCTAATGTCACCGCAAATATACCTTTTTCCTTGTATGTCGTGTACAATGTTATTATACCCATAGTCACAAAGTAAAGAGCAACACATACAGTAAGAACATACCGTGATTTTGGAAATGGATTAAAGTAGTCCCACACAAGAGCGTATCCAGCAACCAAAACTGCAAAAGTACATATCAATAATCGACAATCGATCAGCGAAAAATTTTCTACGTGATTGTACTTTGAAATCAGTACTTCTTTAACAGCATCGTCTAAAGTATTTTTTAAAGCAAGATAATCCCATTTGTTGATGGTAATTGGCTTGTTGTCTTCGTCATTTGTTTCTGTTTTACCCATTTTTTTCTTCTCGAAAATATACAAATTAATTCCAATACACCTTAATGATCGCTGATGTAGACGTTTAGCTTGCGAATGTTCAAATCAAATGAACACGTAATTCAAAACTTTTAACTTACTATCATAAACTGGCTGCTGGCAAACATTTGACTCGACAAACAGTACACATTTGTTATTTGCCGACTAAACAAACCAAAAATTTGGTGATTCACCAAAGTTTAAAATCATGATAACATTATCAATACAAATTGTACGCGTTATTCAGTGTGGCATCGAGTACAATATAAATATATATACAGACATGAAATTATTTGAATATGGAAAACTGGTGATAAAAATTTGGCCAAACCTTATGCTTTACTAAACCACAGACTATGCTATATTTCATATAGTCAGTGACTAAACTGAGTAGTGAGAACTCGAAAGCGCATGAGCACATGACCTAGAAACGTCATCTAGTGTCACCGATAGCGCAGTCACGTCGGCTCGCTGTAACTACATGCATGGCACCAGATCCGTCCTCCGTCTACTGTCTAGTAGTATAACTGTATAAGGTCTATGTCTTCCAGCTTTGAGCTTTTTTGTAACCGTGTGGCTTATTTTTCATTAATTGTCATCGCTCATCGGAATTTGAAAGAGAATATTGTAATTAAACTAAAGTTAAAACCACCCAACGATTAATGAACATCAATCATAAACAAACTCATTACAAATAAATAATTTATATAATAACTCTAAAGTTATTATTTTTTCCGTTACAATTTTATGAAAATCCCTTATACCCTTTTGATTCCCTACCACTTGATCGACGCTATATGAAATGTAATGTGTCGAAAAGCGTAAGCCATAGGGGCTATTTAGAGCAGTGTAATATGCAGGTTATTAAGGTACTTAATAGTTAATGAGGTGTTTACAGTTGCAAAATTAGGAAATAAATATACAAATATTCCACTGGTATTATAGTGTACATTATCTTGTTTGTATTCCATACAGCCAAAGTTGTGTAGAGAGAAAGTATTTTATGAGTGCTGAAGTGTTCATAAGTGGCGTATCAGGACTGTTATATTTCTAGTATCTCGAAAATATATTAGTAATATCATCTATACTACAATAATATCTATACTAAAATTTATCAATTAGGATTTTAACAACTTTTTACTTCTAAAATGTAACTATAATAGTCTAGAACCAAAAATTATAAATCGCCATTTCCTATCGCAATTTTTTGTAAAACTACAAAAAGTAAAAAAAAAAAAAATACGTACTAATACTTTGAGAATTATGTAATATATTTACGACTGTAGTTGCACGCTAATAAGTAATGTAAACAAATAATGTCACATTGAAATAAAAAGAATATGACCCAATTATATTCATTTTTTTAAAGAACACATCATTATTCAATCAAAACAATTAATATTATTAATATTTAATAGTGATTACTAAATGATGCACCATAAATCACAATCATAACGTTTAATGTTTATGCATATATTATAATATAATTTTACAAATATAAGAAAATTATCTGTAATTGCAACCACAGATTATAAGTACCTAAAACTTTAGTTATAAGTGTGTTGTGTTATGCAACTATTTACACACGTGTTGTGTTATCGTATAATATTTAATTGACCGTATTTATATCTTTTGACAATAGATAAGTAGGTATGTGTTGATGATTGAATGTTAGGTATGTTTATTTAATACTTACTTATTTTAATCATGCACATCTAAAAATCAATAAAATTTGATTCGTAACAGTGAAATAATGAAGAGTTAAGAAATTATATAAAATTTTTAAATTTCCTATCAATATTTGATGAATTTATTTATTACCATTTCTAATTAAAAATAATATTTATCTTAAGTTTATTTACCTTCTATAATAAGGTTTAACTAAAAACCCGTAGCACATATACTAAAATTAAAATTAGTATGTTCACCACAATCTTTAAAAGTATTTTAGAATGTGAAATTTCCCCTTATTAAATATATGCAGATTGTGGTATATATAGGCAGAACTATAATTTTTCTTTATGTTCTTTCAAGCGTTTGTCTAAATTTTAAACAAATTACAAAAATATCTAAATGCATCTAAAGCAGATTGATAAAGGATTTCGATACCGATTACCACTTAATTGAACACCTGGTTGTATTCAAATGCAATAGATTAGTCATTAGTAGTCTATAGAATATTTAAGTTTTAGACCTCAGGGCAAGTAGGTCGTTTAAAATATCTTGGCTGGACTTCGTTATAATCGTATTTCCCCCTCCAAGCTTCGGCAACTTGGATCATTATATATTAGTTGATTAGTGGATTTTGGAATTTGGGTGTTGGTTGGGTTTGTGTAGGTGTGGAACACGTGCGGTAATATTATTTTTATATAAATTATATAACTATATTTTTAGGTGACATAATAGTTAACAGCCTTCAATAAGCTCTTTATTTTAATTGCGCTTTAAAATATTTTAATAATGTATTAAGTTGACAGATTTAGCTGTATAAAACTCCAATCTAAATTCATCTATATTTTTAGGTTATATAAATATTTATTGTTATTGTTTTAAATTTCTTTCTTGTCGTATCATCATTTCGATAACATATAGACTAGAATCAACTAATGTTAGGTAATGTCTTAATTGTAGTTTACAAGTAAACATGTTTAGCATTTGTCGAGTTGGCCTATATATTTATAGTGATAATAGATATTATATCATAGTGTAGAAAAGTCTTTACGCGAGGTTCTCAAATGCCTTATTAAGTATAGACACATATACATAAAATATACTGAACCACACGCTTTTGTTTACTATATCCGTTCGACCATGTTAAATGCTGGTTATTTAATGTAATATTATTTATTATCATCTATACCTACAGGAACTAACCCCTATAAAGAACGCATCTGTGATCTATACCTATACACGAGAAGTAGGTTTAATGCATTTCTTTTTTGTTGATTTTTCTAATGAACTTATTTAAAATGTAAATAATAAATACCTATTACTAAAAAACAGTTGTTTTAAATAATAATATATTAATTTGATGTTTTTCGGATGTACCTATTCATCTTTGTCTTGTTTGTATGTTTTGGACTGTAATGTACCTACCCATTGCAGAGGCCATATTTAAAGCGAGACATGTCAGTAGGCATAAACAAAGACATGGGAACAACCGAAAATTATCAAGCTAATATTTTCACCCATAAAAGTCTTAAACACATTCATAAAAATATATTATTTATTATTAACAACACCATAGGTAACCTTTTTACGTTCGTATAAAATAACATAGCATCTTTAGAAATTATTTTGTTCTGTGTCCTAATGTTGTTATTATATGTTCAAGTGTATAGGTAACCTATTCTGTTTTAGTGAACATGTCTTCAAACTTATTAAAAAACCGACTAGCAATTGAATAGAAAAACCTAAACAAATCTATGTGTTCTAAGTTTTAAAAATACATACGTTTTAATTTTCAAAAGCAATGACTATTTATTAGGATACGATTTGTGTTTTATATATTTTTAAAATGATACTAATTTAAAGAAAAGCAGATAGCGTGTAGGTGCGAAAGGATCTATCATCTAGGTTCACCTAATTGTTTGTACAGTTCAGATTCAGTGCCAATATTTTTGGAGGCCTGGTTTTACTTTTGGTCTTTTACTTAGGTCTGTTGGCTATTGAAGATAAGTACGTGATTATAATATTGTAATATTGTGTGGCGTTCCACGTACATAGTAATATTGTTTTTATAAATCATAACCCACAATTGTATGAAAATTCCTTATCAAGATCATGAATGGACCAAAATGGTTTATCCATAAACCTAATGTGGTTTACAATTTGGCGCCAAGCTAGCCCCTAGTTCTTTGTTAAAATATAATCACGATAGGTATAAACTATACATCTACCGTTGTTGAAATATTTGATAAGAAGATTGGTTTTTATGATTATAAGTTACAACACATTTTTCCGTGCCTTAAATAATAAACAACGATACACGATATATTTTGTTAAAAGTATAATTATTATTATTAGTAAAAAACACTATTATATAATTTCAATTTTCAACCATAATGAATTATAGTTTCTTATCGAAAATAATACCTGTATCCCTTTAAGTTATACTATAATGTATCGGTACACATTTATGAAATTGCCTGATATACTATACAGCCAAGCCAATTAAAGATGTTAGTAAAATTGTCAATGATTTAAGTTTTTGAAAAAACTATTTTAATCATAGCATGGCATTTTAAACATTTCATATATTATGTTTAATATCTTAAAAGTTCCTTTGAAAAGTTGATTGTTTTCCTTATCAGTTATTGATATGAGTAACTATTCATGGTCGCGTAATAACTAATTAGTAATTACCCTATTGAATGAATTAATTACAGATTATTTAGCCTTTGGGCACAATATAAAATGTAATATATTATGATCTTTTATGATGAAACCAATAATAATATAATCGTTTCCAAATTAAAAAATTATGTTTGACACAACGTGTATGTAAACCGGTGTGAAATTCAGTTTTTCAGTTTTTGGAAGTTAAAATTTGTAGTCATTTTTATCAAATATAGGTACATATTATTGATCGTTTGTAAATGGTTTTATAATGGTATTAACGGGTCGATTTGTAAACTCATGAATGATAGGTATATTTTTTATAATCGAAAATGACATTCGTCGATCGCCAGTAACGTTGCAGAGATCCTGAGGGACGCTGTTGAAGTGTGTAAGAACTCGACGAGTTTTCCGGAAATGAAGAGAAGTCAATCGAAATTTGAGTCGCGGGGAATGAGTGGATGAGTCGTTTATGGTCCGGGGGGGGGGGAGGATTGGGGAAAACATTCTAGGGACCAGCGGTAATTGGTAAACATTTGCCTGTAAGTTAGTGCGCGTGTTGTAAGTTTGTTACTTGTAGGCAAAATTATGTAGCAGAGTACACAAAAAGAATAAAAATGCCCGCTGAAAAATTGGCAACACTGCCACGGCACTCGGGGGTACATCGGCGCCCCTCTACTGGTCCCGCTGGCCCATTGGGAACACGTTCCCTCTCATACAGTGTTGCGCGATCGCGTCCACGGTCCGATTCATTTGTACGACAACTCTAGCGCTGCGCTGTCCGGTGCTGGTACTCTGCGTGCCAATCAACAGCCTTGCGCCTCCACCCCTCGCCTGTCGTCCGCCACCGCCGCCGCTTCTAAGTTGGTGGTCGTTACTGACTATATACATTTTAGCGTTCGGGATAATAGCTACAATATTACTATGTGCATATTATAAACAAAGTTAAACTAACACATTGATTTCGACCCAGCAGACTTGCAGGTAATGTAATATTTTGATGTCAGGCTTAACATGACTACTGTGTTGTATTAGGCCTCGGTCGTCTTACCGGTTGCGACACAACCGAAAAACATCAATTTAGACGCCAATCTAGCGTCAAACTTTCGTCATTGTTTGGATTCGTGAGCGTCCAATCTCGAGAGTCCGTGCTTATGGGTTTTTAGCAGAACCATATTTATATTGGTCCCAAACAATTTCGATATGGTCCATTTGTGATCTCTACATTTCGGTTTTGAGCTCAGTTAGTAATAAAGATCCCTTTGTCTCACAACTTTGATTTATATCGTGAACTTTCGCAACTTAAAAAACATCTGGCTTGCCATTCTTATCATGTGTGCCTAAATTTTAGACTAATGTAAAATATTACCTATTTATATTTATGCTATTTTTTTATTCTGTTAATATTATTAATAAACCATTTTGAAGAGTCCCTGTAGACATTTTTGAAAATAAACAACATTCTGTTAACTATAAAAAAAAAATTGCTTAAAAATGTTTTAAGATAAAGTTTGATTGTTTTAATATGTTTAAAATGTACACACTAATAATTATTAGTTAATAATTAAACCTAAAGGAAAATGATAATTTACTAACAGTTTTATTTTGATTTAGTGTGTTTTTGTATTAATAAGAGGATTGTGCATTATTACTATTATCAAAAATTGATTGTCAAAAAGAATTACATTGAATATTCGTAAAATGGTTGCTACTCGACAACAGTGCAGTGGTAGCTCAGCTTCTGGTTCTACCAGTAAGGTGGCAGTTCTTTCAAAACCAGAGAAGAACGTCAACGTGGTTAGCGGTGCAATAACTTGTGCATCGTACAGTTCTAACCAATCTAGTCAAGTTAATTTACTAGATCTACCTTATGAAGTGCTAGAAAAAATATTATCTTACACTTCTTTTAAACAGATATCGCAACTCAGAGCGGTTTGTTTCATTATTATATATACATAGTTTAAAAAATTACTTGTCAAATTTAATATGTTTTTATATTACTTTTAGGTGTCTCGACAACTTAATATAATATGTAGTACTATACTGAACTCGACTTTCCAGCGTCTACAAAATCAAATGTTGCACAGGTTTCAAATAATCAAAGCAAAAATGCCTCGCCGTGAATCTGCAAGACGGCAACATCCTTTAGCGTGTGAATCCGATATTGTAGAAACCCTTCACATGAGGTTGATTCTGTTACGTATGGCATTCGGAAAGCACATAGAAAGAAAGCATTTGTGTTTTTTTGCCGGAGAAGTAATAAAGCTTAATATAACTAAAAAATGTTTAGTGTTCACCAACTTTTTTTTTTTTTTAAGATATTGGATGAAGTGTACAAAATTTTGCATTATATTAAAGTAACTAAAAGCTTAGCAAGGCCATATAAAGTGACCGATGAATTATTTGACTTGTCTACCATGGCCATGGAATATTTCAGGGAAAAAATTGAGCCAACTCTACCTGAAATTAGACATTTTGCAAACGATTACCATGAATTTCCATCACCTCTACTTAGTAATTATAACATTTATTATTTTTAAATTGTTTTAATTAATATTTTTTAATACAATTACAATTTTTATTAATTTATAGGTCCTTCAAATAGTAGAACTTTAACTAGCATGTGTTTAAGAAAACGAAGCTTAATGATCAGAGAAGGATCAGTTTCAAGTCTCGAAAGTAAACGAGCTTCATCTGAAAGCCCTCAATGTGGTTCCATGTTACGAAAAAATGTCTGTAAAATTAAGCAAGGAATGAAAACGTTAGTACCATAACATTACTATTAATTATTATTATGAAAAAAAATTAGCTTGTAAGTAAATATGTAGTTGTTCAACAATGAAAACGCATTTACATACCTAATTCATTTTCATATTAAAATAATGATTAAGAGGTAATTTTGTTATTAGTTTTTCTTGGTGAGTAGTTATTTTTTTAAAAACAAAATCAAACTTAATAGTTATTTGAACTGTTCAATGTTGTAATACTATTTAACTGCTATCATAACATGTGCTGCATGTTGTAAATATATCAATATTCTTGATGAGAAGTTAAATTAAATAAATTTACTGTCTTGTTAAATGTTTGTTTCTAAATATATAATTTTATTGTAACCCAATAGGTCACAAAGTTGTCACTTAGAAAGGGACTTTTTTGATCTAAGAAAACAATTACGCAAGTAAGTGAAAACATATTTTTTCATTATCTGTTACATAATAAAAAAATTAAATTTTAAATTTTAATTAGAACAACGACTCACGTTGGTAAATTACAACGAGAATTGAAACAATGCAAGTCGCAAATAGCAGATCAACACAAGACGTTGGTTGAATATTCAAATAGGATGGACGAATACGATAAGAAAAATGAAGAAACAAATAGAAAATTCAGTACATTATTACAAGTAAAGATATTTAAAACTATATTTAATACTAAGGCCCAACTTTACCAACGGTTTTAATTATGATTACCTGTTCACTGTCCGTTAAACCGTCTATAAAGGCTGTTTCGGGTTTAAACACTATTTAAGTAGAGCTAAAATATTTTTATGAGAATTTTTGGTTTTTGATTTTGGAATTATTTACATAAAAACGGCTCCTTGGGCAATTTATGTTATAATCACAATCAAAAGATAACATCAAATGTTTTGAAATTTTACAAACATTATTTTTTAATTAACAGGAACTTAATAAATGCAAAACTGAAATACAATATTTACAATCTGCGTCCTCTTCGTCAGCAATGTCCGTGTGTTTAACGTGCAACACTACTAGTGATATATCTTTACCAATGGGGCCACCTATTTTAAATTCGACTAGCAATACAATGCGCTCTAGGTTGCACAGCCTAGGTGACCAATCCTTCCAAGACACCATTGAGGAGCCTTTGGAGCAAGCAGAATTGTCGATTGCTGAAGAAGGCAAAAGTACTGACGAACAAGAGCCATCTACGAGTACTGGTGTAAAACGCAAAATGGAAATAGCTGTACCCAAAACAGCAAAACGTGTCAGGACCGTGGTTAAAAAAGTACGAATCAATAACAGCATTAGTTAAATATTAACTTAATATGATATTGAAAAAAAAAAAAATTAATCGAAACGAATCTACCTCGAACATTCATAGACGTAAAAAAAAATATTTATATCCAATTTTAAGTAAAACTAAAATAATTGTCATAACCACCCCCCAACATTGTATTTTAGTTATAACAATTTTCTATAAAACATTTTTAAAAAAATTACCTCGACTTCAGTTTCTTATAATTAAATCTATATTTTAAATATTGTTAATAGTTAATTTCAGCTAAATTTTTACTTAAATGTTCTCCAATTATTACTTAATAGAATTACGTTATGTGTTTGTGAAGGAAAGTTTCGATAAACGTTTTTCTATTATCACAATTTTTATTTAATTTAACAAAAAAAATAAAAAATTAGTTGTATTTTTCGCTTTAATAGTGTGCATTTTAAATTAAATTTTGAGACGTAACTTACATTTTGATTATTAGCAAATTTGTTTAAATATTTATGTTTTAACTTTCAATATTATGTCTAGTGTTATACTGATACTACTACAAGTACCTTACAAATTTTTATCTATTTAGTGATTATTCTATATTAATATAACTTAATTCTCATGAATATGTTCGATTTATTTTTATCAATTTTAGACAAAAAAAAAAGTGTATATATGTATTTCTATATCAGTTTTATTTTTGTGCAATTTAACGCAGACATACAATTGATATATTTATATATGAGTATGTATTTATATATACTTTTTAATGCATTTAAAGAAAAAATAATTAAATTTAGATGAATGGTCGAACATTATGTAATTACTACGGCAATATATTATAATTGATTGTCTCTCTTTATTGATAAGTTAAAAGACTGTCCGTTTATAAAACAAAATTACACAATATCATATATGTATCAAAAACATATTTTACATTATTTTTCATTGTCAAAAATATGATTCAACAATTCTTTGTGTAATTTAATGTTTAGTGTAAATGTAAACGGATAAATGATCTTTATAAATCTTGCATTGATAATAAATTATATGAATGTAGTAATGTTTTTAAGCAGTGATTTTATAAATCTATTTTTTATTTTGATGTATTTTGCAGAAATAAAACAATAAATAAAAATAACATTACTACAAATTTGGAGGTTTGATGTTACTTTTGGTTTTTATTTGATGCTATAGACATACTTTTGGTACAGCAAATGGCTGTACTATTTTGTAGTGAGTCCTATCAAAAAATTTGGGGCACTATTCAAATAAAAGTTAAAAAGACTATTTAAAAAATAAAATTTGTGTGATATTTTAGTGATAGTTTAAATAAAATATTATACATATATTTTTATGAAATAACAAATTTTATACTGTCAAGTAGAGATGTAGTAAAAAAAATGTTTGAAACTAAGAATAATAAATAATTTATTTGAATGTATTTCAAATAACTACTTAATCATTACAAAATGTGGGAAAATTCTCACCAAGACTAGACAAAAGTTTTCTATTTTACAAATCAGGAATCTAATAGATTAACAGCTGTACTTAAATTGAACAGAAATAATCGTAATTACAACACTTCATGCCTAGCATCTAAAATATGCAAACCATTGCATATTTTTGTTTTTATCTTAAACGTTACAAACAATTGCATTTTGTACTTATAAGAGAACTTTTGTTTATAATATAAATTTCCAAGTTTACTCTTAAATGTATATAGTATTAGTTAAATGTTTTTTTTTATCTGGTCAGTTTAGTTACCACAACAAATACCAAGTTCACAATAAGGTATAAGTTTTAATTAATAATTAAAACATAAATCAGTTCATATTTTTGTAAATACAAAATTTATTTAACAAAATTAAATTACAAAGGTAAAATATACAAGTTTATATTTTTCTTTCTTTTGAGTTTTTTAACTGTGTATTCAGTCTCTTATTATGTTCGTCTTCTACAAATAAGTCTTTGACGGTTACTAATCTATTGGATGTATTTGTCTGGTATTCGTAATTAAAAATATTTTGTTTTTTTATATTCTTACTAATTTCAATACTTTTGAAAATGTCGAATAATTGCAACGTATTTTGGCTATGTATACTAGAATCGATCACCCATGCTGCATTTCTCAGTTCTATTCTAAACCTTTCTAATTCTTCAGGACTTACGTTTTTGCTTACATTAAAATGTACTTCGAGTGGATTAACAATATACAAAGCACTATATTCAGGTTTTGCTACAACGGTTCCAAAGTTTAATGATATAGCATTGGTATTAAAGTCATACGCTGCAAAATACTCGAAGAACCCCAGTAAAAGTTGTTCTAATGATTTACTGTTGGTTTGTTTGTGACTGTACTTTGTTATATCTCTAAGAAAAGTACAATTTACTCCATCGTCTGTGATATGAACGTCGTTGCTTCCAGCTAGCTTAACTAAAGTCTGAATAGGCGGAATAATATTTTCCTGTTGTAGATAAAATAAAACCAACAACGTTAAAGAAAAATTTGTAATCCATCGACCAGGGGTATCGTTTGTTATATTAACTTGTTGAGCCCACATTTTTATAGTAAAGACCAAAGGTCTGACCCTGTAGTCAAAGCATCCGAATATGTATAAAAGTTCTGACATACGTACAGCAGTTTCATTGGACACAGTCAGATCACATTCCACACCGACAAAGTCTTGCGAGTATTTAACGATCGGTACTTTAGCTTGAGAAATTCGTTTAACTTTTGAACATCCAGGTAAAAATAATTGCAACAAATCTCCTAACAGCTCAATGTGTCGCTGTGTTTGTGTACGGCTGTTGTTGGACATACATTTACCATGGTATATTAAACGACTAGATTTATTGATATTTGTTTTATCATTTGTTAAAACTAGATCGATATCTGATCCAATTTTACCAAAACTGTTGACAGAAGATCCAAACGGCAACACTTTTGATAAAGGAAATATTCCTTTGAGAGCATTTTCAATTTGTATCGCTGTCAGAAATCGTAATCTTGAGCCGATGTCATTTAACTGGATACTTTCTAATAATAACATCATCTGACTAGATAATGATTCAACTTTATTAAACTGAATTGTTTTAATATTTGGCTCGATCATAATTTCGTTAACTTTAAATGGCTGAACCATATCATTGTTCATTATTAATTTGGTTTTCTTACTAGAACTGGAACGAAACCAAAGAAAAGGTGACCTAACGGCAATCACATTTGAATCTTCTATGTGTGCACTATCATTGAGTAGTGCATCGACAGCGGTTTGGTCTTCAAATTCGGTTAGTACAAAATGATTGGTACCAGCAAGTTGGTAGTGGAACATATTTTTGATTCCACCGAACTCTGAACAATATTTATACAAATCCGAACACGAATTTTCAGAGCATACTTGAACTAAGACACTCCGCTTGGACTGCAACCGTCGTTTTTGCATCAATTGGTCGTAAACAATAAACTCTTGTTTGCAAGAATGATTGGATTTGTATCGAAGTACATGATATTTTAGGATATACTTTAAGTGTATGTTATAAACGCATCGAAGCGAATACATAGAATTCATAATTTAATTTTGATATACTTTGAATTCCTTTTTTTTTATTACATTATTAACTCCAAAAACTGGAGATCGGATTCGTTCCAGCGGAGGGAGACGTGTGGTCGGTGTGGAGTGGACTACAGAAAAGCTGAAAGATAAAATTAATGACGATAACTAGTGATAATAAGCAATAATAATAATAATATATCAGTTGATAAGCATTACTATTTTCTGATTATAAATATTGATAACTATTATCAAATAAGTGATAAGCGACTTGTGCAGTTCATCCTTTTTTGTGTTTAAAAATAAAAATACTAATTGTTTGAAATTTGTATATTTATACATTTGTATTACAATTTTCATAAGTACTAAGTACTACATGGCACAACCTGATTATAGAATTTTATTTTAACTTATGTTTTAAATATTGGTCAATAATAGGTATTTATTTCTAAAAACCAAAAAAAAATTTAAGATACCAAAAACACTAAAATACTAGGAGACCTGACGTTATCAGTTTGAATTCCGCCCACTGATAACTACTAGTCATAGATATTGGTAATTTATGCAATTTGGTAAGTGGTAGCCACAGATATGGATAATTTCTATATCTGTGGTGGCAAACCACTTAAAATACCAATTTTTGTTTAATTGGAATCATTCCATAGTTGAGTCATTATATATTTTTAATAAACTGTTAAATTGACCATATCTCATTTTATAATATATAAAACCTATGTTATAAATTATTTCTACAATTGTAGAAATAATTTATACCGATATGTATTATTCAGTAGTAGGGCAACACTGAAATATAAAATTGATAACAGCTTTACATTAGTTATTACACGAATAAGACAATTAACAAGTCTTGAGTCGAGAGGCGGTTATGTGAATAATACATTTGTGACTCATTCGTGTTTCGTTTATACATATGATATTTACCAAATTGTCATTTTAGGAAAATTTAAAATTGTTTGTTATTTGTGTTATCTTTATTAAGTATCTAATTTTTGGTGTCGCCAGATTACTTATTTTAAGTTCTTTTCGAAGACAACATGTCAACCAATACATATATGTTAGCCGTTCCAGTGAAACGTGCATCCGATGTTAATATAGTCAAACCTTTAAAAAATTTAATATCTTCTCATTATAATTCATCTGACAACCCTGAAGATTATACAGAAGCGATAAATGAATTGAGTAAACTTCGTAGTCAAGCTCTATGGAAAGTGTTGGATAAATACGACAATTCTCTTGAACTGATTTACAGGTACATAAGAGCTACTGTTGACTAATGTTTTATTTAGTTGTAAATAATTCCAGTTAACCCATTTTATAAACTTAAATTAATATTTGTTTAGCTATTATGATCAAATATCCGCTTTGGAAGCTAAAGTTCCACCTTCAGAAGTACAGATTCCATTTAAATGGAAAGATGCTTTCAATAAAATGACATCTTTCTTTGCTAATGGAAAAGTTAATCTAAGTATGTTTGTTCGTTTTCTTGTACTAATACTTTAATAAAAAAACCTTTTTAAAATTGTTTTATCATGTTTTCAGCTATGAGTTCTATTGCATATGAAAGGATTTGTGTGTTATTTAACATAGCTGCTCAACAAAGTGCTATTGCAGCTACTCAAAACTTTGAAAATGATGAAGGATTAAAGCTTGCTGCCAAATATCTCCAGGTACAATATTGTTTAATAATTTATAGTATCACAATAGATTAAGTAAGATATAGATCGACAACTATAGTAGATGGAGACTTCATTTATGGATTTCATAAAAGTTTTAGTATGATAAAATTTAGAAATATGAGTTTCTGATTGTTTCATTGCCATTGTCTAATTATTATCCATTTTTGATTAATATAATACATGTATTGTACACTGCAGTTTAATACACAGGCGTATGGCGTAACATTTAATACATTATGATAGTCTACTAAACTATTAAGTACATTTGGTATATTTTTATGTATGTACCAGGTGTTATATTTTCTAGGAGGTCAATTTTCAATATAAATCATTATTCAGTGAATCAATTAATAACTAATAAAATTAATAAGAAGTATGGTCAATATATAACTTAAATTTTTTTTTTTTAGCAAAGTGCTGGAATATTTAATTGTCTCAAAACAACAGTTATGAGCGTTATTCAACAAGACCCAACTCCTGATTTAAATCCAGATATGTTGGCCATGTTATCTGCTCTTATGTTGGCTCAGGCGCAAGAAATGTTCATACTTAAGGCAAATATAGGTATTCTTAATGTTTTATTCGTAATCAACATTTTTATTTTATCAATAAAACTATATGTAATTTTATATTAAAAATATTTTTACAAAATAATAATGCATTGTGCATTGTTATTGTTGGTTAATTCCATCTATTTTTATAATTATATTAAAAAAATAAAATCAACATTATAACTTACAAGATGAGGTCATATCATTGGGGATATCACTGAATTCAAAGATGAAAAACTTCAAAATATTTTTATATATTAAATAACTCAATTGAGTTACTTTTCTCTATTATAAACACCTTGTTGACAAACCGGGGTTTTATTTTAACTTAAGGTTAACTTGTCACAGTTTAATATAATTTGGTGACATCAAAGATATGGTCACTCCGTGTTGTGATATTTATTTCATACAACTGAATTGATAATTTATTTAAATAAATATTTTGGTTCTATTTACTAATAGATAAAATGAAAGACCAATCAATTGCCAAACTTTGTTCGCAATGTGAAGATTATTATGCAGAAGCTGTAAAATTAATGGATAAGGAACCAGTTTTGGAGTCGTTAGATAAAGAATGGACTTGCAGTGTTAGTGATATTTACAGCAATTATTTGTTGTTTTATTATAAGAATTTAATAATTCTAATTTTAGGTATTAGCAAAGCAAGCAATCTTTCATGGGTTAGCCCAATACCATCAGTCCATGGTGTGCAAAGGAAATAAATCTGTTGGTGAACAAATAGCAAGACTTAACGTACATATTAATATTTTATTAAACAAAATAATAATTTCCTTACAGTTACAATTGGTCTTTTTTTATTTAGGAAGCAATAACTTATTTAAAACTCGGGCAGAGTCGTTGTGGTCGTTCAATTTACCAAGGGCAATATAATAAAGCTCAACAAGAATTGATAGAAGCGAAAAAAGATAATGACTTCATTTATCATGAACGTATACCAGATGTGAAAAATTTAGAGCCTATTGCAAAAATTGCTATTGCCAAATCTATACCGGTTCCGGCAAAGTTATCTTCAAAGTTTAAAGGTAATTGCTTTATTTTGATGCACATAATAAAGTAATGGTTGTACAAGAATGAAAAAAAAAAATTATAAAACAAACTGAATATATTAGTTGTTTAATAAAAAATATATTCTTTTTATGGATAAGAACGAAAAAAAAGAGTTAATAAAACCAACATTAAAAAAAAACAAATATTTGTGATACTAGCTAATGCTTCCTTCTCTTTACTCTAACACAGCTCCTACTAAAATGTTCAAAACTGCATAGTATAATAAAATAATACAACTTCTAATATATTATAAGAATTATTAATATCTCAGCTACAAATTAATACTGTTTGTATTGATTTTCACTAGAACAATAGTTATTTCATTTGTTATATCTTTGTGGAACACCTGTATATAAATATACGATGGTCCTTTAATGGTTTTTTTTTTTTTAATTTAACAATAGCTATCTATCAATCCGCTTCAAATGTTAAAAAATATTTCCCTAATTTTTTCAGATTTTTATTCTAACCCTTTAATTGCTCTATTTGTACGTCAAATTCATAATTATATAGAAAAATATACAATTTTACACAAGTTACCAAATTAAGCTTGCTGCCAGTATAATGACTATAACCTGATGCAAAGAAAATACTTAATAATAAAAAATGCTCATAATACTTGCTTTTTATATTTTAGATTTGTTTGAAGACTTAGTGCCAATTTCTGTACAACAAGCACTTAGCACTTATGATGTGAGGAAAACTGAATTGGTAAATACTGAAATTGGAAAATTAAGAGAAGCCACACAAATTCTTAATGGGTAAACATTAATAAAATCCCTAAAATGTATGTTTAATTATTTAGCTTTGTAAACAGTTTTTTTTTCCTTCAAATTTGTTCAGGTGCCTTGCATCACTTAATTTACCAGCCGCATTAGAAGACGTAAAAGGTGTAGGAATACCACAATCGTTGATAGATAAGTCGAACAGCGTAAGAATGAATGGTGGTGTTCAAAAACTCGAATCAATGATCAGAGAATTGCCTGAGTTACTGAAACGAAATGAAGAAATAATTGTTGAAGTAATTTTTACACATTTTTTTTATCATATTTAAATTTTTATATAAAAAAAAATGTATTAGTCTGAACGGATGTTAAATGAAGAACAAGATTCTGATGACCAACTTCAAGCTCAATTTAAAGAAAAATGGAACCGAACAAAATCAAGCGCCCTTACTCAAGTTTTTAGATTAAATATTGCCAAATATCGTGAAATAGTTAAAAATGCTACAGCTGCTGATAAGGTACAGTGTTGAGTGTTTTGTGCAGAGTAGTAAATAATTATTGTTCTTTTTTAGATGATACATGAGAAATTTGATACTCATAAAAGAGCCATATATTTATTATCTGAAGGTCAAGAATCAATTCAAAATGTTTTACCAGCTTCTTCTAACTCTGGAGTAAACTTTGCCAATTCTACTGCTGCTGATAAATTAAGACATCTTATGGAAGAAGTAAAAAATGTTTATAAAATGAAATGACGCGAGAATTTGTTGTAAAATGTTTTTAACTTTTTTTAGGTGGAAGTCATGAAAAACGAAAGAGATGTAATTGAAACAGAGTTAAAATGTGCAACGGCTGACATGAAATCAAAATTTTTGAATGCATTAGCTGAAGAAGGGACTATAAATGAAGGAAATCTTTCAACAGAGAGTTTGGATCAATCTTATGGACATTTACAAGTGCAAGTTCGCAATAGTCTTGGTAGGCAAGAACAACTTTTATCACATATACAGGTAAATATGATTTTTTTTTTTATAATTTCCCAAGTTTTATAATTTTATGTTTTATAACTTTTATATACTATTATTTGTATGATAAATATTTTTAGGTGGTGAATTCAGAATTTTGCAAAGAGAAAAACAGTGGTGGCCAGAGAGAGGCTCTCTTTAAAGATTTAGCTGCTGGATATGATGTTTTTGTTGATTTACAAAACAATTTAATGGAAGGAACTAAATTTTATAATGATTTAACGGAGGTAATTTGTACACAACATTAAAAAATTGACACATAAAAACCTTTTATTAATCTTACTTTCAATAAACTATACAAGTGCGATATATTTAAGTCATATAATTAAAAAATAATTGTGGTTTTAGATTTTAATAACAGCCCAAAATAAAATATCCGACTTTTGTTTTGCACGAAAAGCAGAAAAAGAGGAACTACTTAAAAGTATTACTAAAAATTTGAGTCAAGAGAAACCAGTAACTGTGCCAAAACCAAGTCAACCTCGTAAGCTTAGTTTTGTATATAAGATTTTTCATTTGTTTTAGATTTTTCACATATTTTTATATTATTATTCACATTTTTCATATTGATAGATTGATCATTATTTTGGTTTTATTTATTTGGTAAATAACTCGATCATTTTTTATATGAGCAAATTATCATTTAATTCAAGTATTTCAGTGTAATTAATGGATCGAGTTCGCCACTGAATTTATGTTTTTAAAATGATCCAAAATATCTAAGAAAAATATATTATTTGTGTATTAAAATGATTTCCATGATATTTTGTTTTATAGATCAGGCAGATACGGCTCATATAAACACAGGCATAGCGATGGGTGGCCAACTACCTTATCCGGTTCAGCCACAAGGTATGCCATTACCGTATACACTTCCGAGGACGGGTCCATATCCTGGATATATGCCACCACCAATGCCAACAGCATACAACCCTTATGCAACACTCCATTATCCACAACAAGGTATGATGAAAAAATATTTATTTAAGCATATAAACAAATTATTTTTAAACTGTTGTGTTATGTTTTTTGTTTGACATATAATACTAAGTTTTTACACTTTATTTCAAGACAATTTTACATGAATTTCAAATCAAAATATGTGGTCTGGATCAAGTTATGTTGAATGCTCTCTTATAAATAGTGCCTTGTAGAGGGAGACCACTACATTTTAAAAACAACTTGACGGATTTCAATGAAATTTATACAGCATATTTTCTAGGCATCAAAAACAAGTGTATAATCTAGTTTTTTTATGTATTACAAATTAAGTAAAATGGCGGCCTTTGAAAGTTTATGTGTATATTTCAAGGAAAAATTCTTTTTTTATTTTTAATAATCAAAAAAAAATTAATCAAAATAAACAATTTTCTACTAGTTTTTCATGACTAAAATATGCTGTGTGAGTTTCATTAAATCCGTCAAGTGGTTTTTAAAATACAGCGGTCACTATCTATGAAAACATAGTTTTGAGGAAAATGCGTATACAATTTCATACTTGAAATTAAACATAAAATAAATACGATTACTTCAAGAAAAAACAAGCAATATTTTTGATAAATCTGAGTATCCCAACCACTTAATATTTAGTAGTACAGTAATTAAGATTAATTATTTTATCAGGTTATTTGATTATATTCATTAGGTTATGTTAACCACTAAATAAGTTTATAATTTATTATTTACTTTTTAGGTTATCAGAACTATACTCAAGGCCAACAACCACAATATCCTCAATATCCGCCACAATATCCACCACCAAATCCACAACAGCCTCCAGCACAATGGTGATATTGTTGTTTATTACTTAAATGTAATACAAGGAATGTTTATTGAACATAAAACTATAATTATTTTATCCATATTTATTATTATTAGAAATTATTGTTATCGGGCATAAATAAGTTATGATATCTATTGTATTTTTTGTATTATATAGAACAACCCAATTTTTTTACTATTTAATCAAATATTGTAGTTTTAATTTTTTTTTTTTAATTGTATCTACAAAAATATTATCGTTGAGATTTAGTAAATTTATGCATTGCAGATTTTCATGTAATTTTATAAAAATTATTATTTAAAAAAAAAAATTTATCTTTTTTTTATTTGTTAGAATAAAACAAAATTTTGATATATAACAGGCTATTTCCTTTTTTAACACCTAGATAGATATTTTATTTCATTCAACAATTTAATGATTAACTTGTGTTTTTGATGCTTAAAAAACTTCCTTTACTTAGTTTTTTTCAAAATGAGAAAACTTCATTAACATATGTGTTATTAGGACACTTACACAATGGTGCTGTCCGAAATTGAATATTATACTTATTTTTCAAGATATATGCATAAAATTCATTTTTTTTAACAAATTGTTATTTTTTTAAATTTAAGAGTTTTAGGAAACTAAGAACTTGCTTAGCGTGTTTATTTATCGAGTTATTACATATTAGTTATAATAAATAAAAATTGACTAAAAATTACTCGAGCGGTATGCCTTTTGTATTGAGAAGCATTTCTTTGGGAGTTGGAGCTACTCTTATAGCGGTTAACGGTGTAGTCGTAGTGTTTGCCATCTTTTAAAAACCTAACACTCTCCACTCTCTGGGGAACAATAGCTTATTCATATTAAATAGAAATTTATGTGGAATTTCATACCTAGGTAAATATGAAGTGATAAACGCGGTCGATTGTCAGTAATGATTTTCACAACTATGGTCGACTGCTTAGAGTTGAATGGCTTTTATCTTGGTCAATAACATTTGAAGTGTAATAAATATGTACGCGCGTTGAAAGTTACGGTACTAAACGGAAATGTTGTCTGGGTGCCAAAAATCTGGAGTAAGCGGTATTTTAAGCTTGGAAACTGGTCATAATATACCTACATACATTATCTCATATGTACTAAAATCATCATCAACATAGTGGCTGAGCGTTTAAAAATTAAACGTAACGCCTAATAAAAAATACACTATAGGGTTTAATACGCTAGAACTATAATTATAGTTAATCGAATAAAAACCAACCAAGACACGTATTTACTGAAAATTTATTAGGCAAAGTAGTGTAATAAAAATACACCCACTCAACGGTAGATGCCAAGATCTCCAAAAAAATAAACGCTTGATCTAATTAAAATTGTTTTCCACTTTTCTCTTGAACGCCTCCTCTCATAGCAGCATTACCAGGAAACAAGTAATGGAAATTGTAAACGAAAACGATACTTAAAAATTAGGTGTCCCCATTTGTTGTTGAGCATCATGTAAACAACTAGAATATTAATGATTCTTGTTGACTTTTGAAAAAACAATCGACGTTGCACTGAAGAAAAGAACTAATTATATTTTAAGTAGTAAATAATGACGGTGCATGTATTTTAGCAGATATGTAATGTTTATTATAAAAATGCAACAGATTGCCATGAAAGTTTTAACCTAACTAGTGTTTTTAATAATTATTATTACCAAATATACCGTCAGTAAATTAATAAATAGTAATATTTTTTAAAATGTGCGTAATAAAATGTCTATCATTAGCCTGGATTTTTTTTTACATAAGAGAATAAGAGAATCGTAATAAAATCTGAAAGCAGTAGTACAGCTATTATTAATCATCATTATAGATCATTAGCCCAAAACACTTCTGGCAAAATTGTTGGTACCTGGTGGCCAAACCTTACCAAATGTTAGCTAAATAAAGGAATCTCGTATTGTTATTTCATTACACAGTAAGTGTAGTCTGTATTAATATTTTTATACTCATATTAGGGAATAAAATATTAGTATAGAAGAGAATAAATTCTAAATAGTTTTTCAATGCTAATTAAAATTAGCTTGTGATGCAATTAAATAAAAATGTTAACCATCCAGTGCCGTATTTAGGAATTTGTCACCCCGGGGCAACAAAAAAAAAAAAAAAACGCCCTATTATAATATAATACAAATTTAAATGTGCAATGTAAAAAAATTTAGCCGCCCCCTCATAATCAGCCGCCCGGGGCAACAGCCCCTGTTGCCCCCCCCCCCCTAAGTACGGCCCTGTAACCATCCCCTCCACCCATAATCGCTGCGGCCATAAAGATTTCGGTTATTTACATCGTGGTGTGGCCAAAGACGTTCAATCTGATATTTAAATACAAACTTTATAGAGGAGCATTCGACACGTGTGTTTGTGTGGGGGGAATGAGGATTTCGTTTACCGCACGGTTCGTTGAAATATTAAATGGTGACGTCACGGTCGGTGGACGACCGGGCGTACCTTGTGGCGCGAAACGATCGTTGGCCGTCACCGAGTTGCGCCGCGTTCTACCGCATTACACATACACGTACACACACACACACACACACACACACACACACGCGTATCTTACTATATACCATCGCCACCGCCGAGCACCGAACCGTCGAAGAGGTAGGTATACCCCCGTACCAACAGCACTGGTCGACGGATGGCAGACTGGCGGGGCGACGGGCTCGCTACAGTGTACGCGGGCAAGGCAGGCAGGCCAGGCACACCGTTGTTGTCATTCTGAGCATTTGTTTGCTGCTCCTGGTGGGCGTGCGTGCGTCCGTTCGTTCGTCGTTTAACCCGCGATGTGTACGCGCGAATTAATCATCCGTCGTTTCAATTATCAACTGTCGTGAAGTGGCCATCACGCAGGCCGTCGTCTTGCAACATCACCGCCGCTGAGTCGATAACCGCCGGCCGCAGTTGTTTACGACCCGTCTTTTTAAAGGTAAGCGCCGCTCTGTGTAATAATACAACAATTAATACTGATAACGTTCCAAATTCCAATAGCAACGGCCAACGACGTTCACTTCCGTTCTCGAGTCGAAACTCAAACGATCGTGTTTGAGGTTTGTATGTACTCGAAACGCCGCGTATGCGTCCCTGTTGGTCGAAAACCACCGTCTTCGGCGTCGAAGCCTCGTCGCGCGTTCTTTCACGACGTTGTCGCTATAATGTCTTGTATGCGCTGTGACTGTATTATATAAGTCATAATACTAAAAATTTCAACATGCAGATTGCCGTTTGTTTATTGTTGTTTTTGTCGCCAACTCCAAATCGTAGCGCTACGGATAGGTATTATGCCTAGACGAAGGGTCGTCACAAAAACCTTGCAAGTCTGTTATCAATCCCCCGCGGTTGTAGGTCAAATCCAAGTATTTATGTTTCGATGAGTAGCTCTCAAATTTCTGAATTTTGGGTAAACAACCAAGTGAGGATTATTTCTTGCTGTAGTAAACGGTGCTGTGTGTATTAATTTTACGTAGGACAAACAACAATCGGCACAACTGTTGTTTAAATGCTTTTGGGATTGCCCTTTAGATACAAAATAATTTACGTCATGCTTGTGTATTTTCTATGTTTTTCTGCTGTTTAGAAAATTTAGTAAACTATTGTGTTATTCAGACTATAATTGTTTACATTTAATGAAATATATTATATCCTATACATTATTATATATGACTCAAATCAAATAATAATGAGAGTTTTTTTTTTATTTCATATATTTATTATTATTTTTCTTCAATTTTATTGTTTATTCAGCAGCGATTGCTATCGCTCATCTTTGATTTTTTATTATTTGTGCTACTGTTTCTTAAACAGTTCTGTGTATTCATCATTATAAAGTAACTTGTTTACAATATAAAAACCAATTGGCGAGTTAAGTTATGTACTAGTAAAATTATTATCATTTATATATGGTTCACTTCATTTGTATTTTGTGTAGGTGGTTTTAAATGCTTTAAAATGCTTAAATATTTATTTTGATTTATAACCACTGCATGTTTTCAGTTTTGGCATTTTGTTGATTGCATTGGTTTTGAATTTTTGATGTTTAATAGTCCCATTGTTATTAACCAGAATGGAATATCTAATTGAAAACTTAATTTTCTATATACATATTTCATGAAACCATTTTTTAAGGAAAGCAGCCTTGATAATTTTGTCCTAATCATTTTTTTTTCTATAATTTAACTTTTAATTAAATGTTTAACCCCACTGACCCAAATCTCTATAATCACTTAATTCTGTCCGTTATTTTCGATAACAGATTATTATTTACATTTATTCATCTTACCAGATTACTTTAATACATATTATATGAATTTTTTTTCTCATCATAGTAAATTAAATTATACAAACATATTTGTATTTACTTATTCCTTGTGAGATCCGTTAATTTAATGTGTACAATTTGCTTTTATATTTATATTAAAGCTAAGTTAACAAATAACATAATATGGATGTATTTGATTTAATCTGGGATAACATATTTATGAATCATGTCCATGTTTAGAATGATAAATATATTCCTAGTTGAAAAACATTAATATGTGAGTGTGTGACAATCATACTAATTTATAATAAATATTTATAATGTTTGTCCAAGTGTACTCTTAGCTTTTCTTTGTTTAATATGTTTCTTATAACTTCTCATTCCCCTCTTAATATTTCTAACTATAATAATCGTGTGTACTTTAAAAGCAAGGTTTTTATTTTAAACTTATTTGAATAACAAATGTATCATTTTATACCCACAAAAAATTATTTTATATAAAAATGTCAATATTATTTAATTAATCAAACAAATAGTAGTATGATAATTATAAATTATAGGTGAGCAATTCTTGTACAGTTTACTTTATAAAAAGGTCATTGCTTTCAAAAAAAAAACCGGCCACCCAATGTGGAGCACAACTTTACCAATGCCTAATTGTTTTTAATCAAATTTAGTCTATTCTGACTGTTTATAGTTAAGTAAATTAAATTATAAGCATAACACACGCAAGTGTAATATAAAGTTATCCTCTTTAGTTAATATTGACCGATGAGGGTCTTATATTTAGGTACACATATCTTGATTCTTAATCATAATAAAGAAGATGTAGATAATTATTTACAGAGACATGACTGTTGACACTTCATTGTTCTTCTGTACACAAATGCATTGAACTGAAGCCTCGTCCACACTAGCAAACCTATTACCAAACTGCAAAAAAAAAAATGTCAAGGCGTTAAACTTTATGTCGGTATTATGACAAATATTTGATGAGTACTTCGCTGCAAAATTTGTGTTGGAGTTTAGGGTTCGGCTCCCTATTGTTCATGATTCCCTAAAATCCCTAAATAAATTTGTAATTAATAAAATATATTTAGTAACATTACAAAACTTTCAAATAAATTAATTTTCAAATTATGATTAAAAAAGCTCAAATTTACATTATAGTATTAGACATAGATAGATAGTATGTTCAGTATTTGCCCCTGGATTCACAAACTTTTATTATAAATTAGTAATTACTTACCAATTATTCGGTACAAACTATTGAATTTTACTCAGTAACTCAGCTTAATTCATATTTGAACTAGATTCTACATGTATTTATGTTTTTATTAAGACACTTATTGGATAAATTTTAAATTCTGTTTTTTTTTTTAATTTGTGCAGTAGTATTCCTAGCTAGAATATTAGACTTTAGGAAAACTAAGTCCTTAGTAATTGTTGCTACAATACAGGTATAATTTTTTTAGTTGAAAAATACAAATCACTTCTATTCAGTTACCTTTATAGAATTATACTATAAAAAATAATAGTTGGCGGTTATAATTGCAATTTTTTTTACTATGAATTTGTTTGCAGTCAATTTTAGTCCATTTAAGGCCGTCACTGTCTTCTCCTTTGAAAAAGTTACCTAACGTATTCGCTTATTCTGAGATTGTTGTTAGTCAATAGCTGGAGAGGAAGAAGGCGCCTCTTCACTAGATAATTTTTACACTCATAAATGAGTGTTGGACCAGTGAATTGAATGCACAATAAAGATAGTTAAGGGGCCTGCATGAGATCTGATATTGTGAGTAAAATTATGCTTTATGGGATAAACCGAGTGCCCGTAACCGAGTATCGAACCGGCAACAGTGAGCGCTCAACACACTGTTGCCTTACCTACTCAGTCACTCCTCCTCACAAATTGTACCTATTGGTAATACAAATAATAATGCTAAAAATAAGTTGACATGATTTCAATAAAAACATTTCTCATATTTATTAGTTTGGGTCTATGCAATTTTTGCGACCAGAACCCTTATTTTAAATATTTTATATCAATGTGTGTGACTCATTGTTGTTTTTTCAGCTTTATCTTATAACAATGCTATAATTATTACAAGTTAAGCTATTTTTAAATTTTAAAAGTTTAACTGGTACAAACTGTTTTTAGAGGTGTCAATCTTAATCTTAGAAGTTATTGAATTTGCTACCATACACAGCGAAGCATAAAGGCGTGTCTTGAAAAAACACAGGCTTTGCACATTTAGGTAGGGAGTCATAAAAAATCCATAGGTGTAACTCTGGTTTTGTCCACACATAAAAAAAATGATGTAGGAATTAAAAATAAATTCTAGTAATATTTTTAATGGTTTACGAGTTTTTTACTTATTAGATATTATCATACTATATATTTTTACACATTGAGTATTTATTAATTATAACATATTTGACAACGTCAGGTGAAGTAACCTTCGCATGTAGTGACTTTCCATATTTTTATTTATGTAGTGTACTTGTTATTGAAAATTATAACGTTTTCTAATTAAAATTCGTTACATGCGTTCGACGTTCGTATTGCATTGTTTTAAATATTTCATATTTTAAATCGCTTGGTTCACTATGCATTCTAAACACTAAAATTTGAATTTATAATAAAGTAGATTTGGGTCTATTGAGTCTACATTTACAGTGTTATCGCGATATAGTTTAAACAAAGAATAGATAAAAGCAGAAGGGTAAAAGCATATTGAAGACCTATTTAGTGTTTCGTGTTACATCTATACACAACTAAAAACATTAATGTATAGATATAACATTATAAGGGTGTAGCCTTAAGAAGATGGCCGCTCATTATATAAGAAAATATAATAAATCAAGATATCACTTATAACTGCAATGATAAGGTCCTAATTCCCACAAAGATGGTGGAAAGTGGCAACTTCAATTTTCTCTATTGGCGGCATGTACAGTTGTTTACAGTGGTTATAACAAATTTTAAGTTAATTTGATAGCACAGAATCACAGATATAATATAATATGTATTATTTTTTACACACATAATATATCCCACAAAAATGGCCGACGTCGACTTCCATTCTTATCATTTGTTAGCAATCTAGTGTAATACGTATACGTATATCTGTGGTTCTAAAGTAATGACTAAAAAATGTATAATTAAGTAAAATTGTTTTTACCATTTTAAATTTATTGAGAAAACAATATTGTTAAATGATACCGTTATAAATATAGCGGTAATATAATAACAAAAACTGTATGTTTGGAGAATAATAACATTTCACTAAAAATGTCTTATCACACGCATTCACCGTACTGTACTGATTGCGCGGTTCCGAGAACCTAACCTGTACAAAACACATATTTGATTGTTGTTATTCTAACATAATAATTTAAATTCATTATGTTATGTTGTACTTGTTATCGATACAAGTTTATGGGCTAAAGATTGCCTATATATATAGGCAATTAAAACATTGCACTTAAAACATTTTTTCATTTAATTTTTAATTTTTTCGGTTAGACATATTTTTAACCACAAAGTAAAACGTTTTTTTAATAAATAAAAAAAAAAATTAAAGTATGCAATATTTATTTATTAATAAATTATAAAAAATATAATTAACTCCTCTTTTTGAAAAATAAAACAAATTATACAAACAGAA